AAGGAATTGTCCGTAGAGCTCCGAGACAGGATTGTGTCGAGCCACAGATCTGGGGAAGGGTACCAAAAAATTTCTGTATCATTGAAGGTCCCCAAGAACACAGTGGCCTCCATCATTCTTAAATGGAAGAAGGTTGGAACCACCAAGACTCTTACTAGAGCTGGCCGCCCGGCCAAACTGAGCAATCGGGGGAGAAGGGCCTTGGTCAGGGAGGTGACCAAGAACCTGATGGTCACTCTGACAGAGCTCCAGAGTTCCTCTGTGGAGATGGGAGAACCTTCCGGAAGGACAACCATCTATGCAGCACTCCACCAATCTGGCCTTTATGGTAGAGTGGCCAGACGGAAGCCACTCCTCAGTAAAAGGCACATGATAGCCCGCTTGGAGTTTGCCAAAAGGCACCTAAAGACTCTCAGACCATGAGAAACAAAATTCTCTGGTCTGATGAAACCAAGATTGAACTCTTTGATCTGAATGCCAAGCGTCACGACTGGAAGAAACCGCCACCCTCCCTACGGTGAAGCATGGTGGTGGCAGCATCATGCTGTGGGGATGTTTTTCAGTGGCAATGACTGGGATACTAGTCAGGATCAAGGCAAAGATGAACGGAGCAAAGTACAGAGAGATCCTTGATGAAAACCTGCTCCAGAGCGCTCAGGACCTCAGACTGGGGCGAAGGTTCACCTTCCAACAGGACAACAACCCTAAGCACACAGCCAAGACAATGCAGCAGTGGCTTAGGGACAAGTCTTTGAATGTCCTTGAGTGGCCCAGCCAGAGCCTGGACTTGAACCCGATTGAACATGTCTGGAGAGACCTGAAAATAGCTGTGCAGCAACGCTCCCCATCCAACCTGACAGAGCTTGATAGGATCTGCAGAGAGGAATGGAAAAAACTCCCCAAATACAGGTGTGCCAAGCTTGTAGCATCATACCCAAGAAGACTGGAGGCTGTAATCGCTGACAAATGATGCTGAGTAAAGGGTCTGAATACTTATGTAAATGTAATATATATTTTTTTTATACATGTGCAAATTTTTTATAAAAACCTGTTTTTGCTTGTCATTATGGGGTATTGTGTGCAGATTGATGAGGGGGGAAAAAACAATTTAATCAATTTTTGAATAAGGCTGTAACGTAACAAAATGTGGAAAAAGTCAAGGGGTCTGAATACTTTCCGAATGCACTGTACTAGCAGAGTTTACCATCTTTTCACCTCTGTGGAATTTTTAGGGTGGACTGTGCTTTTGCTTCTACATTTGGCTGTGTGTCTGTCCCCAAAAGCTCTGGGAGACATTCACTCAGGCCAGCATATCTTATGCCATGCTGCTGGGTACCAGCCTTGCCAGTCTGGGCTGAGGGAAAGAGGCCATGGCTGGTGCTGGCTGGCTGCTTAAATCAGCAGAGACGTGGGGTGTAGAGTGCACCCCACCCGCTCCCCAAGCTGTCTCACAAGTGAACATACGAGAGAGGGAGAGAGTGGGAGAGAGAGAGGGAGAGAATGTGCATGTGGCAGGTTAGCGTTTTTCGTCATGAATCTTGTTTTGGAGGCAGCTCTGCAGAGTGGTCAATAGCTGGCACAGCCACAGCGTCATAACATCTGATAACCTTAACTCTAACCTTAACCACACTGCTAACCCTAATGCCTATCCCTAACCCTAACCTTACATTTTCATGAATTTTTATATTGTAGCCAATTTTGACTTTGCAGTTGGCCTGTCTAGCGGAAATCGCTCAGTTCTGCCTCCAGGACAAGATTCATGACAATAAACGTCAACCTGCATTTGAGATGGACCTTTGATAAGGTCATACAAGGAACTGGCAGGTGTAGTGCATAAATGAATAGATAAGAAAATATGTGTGTTGAACAAAGCATTATCTCGTTGGATCTAAGTTGTTGCCCTGTTCTCTTTGTCCATTCTGCCCCTCCCACTTCCCTATCCCTGTAGTCTATCTTGTCTGTAGTATTCTTTTTACCACTGCTCAGTAGCATACAGAGAATAGCTCTAGCTCCAATGTCTAGTCTCTCGGTTATATGTAGAAACTTGAGTTGTTTCAGTCTTGCGGTCCTATCGATGAATCACAAGCTGAATGAGTGACACCCTCATTAAATCTCTTGTCAGCCAGGTGGCTGTAGATAGTGTGATTAATCATGTTCCCTTGTCCCACTTATTGATTCTTAATGTGGCAATCAGCAGTTGAAACAATAACAAAGCTGGCCCCGCCCCTGTTTTGGTAAAAAGCTGAGGGATGAGGCTGAAGAACTGTAACCAATCTCAAATTCATAGACACAGCTATGGATACAAGGACTGACCATCCATGATATCAACATTATAGTTTTAACCATGTTTTGAGGCTATATAGTGTTTGTTTACATTCACTTTGTTTACAAACATTCCAGTAAAACAAGCTTATATTTAGGTTCTGATGGGGTATGACAGTTGAACTAAGCTCATGAGGCATTTCTAAGTGATATTCTACAAGAATCAATGTGTACATATCATTAATTTCTAAGTCCAAAAATTGATGTAGCAACTGCAGATTGCCCCTTTAAGTCAATGATTCTATCTGACAAGTTTTTCTGGAGGCTAGTCCTCCTCCTTCATTGCTCTTCTCATCCCAGGTTGTGCTCATCATTTTTCTCCTCTATCTCCTCTACCATGTTTCTTCTCTGATCATACCTTATATACAAATCATATTTTCTAGCATTGGTGAAAGTGTTTTAGATTTCAGGTGTGTGATTGTAGCTGAGTTGTTCCTGGGGAAGCTTTAGAACTCAAACGTAATCATTCATGCAGCAGGTGAATGCCTTGACTGAAAGAACAGGAGCAAAGCAAATATGCTTTTATAAATGGTGTTACTGCGTTTTGTTTTTGGATGTTTTATTCATCGTTCAATAGCGGTTGTCTTGAATGTTAAACACACGCTTGTTGGTCACGTATGGGCTGGTTTGAGCTTGTTCATTACTGCTTGAAATGAGGGATAACCTTTTCTTGCTCTCTGAATTGTTGGGAAGGGCCCGTAAGTAAGCATTTCACTGTTAGTCTACACCTGTTGTTTACAAAGCACGTGACAAAGGACATTTGATTTGAGAGAAAAAAAGCACACACAAGATATCACACACACGCACAAAATAACACACACACACGTGCATAAACACATTTTCCTGCTGATTCCGACCGCTCTCTCTCCCACCTCACTGAGGAGACAAGCACTGAATGCTAATCACCATTCAAAGAATATTGAGGAGTATGTGTGTGCTGCGCGAGTGAGTATGTGTGTGTGTGTGTGTGACTGGAGGAGGGAGTTGGAAGACTGTGATTCGCTGCCGACAGAGAGAGGGAGGGGAGGGAGGGAGGGATGGAGGGAGGTGCGCATAAAGAGAAGAGAGCACATACACAGTCGCTGTCAGTTCTCTTTCCTCAGTACGATTCCAGCAGCTCTCCGACGCAGACCCAAAAAGAGGAAGGCGGAAAGATAGACGACGGAAAGACAGAGAGAAACAAGAAGGGAAAGACAACAGCAGGAGGACAAGCTTTTCTCTAAACCCCCTCTCCAGAGGGCACAATGGGAAGAGATTTGGAACCGGTGAAAAGAAGGAGTGAGAGAAGGCATGTTGAAGAAGAAGGTGATAAAAGAAGTGAAGGATCAAAGAAGGAGTAGATGCTGACAGGGGACCCGGACAAATGGACGGACGCTGATCTCCTAAAATAGAGGTGTAGTCATCCCTCCATCATTCTGGGTGACAGACAGGGTGTCCATCTTACCTCTTACACTGGGAGCAACAGGATATAATGTAGCCCCCTTTACTTTAATGGGTAGACTGAACCAGGCAGTCTTACGGTACCTTGTTCCCCTCTTCTCTTTTACCTGGACGTTGGTCTAGTTAGACAGTCAGTCGTTCCTTCAATTCTTCTCCTGTTTCTTCATTACTTTTTGTTTGTGGAAGGAGGCCTGTCCTCTGTGGACTCTTTACATTGTGTGTGTGTGTACGTGTATGTGTGTGTTTACATGAGCACAAGGACTTATATGTGTGAGCCTGTCCTTTTTACCTACTCAGTTCTGCCCTTGGCACCCATCTGTTTCATGCTGGCTGTCCTTTCACACCTCTGCAAGTGTTGCGCACCATCTGTGTGTGTGTCAACGTGAGTGTGTGTGTGTGAGTGTGTGTAAGTATCTGTCACCCACAGTTACGCCACTGGTCAAAAGTTGGCCAATTACAATTTTTGGAGGCAAAGCCTGGCATACTGTTTAAGCTGGGCAGAAGGGGGACAGAAGGCCCGCTTAGCCAACACATGTTAAGGGAACAGTTTGAGAGATTCGACTGTCTTCTCCCAATAGGACCGATAGGACTATTATTAAACCTCCTGGAGGATCAATTCAATGAGGATCTGATCCAAGAACAGTGTTAACTGATCGCCTGATACGCCCACCTGTGGATGGTGTCGCTTGGGAATACATTCAATCCAAAACATGCCAGTGTGACATTGAGTGGCAGTGAAGGAATCGTCATATCATGTTTTATAGATGACCTGTCCGATCATCCATTATTTGATCAGATTCCAGATTACCTAATGAGTGTGTGTGTGTGTTAGAGAGTGTGTACTACAGTTTGATTCTCTCTGGCACGCTGTGAGAGTGACAGCAGCTACGCACGGTTTCCTGTGACAGCCGGTCCTCGATGAACTGTCACTCAACTGCTTGGCCCTCAGTCCCTTCACTGTACTTAAGAGCTGCCAACACAGACTTACAGACAGACACCTTTTTCCTCAATTTCTTGGCCATGCCCTACTGTACAACTATCTGAATGAAATAGGACATTTGTGAAGAAAGACAGGACGTTTCTGAACAGAAAGACGACATCTGGGTGTATCTGGAACCATAGCTTGGCTGTGTGCAGTGTGTACCTTTCTCTGTGTCCACACTAATTGACTGCCTACACTGAGGTGATTGGCCTATCTAGTCCTTGGCGCCTGCTGAGTACCATTACCTTCGGGGGCCATGATCGGCATGAACAGCCTGCACTCGGCGGGGCGCCTGCGCTCACGCTCCCTGTGCTCGGTCCGCTATGGCCGAGACTTCCGGATGATTGACCCTTTCCGCTACCCCCGTACCCCCCGCTCGCGCTCCCTGAAGCCCCTTATGTTCCCAGACCTGCTGGGCAAGGCCCAAGACGGACAGAACCACCCGCAGGCCCGCAAGAGGAAGAAGGTACAATGTGCCACCCGGGTAAGACACCAACTAACATAGCACAACCTGATGCGTTTCACTGTTCGACACTTAATTCGACACTTACTATGGTTGTGTTTGCATGTGTTAAAGTGGGGTTGGGTTTCAAGCACTTTCTTATTTCTGATTACATTGTTTATCGCTGTCATGTCAACATACTGTAAAATGCCATGCCTAGTACTGTAGGTGTTTGTAATTTAGGGAAATTCTTGTCTGTCAATCAAAGACAATGCAACCTTGTACATCCACAGATTTATACATTTATATATGAAGTTTATGGACCAAATGAAGTTGTGAATCATTTGTTAGTTGAGTAGATTGCAGATTAGGTGATCACCAGGCTGATAGGCCCTTCCGTAACCTAGGCTACCGTATGTTGTGTGTAGTAACCGGTGGTAACACCAGCCCTCAAGGCTAACTCTCATTCGCTGCCCTGGTGCTGTGTGACGCTGACGGAGCGCGTAGGTGAAGGTGACGAACATCCATCCTGATCTGAATGAGGCCAACTGCTCCGAGTGACACTGATTATGCCTCTACACCCTGTCCTCACCCTCTCTCTCCCCCTCCTCACCCCCACTTCTGGTTCTGACAGGGCCTCCCCATACGTCTCACTTATTCCCCCATTAACTCACCCCCCTCACCCCCACTCCCCCATTACATTAGACCCCCCTCCACTGTCTCCTTGGCAGTCAGGACCAGTGTAACGTGTATATTAACATCTGTCTCTCTCAGCTTGATCTCCTTCCAATGTACTACTACTGTAATTAATTATGTATACTTCCCTAATGAAGATATAGCATTTTAAGGAAAGAGGGCGCATTCTGGACCCTGGGTTTGAGATAATCTATCTAGCTAGCTAATTTAGTTTGGATGTACAGTACTGTATTCTAAAACATACAGAGATATACAGTGGGGTCCATAATTATTGGCACCCTTGATATAGATGAGGGAAAAAGACTGTATAAAATAAATTAATACAAATACTGAGCTATATTGTATGCTCAGAAAAATGGGAACAATATATTATTGTATACTAATCTAAAAAAAATAGGTGTTAAGGTTATTAGCAACCGTGTTTTCAGTATTCCAGTACCCTCCCATTGCGAGGATAACGACATTCAGCCTTTTTATAAAATGTTTGATGAGATTGGAGAACACATTGGGAGGGATCTTAAACCATTCCTCAATACAGAATCTTTCCAGATCCTTCATATCCTTCGTCTGCACTTATGGACCGCCCTCTTCAATTCAAACCACAGGTTTTCAATGGGGTTCAAGTCCGGAGACTGAGATGGCCATTGCAAAATGTTGATTTTGTGGTCAATAACCATTTCTTTGTGGATGTTGATGTGTGCTTGGGGTTATTGTCTTGATGGAAGATCCATCTGGCCGAGGCAACCAGGATTTTGGCAAATATTTCCTGTTTCTTTTTGCTCATATTTAACAAGGGTGCCAATAATTATGTCTGAGATATACAGCTTACTCTCATTTTAAATGTTGTGCTTTGGTTAAGTTTGCATGGTTTTCCAATCAGAGTCAAATATTAACAGGAATTGTAATTACATTTAAGCGTCTACGTGTAGAAACCAATAATTGACTCAAATCTGACCATGAATCTCAAGGTAATGAGATTTTCTCAATGAGCCACTATGGCTACAATTGCTGTTGCTACTAGCAACAGTAGATCAATCCATCTGTTTTTGGGTTCACAAATTCACCCCCAGATTGATGTTGAAGAGTTTTGTGCTACAAAAGAGACTGCATCGAAATTATACTTTGAAATGGGCCAACGCCGGCTTTCCACGAAGACGGCCCTTATCTGCGCTGAATATTAATATTCATGAAGCTTGTAACACAGTTTGAGTCTCGATTTTATACGTCTCCATAGCGAGGAGAAATTTGAGCCCAGAACCTAAAATCCAAATGGTCTAGCTGCTCATTAATATTCAGAAGCTCTGGCTCAAGTATTTCAATTAGTGCAAGTTTAATAGGAAACGTTGGAAATGAGTTTGAATGGATACACTGCATCAAACACATTGTTAATTTCAATGGGTTTGACAGAGAAACCACACCACAATATTATGTCTAGAATAGTCAGTGAAATCCAACACTAACTCGAATGACTTGATCGAATTGAAACTGATTTCAATGGCAGATAAGACCTACTACCCTGGACAGCCATTTGTCCTGTCTCCCTATTAACACACCATTGTACATTTTCCCAGACTTCAGAGGATTTGGGAGGGACATTAATGGTGATGATGTACTTCCTGCTAGAGTCCTCTCCATCACGTCAGCTATCACAGTTGTCCATCAGTCCCGTCCCTTCTAGGCCTTGATCTGAATTTACCATCAGGGGCTGATAGCTCTGCACTCCTCTTCCTCTAAACTCCTTTCACAGAACCTCAGTGCTAAACGGTATATCATATTCCGCTGGCATATCCCATTGTCACTAAAGTGGCTTGATTTGAATAGGAATGTCTAAATCGCTTGGCTGTCACAGGAGATTTATAGGAGAGCAAAGCGAAACGCGGTGACTCTCTAAAAGCCTGTTGTATTTATCAATGAGGGTGCACACAGAAACTGCAGCCTTTTTCTTCAAATCCCATTTTCCCTGCTGTGTTATTCCATAGACTCCCTTTAAAGGGGAAATCAGCTGTAGCTACATACATTTTTGGATTTATACATTAATGATATCTACCCATTGATTCTTGAAGAATAAAACTTAGAAATGGTGCATGAGCTTAGGTCAACTGTCGTGTTTGCCCCAAAGAGGATTGTTGAAAGGAAGGAGGAGGCAAATGATTGATTGGTTAACTGGCTTTCTGACTGAATCATTTATTGATTGATGGACTCAGCCATTAGTTTCTCCCAGGTGAATCTGTGTACTATTTCGTCATTATTATCTAATGGGTTTTTCTTCCACAGGCCCTGTACAACTCAATCAAGAATGAGAAGCTTCAATGGACAATGTGAGTTCCACTTTAATGCCTTGTTATCAACAGTATATACAGTATTTGTGCATTTAAGTGTATTTCCAAGTGTGTGTATGGGTGTGTGTTCTGACACACACACACACACAAACAGAGTCCACACACACACAGTTCACCTACAGTCCACACACACGCATAGTATTTGGATAGTGAAGAGTATTGGTAGATTCGATAGCATCCTTATTAATGACGTGCATGCTGTCAGGTTGTGATGGAAACATTTATATGTCAAGGGTTGCTATTCTGGATCTCAGCTCACTGTGCTTCAGATATGCCAATTAAGTCTCTGGCTTGCCAAGCTTTGTTGCCATAGTTACAGCACCATGGCTACAGCTACATAGCGACCATTCTGCTCTTGCCTCTGTGTTCCAGCGCAAGAACAAACACACACTTCTGACGACACACACTCATGCACACACACACAGACACACCTATCATTCCATTAAAAGGGTCCTCATTGCATCCTGTACAAAGGTGTGACCACAGCCTCCCACTACCTTCCCAAAAATAGCAGCACTCCCGGATCAGCTGACTGAAAAGTGGTCAGAGGAACAGGTCTGGGAACAGATCCACAGAGAGAGAGGCAATCCAGTTCCAACATCTCCACAGAAACAGACACCCAATTAAAATACATGGCCATGATGCTGGGGACAAGAGGCTGAGGATAGACTAGTCATTTTTAGACACATCCATACAGATACTGTATAGAAAAGGGGAGAGAGAGAGAGAGAGAGAAGAGAGAGAGAGAGAGAGAGAGAGAGAGAGAGAGAGAGAGAGAGAGAGAGAGAGAGAGAGAGAGAGAGAGAGAGAGAGAGAGAGAGAGAGAGAGAGAGAGAGAGAGAGAGAGAGAGAGAGAGGCCCATCTGCTCTATTATTCCTTCTATTCTGCTAATCTTGCTCTCCTCCATTATTGTCTCTAATCATCCTGTCTTCCATTGTCTCCTCTCCTGCTAGCTTCTATCACCTGTTAGAAAAAGGGATAAGAAGAACCCATTTCACTGGCATTACAATATAGACACCACCAGTCCTCTGAAAAACATTATTATAATAATACCAATATACCAGTCCCATTTCAATGATTTATTTATTCATTTATGTATAAGGGGACCATGCAAATAGCACGTAAAGCTACAGACCTCGTTTGCATGATGATTTTCATAGATTTTGGTTACGATAATGATTATTTGGATGACAGTGCATTCTGAAATTATTCAGACTCCTTGATTTTATCCACATTTTGTTAAGTTACAGCCTTATTCAGAGACATTCAGAGACTTGTCCTGAAGCCACTCCTGCATTGTCTTGGCTGTGTGCTTAGGGTCGTTGTCTTGTTGGAAGTTGAACCCAGTCTGAGGTCCTGAGCGCTCTGGAGCAGGTTTTCATCAAGGATCTCTCTGTACTTTGCTCCGTTCATCTTTCCCTCGATCCTGACTAGTCTCCCAGTCCCTGCCGCTGAAAAACATCCCCACAGCATGATGCTGCCACCACCATGCTTCACCGTAGGGATGGTGCCAGGTTTCCTCCAGACGTGACGCTTGGCAGTCAGGCCAAAGAGTTCAATCTTGGTTTCATCAGACCAGAGAATCTTGTTTCTCATGGTCTGAGAGTCTTTAGGTGCCTTTTGGCAAACTCCAAGCGGGCTGTCGTGTGCCTTTTACTGAGGAGTGGCTTCCGTCTGGCCACTCTGCCATAAAGGCCTGATTGGTGTAGTGCTGCAGAGATGGTTGTCCTTCTAGAAGGTTCTCCCATTTTCACAGAGGAACTCTAGATCTCTGTCAGATTGACAATCGGGTTCTTGGTCACCTCCCTGACCAAGGCCCTTCTCCCCCGATTGCTCAGTTTGGCCAGGGGGCCAGCTCTAGGAAGAGTCTGGGTGGTTCCAAACTTCTTCCATTTAAGAATGATGGAGGCTACTGTGTTCTTAGGGACCTTCAATGCTACAGACATATTTTGGTATCCTTCCCCAGATCTGTGCCTCGACACAATCCTGTCTCAGAGGTCTACTGACAATTCCTTCGACCTCATGGCTTGGTTTTTGCTTTGACATGCACTGTCAACAGTGGGACCTTATGTAGACAGGTGTGTGCCTTTCCAAATCATGTCCAATCAATTGAATTTACCACAGGTGGACTCCAATCAAGTTGTAGAAACATTTCAAGGATGATCAATGGAAACAGGATGCACCTGAGCTCAATTTTGAGTATCATAGCAAAGGGTCTGAATACTTATGTAAATAAGGTATTTCTGTTTTTATAAATGTTCGATTTCATCTCACAGGTGTTCGATGGGGTTGAGGTCAGGGCTCTGTGCAGGCCAGTCAAGTTCTTCCACACCAATCTCGACAAACCATTTCTGTATGGACTTCGCTTTGTGCACAGGGGCATTGTCATGCTGAAACAGGAAAGGGCCTTCCCCAAACTGTTGCCACAAAGATGGAAGCACAGAATCGTCTAGAATGTCATTGTATGCTGTAGCGTTAAGATTTCCCTTCACTGGAAATAAGGGGCCTAGCCCGAACCATGAAAAACAGCCCCAGACCATGATTCCTCCTCCACCAAACTTTACAGTTAGCACTATGCATTGGGGCAGGTAGTGTTATCCTGGCATCTGTCAACAACGGGTGTGGCTGAAATAGCCGAATCCACTAATTTGAAGGGGTGTCCACATACTTTATTTATATATACAGTAGTGTATGTTACCGTTAGTTTAACAAACAAAGTGTCTCTCTAAGGACTTAGAAGGCATTCAGAGACGAATCTGTTGCATCATTGGCACTCCCTACAACTCACTCCCATCTCTGGAGAGCAGGCGTGATGAACCCACAGTCAATATATATATATATATATATATATTGTACACTGCAAATTGCCTGCAAGAATCCCCAAACACATAGAGTATAGTATTTGACAAAAACAGAATAATTTCAAACCTTGATTATATTGGGATACGATCACATATGCCTCTCTATCTATGCGTGGGAATACTTGGGAACAGATTGCCTAATTTAAAATAAGATTGAGCAGATTTCATGGTGATTTTACAGTCTTATGTCCAACAACAACAAAAAATGTAATATTTTTTGGTACATTATTATATATGCTATATACTGAACAAAAATATAAACGCAACAATTTCAACAATTTGACTGAGTTACAGTTCATATAAGGAAATCAGTCAATTGAAATAAATTCATTAGGCCCTAATCTATGGACTGCACATGACTGGGCTTTTTACAGACAGAAATACTCCTCAGTTTCATCAGCTGTCCGGGCGGCTGGTCTCAGATGATCCTGCAGGTGAAAAAGACGGATGTGGAGGTCCTGGGCTGGCGTAGTTACACGTGGTCTGCGGTTTTGAGGCCGGATGGACATACTGCCAAATTCTCTAAAACGACCTTTGAGGCGGCATATGGTATTAAATTATCTGGCAACAGCTCTGGTGGACATTGTTGCAGTCAGCATGCCAATTGCACACAACTTGAGACATCTGTGGCATTGTGTAGTGTGACAAAACTGCACATTTTTGTTGCCTTTTATTGTCCCCAGCACAAGGTGCACCTGTGTAATGATCATGCTGTTTAATCAGCTTCTTGATATGCCACACCTGTCAGGTGGATGGATTATCTTGGCAAAGGAGAAATGCTCACTAACAGGGATGTAAACAAATTTGTGCACAAAATGTAAGAGAAATAAGCTTTTTGTGCGCATGTAACATTTCTGGAATCTTTTTTTTCAGCTCATGAAACATGTGACCAACACTTTACATGTTGCATTTATATTTTTGTTCAGTGCATTCGGAAAATATTCAGACCACTTCCCTTTTTCCACATTTTGTTACGTTACAGCCTTATTCTAAAATGGATTTTTTTTTTTTATCCCCATCAATCTACACACAATATCCCAGAATGACTAATCGAAAACAGGTTTTTAGAAATGTTAGCAAATGTATTAAAATGAATAAATAGAAAAACTTTATTTACCTAATTAATCAGACACTATGCTATGAGATTCGAAATTGAGCTCAGTTGCATCCTGTTTGCATTGATCATCCTTGAGGTTGTTTCTACAACTTGATTGGAGTCCACCTGTGGGAAACTCAATTGATTGGACATGATTTGAAAAGGCACACACCTGTCTATATAAGGTCCCACAGTTGACAGTGTATGTGAGAGCAAAATCCAAGCCATGAGGTCGAAGGAATTGTCCGTAGAGCTCCGAGACAGGATTGTGTCGAGGCACAGATCTGGGGAAGGGTACCAAAAAAAGTTCTGCAGCATTGAATGTCCCCAAGAACACAGTGGCCTCCATCATCCTTAAATGGAAGAAGTTTGGAACCACCAAGACTCTTCCTAGAGCTGGCCGCCCAGCCAAATTTAGCAATCGGGGGAGAAGGGCCTTGGCCAAGGAGGTGACCAAGAACCCGATTGTCACTCTGACAGAGCTCCAGAGTTCCTCTGTGCAGATGGGAGAATCTTCCAGAAGGACAACCATCTCTGCAGAACTCCATCAATCAGGCCTTTATGGTAGAGTGGCCAGACTAGACTGGTAGAGTGGTAGAGTGGCCACTCCTCAGTAAAAGGCACATGACAGCCCGCTTGGAGTTTGCCTAAAGGCACCTAAAGAACTCAGACTATTAGAAACAAGATTCTCTGGTCTGATGAAACCAAGATTGAACACTTTGGCCTGATTACCAAGCGACACGTCTGGAGGAAACCTGGCACCATCCCTACGGTGAAGCATGGTGGTGGCAGCATCATGCTGTGGGGATGTTTTTCAGCGGCAGGACTAGGATACTAGTCAGGAACGACGGAAAGATGAACGGAGCAAAGTACAGAGAGATCCTTGATGAAAACCTGCTCCATCGGATTCTTGGTCACCTCCCTGACCAAGGCCCTTCTCCCCCGATTGCTCAATTTGGCCGGGAGGCCAGCTCTCAGAAGAGTCTTGGTGGTTCCAAACTTCTTCCATTTAAGAATGATGAAGGCCACTGTGTTCTTGGGGAACTTGTGTTTTATATTATGACATCACATTTTATGTATGTTTCTGCAAGGTGTTCAAGTAAACCTGAACCTACACCTACACCTAATCAACCTGTTCACTCTCTTCCTCCTCCACACCACCACCCCATCCCCTTCTCCTCTCCTCTTTATAATGGCTCCTATTCAGCTTTGTCTTTCTAGGCTTTTGTTTTCTCTCCTCTCTCTATCTCCCTCGCTCCCTCGTTTCCGTCCATCCCCCTTCTCTCTCTCTCTCTCTCTCTCTCTCTCTCTCTCTCTTTCCCTTTTATTTTGACTCAGTGTAGAGTGGGATTCACACAGACCAGCAGTTACCAGGCAACAGGCTAGAAATCTGAGGCACATGCTCATCAGCTCTCACTAGCTATCCATCATGCTCTCTCTCTCTCTCTCTCTCTCTCTCTCTCTCTCTCTCTCTCTCTCTCTCTCTCTCTCTCTCTCTCTCTCTCTCTCTCTCTCTCTCTCTCTCTCTCTCTCGCTCTCTCTCTCGCTCTCTCTATCTCTTGTGTAGAGCTAACTGTTGTTATATATGTCTGGTTACTCATATCATGCTCTTAAAGGGTTACAAGGGAGTCAATTTTGCATGTCTATTTTGAATGTGAACTTTTACACAGGTGACGGTGAGGTAACAAGTGTAGTCCTCGTTTAAACTGGGTTTGACTGATATTGGGTGGATTGACTGACTAGTATTGGGAAACATTATAGGAAAGGTTCAGCTCTTAACATTAGTTATCTTAACTGCTGCCTCAGGTCCAGATTATCCCACATGTAAAAAGATGTTAACAACACCCCAACCATGTTTGTAGGATTATCATATCAGTAAAGGGACATGTGGTGAACATGGCTTGTACTAAGTACAGTATCTTCATTTTGAGTGGGACTAGAGTGATCATAATTTGAAACTGCCTCAAAATACGTGCCATCCGGGATCCTTGGGATGTCCCTATCCCATTGAAGTTTACATTTTAAATGGTTAAGGGTAGGGTTAGGTAAAGGCTTATGATTAAGGATAAGGTAAGGGTAGGGATTAAGGTTATGGTTAGGGTTTAGGGTAGGGACATCCCAAGGATTCCAGATAGCACTGACCGTATAGGTATAGCCTATATATAACTACAGTAGGAACAGAGTTTTTCCTTGTCAGGCCATATGATCAGGAAAACCTCCTGGCTCTATGTACAGTAAAGACCAGTAGAGGCTGGTGTCACTTAAATGGAGGACATGCTCTTTGTAATGGCTAAAATGGCATTATTGGAATGATATTAAACACATGGAATGGCATCAAACACATGAAAATCAAATGGAATGGAAACCATTTGTTTGAAGTGTTTGATAACTTTCCAATCATTACATTTTAGCCATTACAATAAGCCACCCTCCCTCCACCAGCCTCCATTGGTATAGGGATTACAATCAACTGTATACTAAGATACAGTTATATTTTCATCATGCACTGATACACACAGACATTTTATTGTTCTGTAATAACACAAATTGTAGCCCATTTATTTGGTTTGTTTGAGGTAGTTACACATTTGGGAAAAGTACAACTTTTCACAGTTCTGGAGCAGTTCCTCTCATGATCAATAGGGAAACACAAAACTGAAAAAGCCAGTGACAAATCTGAAATTAGTCTCAAAAATAGGGAGTCCCTAGTGAAACGGAATGCCCTCGTTTTTCACCTCAAGGCCGCCACGCGATCGATCGTGTCGCTCTTCTGCTGCAGTGTGTTTTGATCTAGGAGAGTGGACTGGTTCTCTGGAGACCAGGAGGGAATCACAACAACATGATCGAGGAAGGAAGGAGCGAGGGATGGAGCGAGGGAAGGAGCGAGGGAAGGGGAAAGACACTGAATTAAGACTTTGAAGAAGAAGAAACACTTTCATTCACTCAGGTTCCCCCTAGGTAGAATTGTGCTTTGTAAATATGTTATATAACCAAGGCTATGCCCACAGAATTCACTTCAGTGTTTTTGGTAGATGACAAAAAGCACAATATAACCAGTGAAGAAGGAGTTTGGCCATTGAAACTACTCTCTCTCATCTCTGTCTTCTAATGGACAGTCACAGAGTGAGATGGCTGGAAAGGGATTGGTTGAACGTGATTGGTTGACCTGTTGCTGATGAGGCATGGTAAAACAGTAATCAGGTTGCTCATCCTTCTGTTTCTTGTCGCCATAGTGATGAGGAGGAGATGCGGAAGTCTTTCTCGGAGCTGGGGGACACCAACCAGGCAGACTCCACCTCTAAACACATGAAGAGCATGGCCAGCGGTGGGAAACCCCTAGTGGCCATGGCCCAGCCCTCGGGAGCTCTGCTGTATAAGAACGGCTTCCTGGTGCGCAAGGTGCACGCCGACTCAGACGGCAAGAGAAGTACGTGTCAAAACCATAGACATATTGTACATTTATAGCTTATTTGTTTAAACCCCCATTGACCCCCCTATAAGTCCTCATAGTATGTGTCATATCCCCTCCCTCTCCTCACCGCTGTTTATTTGTTAAGCCCACCCCTCTCTTTATTCATGTTTAGTTTAGTTTGATGTTTTGTTTTGACTATATAAGTCCCTTTTTTTAAAGTATTATTATTATTATTACTCATTTAGCCCTATGCTGTTATTTTAGCAACGGCTACAGTATACAGTGCAATCGGAAAGTATTCAGGCCCCTTGACTTTTTCACATTTTGTTACGTTACAGCCTTATTCTAAAATGGATTGAATTGATTTTTCCCCCTCATCAATCTACACACAATGCCCCATAATGAGAAAGCAAAAACAGGTTTTTAGAAATGTTTGCTAATTTATTAAAAATAAAAAACTGAAACATCACTTTACATAAGTATTCAGACCCTTTAACTCAGTACTTTGTTGAAGCACCTTTGGCAGCGATTACAGCCTCGAGTCTTCTGGGGTATGACGCTACAAGCTTGGCACACCTGTTTTTGAGGGGTTTCTCCCATTCTTCTCTGTAGATCCTCTCAAGCTCTGTCAGGTTGGATGGGGAGCGTCGCTGCACAGCTATTTTCAGGTCTCTCCAGACATGTTCAATCAGGTTCAAGTCCGGGCTCTGGCTGGGCCACTCAAGGACATTCAAAGACTTGTCCTCAAAGCCACTCCTGCGTTGTCTTGGCTGTGTGCTTAGGGTCGTTGTCCTGTTGGAAGGTGAACCTTCGCCCCAGTCTGAGGTCCTGAGCGCTCTGGAGCAGGTTGTCATCAAGGATCTCTCTGTACTTTGCTCAGTTCATCTTTCCCTCGATCCTGACTAGTCTCCCAGTCCCTGCCGCTGAAAAACATCCCCACATCATGATGCTGCCACCACCATGCTTCACCGTAGGGATGGTGCCAGGTTTCCTCCAGATGTGGCTCTTGGCATTCAGGCCACAGTGTACAATCTTGGTTTCATCAGACCAGAGGATCTTGTTTCTCATGGTCTGAGAGTCCTTTAGGTGCCTTGTGGCAAACTCCAAGCGAGCTGTCATGAGCCTTTTACTGAGGAGTGGCTTCCGTCTGGCCACTCTACCATAAAGGCCTGATTGGTGGAGTGCTGCAGAGATGGTTGTCCTTCTGGAAGGTTCTCCCATCTCCACAGAGGAACTCTGGAGCTCTGTCAGAGTGACCATCGGGTTCTTGGTCACCTCCCTGACCAAGGCCCTTCTCCCTCGATTACAGTTTGGCCGGGCAGCCAGCTCTAGGAAGAGTGTTGGTGTTCCAAACTTCTTCCATTTAATAATTATGGAGGCCACTGTGTTCTTGGGGATCTTCAATGCTGCAGAAATGTTTTGGTACCCTTCCCTAGATCTGTGCCTCGACACAATCCTGTCTCGGAGCTCTACGGATAATTCCTTCGACCACATGGCTTGGTTTTTGCTCTGACATGCACTGTCAACTGTGGGACCTTATATAGACAGGTGTGTGCCTTTCCAAATCATGTCCAATCAATTGAATTGACCACATGTGGACTCCAATCAAGTTGTAGAAACATCTCAAGGATGATCAATGGAAACAGGATGCACCTGAGCTCAATTTCGAGTCTCAGTAATAGGGTCTGAATACTTATGTAAATAAGGTATTTATGTTTTCTATGTTTAATAAATGTGCAAACATTTCTAAAAACCTGTTTTCACTTTGTCATTATGGGGTATTGTGTGTAGATTGATGAGGAAAATGTTTTATTTAATCAATTTTAGAATAAGGCTGTAACGTAACAAAATGTGGAAAAAGTCAAGGGGTCTGAATACTTTCCGAATGCACTGTACTTCTCACGTTCCACATACAGTAAATCATATGATTTTCATTGGAACAATGAGAGTTCTGTGGCTCTGTTCCAACATCTATACTAGCCTAACACTTACAGTTGAAGTCGGAAGTTTACATACACTTAAGTTGGAGTCATTAAAACTCGTTTTTCAACCACTCCACAAATTTCTTGTTAACAAACTATAGTTTTGGCAAGTCGGTTAGGACATCTACTTTGTGCATGACACAATTGATTTTTCCAACAATTGTTTACAGACAGATTATTTCACTTATAATTCACTGTATCACAATTCCAGTGGGTCAGAAGTTTACATACACTAAGTTGACTGTGCCTTAAAATAGCTTGGAAAATTCCAGAAAATGATGTCATAGCTTTAGAATCTTCTGATAGGCTAATTGACATAATTTGAGTCAATTGGAGGTGTACCTGTGGATGTATTTCAAGGCCTACCTTCAAACTCAGTGCATCTTTGCTTGACATCCTGGGAAAATCAAAATAAATCCGCCAAGACCTCAGACATTTTTTTGTAGACCTCCACAAGTCTGGTTCATCCTTGGGAGCAATTTCCAAACGCCTGAAGGTACCACGTTCATCTGTACAAACAATAGTACGCAAGTATAAACACCATGGGACCACGCAGCCGTCATACCACTCAGGAAGGAGACGCGTTCTGTCTCCTAGAGATGAACATACTTTGGTGCGAAAAGTACAAATCAATCCCAGAACAACAGCAAAGGACCTTGTGAAGATGCTGGAGGAAACAGGTACAAAAGTATCTATATCCACAGTAAACCAAGTCCTATATCGACATAACCTGAAAGGCCGCTCAGCAAGGAAGAAGCCACTGCTCCAAAACCGCCATAAAAAAGACAGACTATGGTTTGCAACTGCACATGGGGACAAAGATTGTACTTTTTGGAGAAATGTCCTCTGGTCTGATGAAACAAAAATAGAACTGTTTGGCCATAATGACCATCGTTATGTTTGGAGGAAAAAGGGGGTTGCTTGCAAGCCGAAGAACACTGTCCCAACCGTGAAGCACGTGGGTGGCAGCATCATGCTGTGGGGGTGCTTTGCTGCAGGAGGGACTGGTGCACTTCACAAAATAGATGGCATCATGAGGAAGGAAAATTATGTGGATATATTGAAGCAACATCTCAAGACATCAGTCAGGAAGTTAAAGCTTGGTCGCAAATGGGTCTTCCAAATGGACAATGACCCCAAGCATACTTCCAAAGTTGTGGCAAAATGGCTTAAGGACAACAAAGTCAAGGTATTGGAGTGGCCATCACAAAGCCCTGACCTCAATCCTATAGAAGATTTGTGGGCAGAACTGAAAACGTTTGTGCGAGCAAGGAGGCCTACAAACCTGACTCAGTTACACCAGCTCTGTCCGGAGGAATGGGCCAAAATTCACCCAACTTATTGTGGGAAGCTTGTGGAAGGCTACCCGAAACGTTTGACCCAAGTTAAACAATTTAAAGGCAATGCTACCAAATACTAATTGAGTGTATGTAAACTTCTGACCCACTGGGAATGTGATGAAAGAAATACAAGCTGAAATAAATACTTCTCTCTACTATTATTCTGATATTTCACACTCTTAAAATAAAGTGGTGATCCTAACTGACCTAAGACAGGGAATTTTTACTACGATTAAATGTCAGGAATTGTGAAAAACAGAGTTTAAATGTATTTGGCTAAGGTGTATGTAAACTTCCGACTTCAACTGTAGTATGAAGCAATGTATTGGGTATGTATAGGTGTGTTGTTAGTATGGACATTTGAAGGTGACCTGTGTTTTGACCAAACTATTCTCCTGATCTCAGCACCGCGTGGGAAGAGAGGGTGGAAGACGTTCTATGGCATTCTGAAGGGGCTGATTCTCTACCTGCAGAAGGTGAGCAGCTCCTGCCAAGGGGAGCAGGTGTGACAACACTTCTGTCTCACTTTATAAACTCACAACACATTCACTGTTCCGAAATTCTGAAAAGTCTAAAAAAGACTGCTCAGTCAACTCACTTTTTACATACTCTTATTCAGTAACATTATATATATTTTTGCACCAAAGAAAATCCCAAAATGTTCAGAAAATGTACGTCTAAAAAGACTGCTAAGATTATCCTACTTTGTTACGTACTCATATACAATAACATTTGTGATACACTTGTAAGTATACCCATCTTTGATTGACACACACTGAAATACTAAAACTACTCATACAGAGCTCACTGTCCAACCATCCAGATGGCTTTTCATACCCTGTTGAGTGTTGATATTATCAATATGAGGTAATGCATAAAGGTTGAGTCCTTGGTTCAGTGCCTCCAGACTGCCGTCCTCAGACCTGGCACTGCCGTCTATAATCATTTGGACCAGTGGTCCTGGCCTTTGCTACGGGCAGCCCTGCCAGCTTCTTGGGCTTGTGTGTGTAACTCGGCCACTTTGAACGGAAGCGAAGGTCCCATCCAGAGACGTTCCAATGGCAACACAGCTGTGCCAATGATGTAATTAATGTACTGTATAGCTATTGGCAGTGCTCTCTGGTCCAACGGTCATGTTTGAGTTGGGCAGAGTCAAGGCCCCTACTCAGGTGTCAAAAAGACCAATTTCCTTAGGATGGTTTGTTCTGTATTATAAACTGGGTAGTTTGAGCCCTGAATGCTGATTGTGACAGCCGTGGTATATCAGACGGTATACCACGGGTATGACAAAACATGTATTTTTACTGCTCTAATTATGTTGGTAACCAGTTTATAATAGCAATAAGGCACCTCGGAGGTTTGTGATATATGGCCAATATACCATGGCTAAGGGCTGTATCCAGGCACTCCACTTTGCGTCGTGCCTAAGAACAGCCCTTAGCGGTGGTATATTGGCCATATACCACACCCCCGCGTGCCTTATTGCTTAAACATCCCATCAACAAGTCATCCTGCAGAATGAGAGGTCTGGACACAGTTATCTACTAGAGTGTCCTGATTCAATCATCAACGGTTCAGTTAACCTTTTACTGCAGTGGGCTAAATCAGGGTCACACAGAGTGTTTCTTGATAGTCTTAAACAAATCTACTTTGTAAAAAAGTATACCCCTGACAAACATGGTTATGGGCTTAAAAAAAAGAAGACACCTGTACCATGTCAGATATAGAGTTCAAATGTATTCAATTTTGAGTTTGCATCCCAATATGACACTTTATATAAATCACAGAAGACTGAAATATAACAAAACCGTTTGACATGTAAACACCAGATTTTCTGCAGGTTTTTTAAAATAATGTTGATTAATTATGAAATTATAAGAAATATTAATAACATTCCACCCATGAGGCCACTAGAAGACGATTTGGTCATTTGATTGCAGGAAAGGGCTACAATCAATTGCTGTGTTTTATGATTGATGGAATTTCACACCATAACATCCAATGCCAACTTACTGATGCTTGACATTCTCACATTACAACTCAGTTAGATTACCAGTACTCAAAGAACCATCTGGCGGTTGAATACACTACCCTGTGGTCAGAACTACTGCGATGGTCAATAATGATATCATGATGTAATCACACTTTATGATGATTGTCATTGTTTGACCATGCAGGGAGAGTACCGGCCAGATAAACAGCTGTCGGACGAGGATCTGAAGAACGCTGTGTCCATCCACCACTCTCTGGCGATGAGGGCTGCTGACTACAGCAAGAGACCCAATGTGTTCTACCTCCGCACTGCTGACTGGAGAGTCTACCTCTTCCAGGCACCGTGAGTCCCATCCCTCGCTTCACTCTTCTTCTCTCATTCCTCTGTAAGATCGAGCCATCCCTTGCTTTCACGAGTTCAGGTTACACACTATAAGTTGAACGTGAGATGGTTCATTATTTGGCTTGGAGCCATAACCTGCAACTGCTCCCTGCACAGCACACATCTACCTCGGTCAATAAACCTGATCTTGACTTTGCAAGGGCACCCTCCTCCTCTTGTCTCCTTGTTTGACCTCTAGATGTCTTGGGCCAGTCTCTCCCCTTCTCACCAGCCAGTCATGGCTGTTGCTACCTCCTGCTGTGTGTGTGTTTTTGGTTTTACTATCCTTGTGAGGACCAGAAGTTCTCACAAGGATAGTAAAACAAGGAAAATTCGAACAAGTGGGGATATTTTGCTGGTCCCCACAAGGTTTTAGGGTTAGAATTAGGGTTAGTGATTAGGTTTAGGGTTAGGTTAGGGTTTGGGGTTAGTGTTAGGTTAAGGGTTAGGGTTAGGTTAAGGGTTAGGGTTAAGTTTAGGGTTAGGGGTTAGGAAAAATAGGATTTTCAATTGTTTGGTCCCCATAAGGATAGTAAAACATTTTGTTAGTCCCTACAAGGTAAAATGCTATTTCTAGTGGGTTTAGGGTAGAGTTAGGGTTAGAATTAGAGTTAGGCGTTAGGGTTAGGTTTAGGGTTAGAGGTTAGGGAAAATAGGATTTAGATTGGTTATAAATTGTGTGTCCCCACAAGGTTATAGTGTGTGTGTATGTGTGTGTGTGTTTGGGAGGAGTAGGGCGGTGAGGGGTGTAAATCAAGGATGCAGAGGCACATGATGTGGCCACATGTTCCAGTCACCCAGGAGGACCGGCTCTGCTCCAGTTGCAGCCTGTCCCAGATACCTTCCTCTCTCTCTCTCTCTCTCTCTCTCTCTCTTCTCTCTCTCTCTCGTCTCTCTCTCCTCCCTCTCTCTCTCTCTCTGCTCTCTCTCATCCTCTCAATTTCAGTCTCTCTCTCTCTCTCTCTCTCTCTCGATCCCTCTCTCTCTCACTTTCCTTCCTTTCTCCCCCTCTCTCTCCCTCTCTATCTCCCTCCTTCCCTCTCTCCATCCCTATCTCTCTGTCCTCTCTCTCTTCCTCTCTCCCTCCCTCCCTCCCTCTCTCTTCCTCTCTCTCATTTCTCAGCCAGTGTCCAGGTAGTTGTGACTCTCTGGGGTCTCTAATGGCCCGTTAGTAGATAACATCTATTTTTCTCATCTATTAATTAGCCCCTCAATTATTTATTTCTCAACAGCAAAGCAGCGTTTTTCAATTCAGCAGCTGTGATGATAATCACTATGATGGCTTAGTTTAGCTCTGTGCAGTAGGGATTGATATGTGTGGGGTGGGGTGTGTGAACGTGTGTGAACGTGTGTGAACCTGTGTGGCATGTGTTTGTACAACAAGATCTCAGAAACTCAGTGTGTGTGTGTGTGTGTGTGTTTTGTCCTCTATAGAAACGCGGAGCAAATGCAGTCGTGGATCACGCGCATCAACACGGTATCAGCGATGTTCTCAGCACCACCCTTCCCTGCAGCCATTGGTTCACAGAAGAAATTTGCCCGACCGCTGCTGCCATGCTCCACCTCCAAACTGTCACAGGTACCCGCCTCCGTACCATGTCCTCATATCACCAATCACATTTACCATACCACATCACTACCATAATTGAAAAAAATCCCTGAAGGCACTCTTCAAAATGAATGAATAAATGCTATTATTTTAAATGTCCACAAGGATGATTAAAGGACAAAACTTGCAATGATGTCAGAAATAAAGTATAGGCCTACAGAGGTCAAACTAGTGACGATCATGTGCTGGGAGAGAATGCATGGCCCTCTGTTGACCTGGGTTTTGAACTCTGACCTTAAGTATCTGTGCTTACAGGAGGAGCAGGTCCAGTCCCATGAGTCTCGGTTCCGGGCCATCTCCACTGAACTGGCTGAGCTGCGCTCGTATCCTCCAGACCGAAAGATCAAAGGCCGCGAGCTGGAGGAGTACCGCCAGCGGGACGAGTACCTAGAGTTTGAGGTGAGCCCAAGGCAACAGTGTGTGAACTTTTCAAAGGCTACAGAAAAGAAAAGAAAGAAATTGGAATCCAGTCAAGCGTTAAGCAATTATGCAGCACTGCATTTCTGTCTCATTCACTTTCTCTGTCCCCTCGCTCCCTTTCTTGCCTTCTCTGACTCTCCCTCTCTCTCTCCCTTCCCTTCTCTCCCTCTTCCTCTGTCCCCCTCTGCATCCCTCCCCTCCCTCTTCTGTAATGTAGAAAACGCGCTACGGTACCTACGCCATGCTACTGCGGGCCAAGATTCGCTGCGGCGAGGATGACCTGTCCGTATTCGAGGCCCAGATCTTGGAGGACAATGGGCTGCAGCGCGCCCACTCCAGCCCCACACTGCAGGACAGCAGCCAGGCCAGCCAGGCCTCCCAGGGCAGCAGCACCAAGGAGCCGGTGGGCTGCAGCGGCATAGGAAAAGGCTCCAAGCGCATCGAGGGCCAGAGATACAGCTACCGCCAGGCCGTCAAGAAGTGAGTCAGGGCGGGGCGCCGGGTGGTGATGACTTGGCAGGCTTGTCTCACTGCACAGGTTATTTGAGATCTGAGTGAGGGGGGGGGGGGGTTATAGGAGCTTGAAAAGGAGAGGGGTGAGAGTTTACTGTATACACCACGTCCGTCCCCCCCGTCCCCCATGGCGCCCCCACCCAGCACCCCCGATATCCTCAGCCAGTAGGGGAGGTGCAGAGGTGCAGATCCTATGACTGGCGCGGTCACTGGCCAATGCCAGCGGTGTGTTGGGGCATGAGGGAGGGAGGGAGGAGCGTTGGAGAGGTAATGGAGCTTGGAAAGGAGGTATTCGAGAGAAGGCGTTCTGGATACAGTAATAGACTGTACTATACCGTACGGTAAGACAGAGGGTCCTCACGTAAGCAGTAGCGCCGCCGTACAGGGACTCCCATCCAGCATCCTTTCCTTCTTATTCTTTGAGGGCACCTCTCCCACAAACCCCTCCACCAACCTTTTTTCTGACGATGTTTCTTCTGATTTGGGACCAGACTTGTTTACACATTTGACACCTTAAGTCTCCAATGCCTGTTCTGTTGATTTGAACATGTGTTACAGTACTGTAATACTGTAGTAAGAGGAGCTAGACCCTAGACTCATTGTAAAAACACTAGGGTACTTGTTGCTCCTGAACTTTTCTTTGGGGCAAATATTGTGGCAGCAACGTGGCTCTAGTGGATCCGCAATGGCAGTGCACTATGCATCAGGATCCGCAATGGAGGTTCAGTTGCAGCTCTTCCTCCTGGCCCGAATCAGGGTGAGGGCAGAGGAGAGACTGAGCTCTCATGACTTCAGACCACTCCACTCTCTGCACACTCTCTCTCTTCTCCCCTGTTCTCACACTCTGTCTCAGAGAGGGGGTAACTGTGGCTCCCATCTCTATCCTTTCTCCCAAATGGGTTGTTAAAGTGGTGGATGTCATTTGAGACACATTAGGCTACTACTGTACAGCGACACACAAGTGAGTAAAAATGTAATTGTACTGCATCATCCTCTCAGCAAGAGAGACCCATGGTTTCTTTCCTTTTCCTTAAAGGGGCAATCTGCCATTGATATATACCCATTGATTCTTGAAGAATATAACTTATATATGCCTCATGAGCTTAGTTCAATTGTTGTACCCCATCAGAACCCAAAATATAAACTTGTTTTTAGTCCTTTGTTTGTAAACAGTGTAATTGTAAACAAAAACGGTATCTCCTCAAAACATGGTTAAAACTATAATTCTAATATCATGGATGGTTAGTCCTTGTATCCATAGCTCTGTCCATGAATTTGAGAGGGGTTACATTTTTCCAGCCCATCCCTCAGCTGTTTACCAAATCAGTGGTAGGGTAGCTGCTTTGTTATTGTTGAACTGCAGATTGCCCCTTTAATAACAGTTGTTTTCCTCTTACCTAGCCAGTTGCTTTAGCTTTGTCTTGTGGTGGGCTTCTGTTCTTCTTTCTTAATACTCTGGGCTGAATTTTGCTTTTTCTCAGCATGCCTGCATCGAGCTCAGCTTTTTATTTTATGCATTTTTCTTCTTCTTGGGAAAAAAAGAGAGCAGCAACTGTTTGGGTTGTGTTGTCTTTTTAATCATGCTGTTGTATTGACATGTCCTCCCTGTTACTCCCTGACCTGTCCTCCCTGTTACTCTCTGACCTGTCCTCCCTGTTACTCCCTGACCTGTCCTCCCTGTTACTCCCTGACCTGTCCTCCCTGTTACTCCCTGACATGTCCTCCTTGTTACTCCCTGACCTGTCCTCCCTGTTACTCCCTGACCTGTCCTCCATGTTACTCCCTGACCTGTCCTCCATGTTACTCCCTGACCTGTCCTCCCTGTTACTCCCTGACATGTCCTCCTTGTTACTCCCTGACCTGTCCTCCATGTTACTCCCTGACCTGTCCTCACTGTTACTCCCTGACATGTCCTCCCTGTTACTCCCTTAATCTGTGTGTATACGTATAGGGTACTTGTTTATAAGACCTGTTTAACACTCACCAGGCAGACACTGAATGTTCTTGTTTTTTATATATTTTTTTACAGTATTTTACAATAGTCTGTCTGACATGCTCCTTGTCTTCTTGTGTACTGTTGTAAGCGTCATTGTACGATGAAATATCAAGAATATAAGAAGTATTTTATTCATATTTATAGTAAACCTATGGCATACGTTTTATAATAACCTGCCAACTACTATATTATGCTTATATTGTATGATACATTGTACAGTATATGTACTTTTACAATATATCCTGGTGAATATGCATAAAATAAACATACAGAGTTGATATTATACATTCCCTGTATTTAAATGTCCTGAAAGTGTTCTATGATAATCATGTGTTTTTACATAGTATTCTTCAGTATGTAAAGGGGCAACAAAGGCACCAGCACAATCTGAGTATTATCTAAAAGCCTATGTATCTATCAAACAATGATGAGATTGAGAAATTAGATCTAGCAAAATGGGACAATGCCACAATCAATTCCCATCATTATTTCAACTCTCTTGTCTGAAGTATTGGGAAGAGAGTGAGAGAGGCATTATTCTTTAAATTGATAGCGTGATTTACTTTGAAGGTATTTGTTGATCTTGTCAGAGAGTAATGTTTTGCTGTTGTTGCTACATGAAAAATAGACATGGAATAATGTAACAGGTGAATGTGAAACGTGGAATGTGAGTGGATTGCCTTGCAGGCTAATAGACAGGGGGAAGCGGCAAGACATTTACTGACAAAATATGTATGGAAGCATATCCATACCATATCCTCAATCAATGTAAAGAATAATAATCAACATAGCCATTTCATGACATACCTTCAGTTTCAAACATTCAGTGGAGAATGTCATATTGTTGCATAATATGTTTGAAGGATAGCCATTTTCTACTCAGGCCTTCAAATGTCGCCTTGAACAGCTGTGATGCCAGCATCCTACCAGCAGAGAGAGCTGTTTAGCAGGACATTCAGTTACCTTTCAGCCATAACATTGCTGCCCCCGCACTGCACAAGCTTTTTAGGGTGGGCCATTCACAGTCTCTGGCAAGGGAGTACTGAGGATCTATCTGTGATCGGTGACAGATATTTATTTGTGTGTATGTGTGTTGTGTGTGTGTATGTGTTTAACTATGTTTGTGGGGACCAGAAGTCCCCACAAGAATAGTAAACGAACAAAGATTTGACAAGCCTAGGGGGTTTAGGGTTAAGGTAGAATTAGTGTTAGGGTAAAATTAAGATTAGGGTTAGCAGTTAGGGTTAGTTTTAGGGTTAAGGTTAGGGGTTAGGGAAAATAGGATTTTGAATGGTTATAAATTGTGTATCCCCACAAGATTAGTTAAACAAGAGTGTGCGTGTGTGTGTGTGCGTTTGAGCGTGTGTGTGTGTGTGCGTGTGTGCGTGCGTGCATAATGTGTGTGTGTGTGTGTACATCTGAGGAGATGTGTTTCTGTTCTGCTGTAAGTTTGTGAATGTCATTGAATGCAGTATGCTGCGACCTGGCTGACCTGCTGTTCTACTAAGGAGCCTATTTATGGAATGTGGCTGAGGAGAATATTCTAGCCGGCAGATTCATGTAATGTTTTGAAGCAGGAATGCTTTATCCAGCTGTGTCCATCGCATGTAGTTACCTTGCTGGGGGAAAAAAATGTGTACAATTTTTGTACAGACAATTGAATGTTAGGTCTAAGTTTAGCATGGTGTATTTTGTCTCTTGTCTTTTCCTATCTCACCTCAGTGATTTTCGCATTTTTCACCTTCCTTTTCAATGATCTCATTCCCCTCCAATCTCACACTCTCTTTCACTCTCTATTTTCCCCTTCACTCCTCCTCCTCTTTCGCATCACTTCATTTCCCCTGTGTCAGATTGCTCTGCCCTCTGTCTCGGTCATCATTTCACTGCTATCACATTCCTACACAATCTTTTGGGAAGCTTCCTTTCATCACTTAACTGCTTGTGTATATTGTTACTATAACTGCTGACATATACCTTTAATTGTATTGTAACTTGATGTTACAGCTGTGATATTACTGCTTGGTACTTGTATTTATTGATAGTGTTTCACACTTGTGCATATGTGGCCAGGTTAGTCTATCACAGAATGCTATGTCACCTCGGGACATTGGAGAGTACAAGGACTGAGGTCCCTTTGAAAATCTCATCTTTCACACACTGTTTGTTCATATCTTGGGGTCTATGCAGTACATGCCCTGTTCCCTGTGTCCCGGGCACTAACCATGAGGAAGAGAGGCACAAACAATTTGATACGGTATACTGTCTGTTGTACAGCAGTATGATAGTCAGGACTAGCTTCAGCTTCAAGTTCAGCAAGCTCTCTATGCCCACCCTGCCACCCCACCCCCTCTGACATCATCACAGAGCAGCTGCAGGGTCTCCATGGCACTGGTTTGCATGGAAACCGCTAGTTCCCTCCAAGTATGTAAAATGTGCCTATTTGATTGTGAAAATTTCTGAATAAAATCTAAATGTTGGCTCCGTGATACTGACATGAAAGCCTAGGTGTTACTGTATGTTTGACCCTTTCCCAGCCAGCACTTCTGAATGTGACATGTGTGTATATATACAGCATGAGATAATATTATTATGGTCTGCTTTCCTTTGTATTATGTTTAGAGTATTTAATGAAAGGTTAATATATAGAACAACATTTTTGTCCTTCAGTTCATTGTCATGTTTTTTTTTTTATTATAAAGCTGAATGAAGGAAAAGTTGTTGTATTTATGCTGTTTTATGCTAATCTGTTGTAAACACCACACCACGCCACCAATGCATTAAAAACTGTGATATAGTGTACTACAGTGGGGTTCTGACTGATTTCAGTCAGAAATGCCAATGAGAGACATTTGAAATGTTTTTACTTGGGTTGTTTTACTCATTTTAGCTGTACACGTGTCGGCTGCCTGTTAAAACCTCACTTCTTTAAGGAAACATTGTTTGTATATGAGCTCTTCTGGGGAGGCATAGCAGAAAAATAAAAGTGTTTCAAAAAGGGACTGTTTGTGCATTATTTTATTTTGTCAAATATTAAAGTCAAACTACATAAAATAATATACCACCACACATGGGGCCAGTACGGAACTCCAGAGAGGATATATGAATTTTAAAAAAAATCCCTCGTTATGTCGAGATCACGACTTACATTTTATGGCCAAGAGTATGTGGACATCCCTTCAAATTAGTGGATTCTGCTATTTCAGCCACACCTGTTGCTGACAGGTGTATACAATTAAGCACATGGCCATGCAATCTCCATAGACAAACATTGGCAGAAAAATTGCCTTACTGAAGAGCTCAGTGACTTTCAATGTGGCACCGTCATAGGATGCCACCTTTCCAACAAGTCAGTTTGTCAAATTCCTGCCCAGCTAGAGATGCCACAGCCAACTGTAAGTGCTGTTATTGTGAAGTGGAAATGTCTAGGAGCAACAACGGCTCAGCCGTGAAGTGGTAGGCCTCACAGAATGGGACCACCGAGTGCTGAAGTGCGTAGCGCGTAAAAATTGTCTGTCCTCGGTTGCAACACTCACTACCGAGTTCCAAACTGCCTCTGGAAGTAACGTCGGCACAAGAACTGTTTGTCGGGAGCTTCATGAAATGGGTTTCCATGGCCGAGCATCCGGACACAAGCCTAAGATCACCATGCGCAATGCCATGCGTTGGCTGAAGTGGTGTAAAGCTCGCCGCCATTGGACTCCGGAGAAGTGGAAACGCGTACTCTGGAGTGATGAATCACGCTTCACCATCTGGCAGTCTGACAAACGAATCTGGGTTTGGCGGATGCCAGAAGAACGCTACCTGCCCCAATGCATGGTGCCAACTGTAAAGTTTGGTGAAGGAGGAATAATGGTCTGGGGCTGTTTTTCATGGTTCGGGCTAGGCCCCTTAGTTCCAATGAAGGGAAATCTTAACTCTACAGCATTCAATGACATTCTAGACAATTCTGTGCTTCCAACTTTGTGGCAACAGTTTGGGGAAGGCCCTTTCCTGTTTCAGCATGACAATGCCCCTGTGCACAAAGCAAGGTCCATATAGAATTGGTTTGTCGAGATTGGTGTGAAAGAACTTGACTGGCCTGCACAGGGCCCTGACCTCAACCCCATTAAACACCTTTGGGATGAATTTGAACACAGATTGTGAGCCAGGCTTAATCACCCGACATCAGTGCCCAACCTCACTAATGTCCCTGCAGCAATGTTCCAACATCTAGTGGAAAGCCTTCCCAGAAGAGTGGAGGCTGTTATACCAGCAAAGGGGGACCAACTCCATATTAATGCCCATGATTTTAGAATGAGATGTTCGATGAGCATGTGTCCACATACTTTTGGCCATGTAGTGTATTTATTTCATGATCACAACATAACACAAGTTGTTTTGTCAAGATCACAAGATACTTTTCTTGTGATCATTTTCTCGTGATCACGACATAACAAAAGTTGTTTTGTCGAGATCACAAGATAATTTCCTCGTGATCACAACATAACAGAAGTTATTTAGTCAAGATCACAAGATAAACCCTAAATAGGAGTGGACATATTGATGATAGATGGATAGCAATGTCAGTGCACCAGAGGCAGAAAGACTCTACAAAGATCTAAGACCTTCGAGTAGAGCATATCTGTTGTAAGTAGCCATGTGCTAATGTATAGGCCTTATTATCAAAGCTCCAGCAATAAAAGGCAAACAATGGTAAACTGAGGATTTACACATTCCAAACAAACGGCAGGTGTTACAGTATGTGTCTAGTCAGTGAGATGATTTGTATGACTGGAGGAGCTGTCCTTCAGCACCACAACATTTTGCCCACCATTTGTGGCTGTAATGACAAATAGACTGTAGCCTACGTTAAATGTTGGAGTATTTAGAAACCCCAACGTGATTCACTTCGCCTGTTTTACTATTAAAAATGTTCTGTACTACTTTTTAATTGTTATTTGTGACTGTTTTTTTTCTATTGAGAGGCCAACCTCCCTGTTAAAACTACTAAAGAGATTTAAATAAACTTTTATTGGTAGTCTGGTAAACTTTCATTGGTAGTCTGCAACCACAGACCTCAATGTTAACTTTTCTTGCACTGAACATTCTACATTCAATCCATTTAAAATAGAAGTGCAACCACACTTTTACATGCCTTTAAAATTTGATTGTAATGGAGCAAAAACTGGAAGCCATCTATAACTGACAGATATAATGCAATTTTTGCCTGGGTTAATCACTGATCAAAATAAAAACGGAAGCGCTGATCCACCATGTGCGCTGCAGCCTCAGCCATACTGTCAATCTATCATCAATAAATCCAATCCTATTTATAGAGTTTATCACCTGACAACTTTTGTTATGTCTTGATAACGAAAAAATTATCTTGTGATCTCGACAAAACGAGGGTATATATTTTTTTATTTATATGTCCTCTCTGGACTGTCATAGGCCAGAGCGTTTGCACCTGTCTTTTCAAAAGGGAAATAAGCATTGAGTATGGAAGAAGAAGATAAGAAAACTGTGTGTGTCAGTCACATACTTTCACATTCATAACTTTTTAATCACTTAACATCATGGTGTTCGAGGTCTTTGACATGATGTCACACTTTGCACCATCTTTTGTCGGACACACCATATGTGGCTAGATGGTATACAGCTACGGACGGAAGTGACGCATAAACCGTCAAAATCATATTGTTTTGTAGTTTCGGGGAGAATTGTAACTAACCCTAAAACGAACTATTGTCCTAACCTTAATCTAACTATCCTAACCTGCTACGTTAATTATCTTAACCTGCTGCGTATGTTATCCTAACATGCTATGAAAAATCAATGTTCTTAGCTGTATACTATCTAGTCCTCACCAGGGGGCTCAATTATAACCGTTGCGTAAATTTAACACTAAATATCTGCTTGTGCCATTTCTGAAAAGACTGCACACGCACAAAAACTAAATGATGTAAATGTAAATGTAAAAAACATTTAGATGTATTAACTTGGCCCATGCCATACATACGCATGTTTCGCGTAATAAATCAGACCTGTCATGAAACTGTGCACGCGTGAACGAGCATTATAACTCCTGATGAAAAACACCCATCATTCATATTTTATGGTGACAATAACGCCCTTATTTGCTGTACTTAGGAAGTATTGGAATTAGGTCGACACAGTATCTAAGGAAATAGCAGTGCATGGCAAACTTGATCAAATGTCTTTAATATTGGAGGGGTTGGAGGGGTTGGCAGAATGTTTTCTTTTGCAGTGACATTTGCTGTGTCTGAAAGACAAAAACAATTGCACATTGTTGTGGACCTGTAAACAGATCATTTGAATTCAGTAATGTTTTTCATTTACTTTTTCCCGAACTGAAATGCTGCACTGCCCGCCAATTCGGAAACATTGTCTACTCTAAAACTAGCCTACAGTAGGCCTAATTACAGTGGTAGCCTATACGCTTCAATGCAAAATATAAACTGTCTGTTCACCTGTTAAATTCTACATTTACATTTACGTCATTTAGCAGACGCTCTTATCCAGAGCGACTTACAGTTAGTGAGTGCATACAATTATTATATATATTTTTGTATACTGGCCCCCCGTGGGAATCAAACCCACAACCCTGGCGTTGCAAACGCCATGCTCTACCAACTGAGCTACATCCTGCCGGCCATTCCCTCCCCTACCCTGGACAACGCTGGGCCAATTGTGCGCCGCCCCATGGGTCTCCCGGTCGCGGCCGGCTACGACAGAGCCTGGACTACTATAGGTTATAAACCGCGTTCCCTTTCTGATTATAGTATCTAATAGGTACAATGAGAGATGTGCATGGTCATTTGTTGTATGGCTACTTCGGGAATATGAACTCATCATGGCCAGCAAAGGTGAGGAATTTATTCTGCAATGGTTATAATAATGTATACTGTATGTATAATGTTTATAAATGAAATATTGTCTACTCAAGAAATGTGACATTACAGTATCCATCCATATGCGGTAGCCTACAAACGTCAATGGAAAAGGTGAACCGTCTGTTCTACCGTTAAACTGTGCTTCATATCGGGTCAAATAGAGCAAAATACTTGAAATAGCTTATCTATTTGCTACTGTGAAGGGGGTCCAATTAAATGAGAGATGGGACGAATGGTAGCCTATCCTAACTTGTTGCAGGCCTATAGGCTATTTCGCGAATATGAAACAATCACTACGAAAAGGTGAGGATTTTTGCTGTTCTCACTAACAGCAAATTATTACATATTTCTATTATATTTAGCTGCCTGTTTTTTTATTATGAATAAGAGTGTCATCATATATTCCTGCACAAGGCTACTACTAGGCTACTTCTGTCTTTTTGCAATGCATTACTTCAACCACTAGAAACTGTGCATACTCATGGTCTAAAGTTTGCGGGAGGATAAGCACATTATCACGTCAAGTTCAGTTTTTATAAATTCCAAGTTTTGCGTGAAAACTGTCGCACGCAAATTTTGGGGCATATTTTATTCTTATGCCGCATTAATAAATGAGGCCCCAGACCCCCGGTTTAATTTTTTTTATTCAGAAAAGCTGCGGGTTTTGTTGGTGACGTCACATCTAGGAAAGCGCACATTCCTGTCAAGGTGCATTGGTCAGACACAAGAGGATAATCTTTATTTTTCTGGAAAAAAACGGGCGATGACTCTCGTATGAAATAGCAAAGTAACGTAATAATTGGCTTAGATTATAGTATTACTCCAATATTTATCAAATAACCAGCTACATTCGTATTTTCCCAGCGTTGATAGCCAGCAGCGTTAGCTAGCTAGCTAACGGTAGCTATGTTTACTTCGTCTACGAGCTTCGTTGAACAGTTACGGGTACAACCCTGCAAGGAAAATATGGGCGATTGTAAAGTTTAAACGTCTATCTTCATATTGGCTATTGATCAATTTTGTTTACGGACATCATCTGACGGTGGAGCTAAGTTGATAGTTAGCTACGCTAGCTAGCTAACACTAACAAAGGTACTAGTAAGGCAAACTTGAAAGTTGTTTAGTTAGCTAGCACCACTAACGTTAGCTGTTATAAGTAACGTAGATATCAAGTTAACAGTTAGCTAGTAAATGCTTGATTTACAGCATAGTTGGCTAACTATAAATGTTGCCAATTTGCATAGCCAAATGTAACATTAATCGTTCTTATTGTTAACGTTACAGAAATGGATAAGCCTCCTTTCAGACAAAACCAAAACTGTGGAGACTGGGAATTCAAAGAGAGATTAGGCATGGGCGGTTTTGCCCATGTCTACCTGTATCAACATCATGTAAGTATTCAACTAGCTAGCTAATGTTAGCAACATTTCCATATTTAACCCTAGTTGTTCCAGACTTGAATCAAGGTAGCTACACATCCGGCTGCCAAATCAGACAAGTGTTGGAATTTGAGATATGTACAAGTAAGTGAAAGGGTGTCAACCACTTCCTAGATGTAAACAGTAGGCCTGACTGGGTGATAGATACTGTATCATAGGTCAAATGGTCACCAGTTGAGAGAAACACTGTGAAGCCTAATATTAGCTTTTGGAATACCTTACTGTTTTGTATTTTTCTCTCTGTGAATTCATAAGTACACATCTGTTGAATTGACCAGCTGTTCAACAGGTTCAATCATGATAATAGATTATACTTTTTTTTTCTCGTTTCCAAGGACACATCGGAAAAAATAGCAGTGAAAATGTGTCGCCTGGAGTTAATACCAAGAAACAAAGACAGATGGAGCAGAGAGATCCAGATCATGAAAAAGTTAGTCTTCAATGTATTATCCTTTTGTACATCATTGAAAGCCACACATATTTGAACTGTGTGACTTGTACCTTTTCATTGATACATATAGATCTGCATTTGCTTCTTGTTAGTATCAAGTACAATGTTTTTCTTGTCTCTTTCATATTCAGGTTGAATAATCTCAATGTAGTGACAGCGAGAGATGTGCCAGAGGAGATGAAGCACATTGCCTTAAACGACCTTCCACTGCTGGCCATGGAGTACTGCTCCAAGGGAGACCTCAGAAAGGTGGACAGCAGAGGATTAATACATAATTGTTAATTTTCCTTAAAGTCCACGAAAACATGTAATTTTGATTTTAAACCCCTCGGCACCTACATACTCTCCTGAGGGGTTAGAAGCACAGGGTTAGCCACTGCGCAGTGCACCTGAAGTAGTTAAGCGGTAAATGCCTTGCAGAAGGGCACAATGACAAAATATTGTTCTGTCATGAGGTCTGAAGTATAACAATTTTCATATTAGCAGGCATTTGTCTAACAATGTGTTTATGGTTGAATTTGACAGATGCTGAGCAAACCAGAAAATTGCTGTGGACTGAAAGAAAGTGAAGTGCTTTCCCTACTTAATGACGTTGGTATGTACTGTACCACACCATTGTATTGTGTATAAATCGTTGCTCTGCATAGAGCTGATTTCTGAATGGTCTTAACAGGTTCAGGCATCCAGTATTTACATGAAAACAAGATCATACACAGAGACCTTAAACCAGAAAACGTAGTGCTGCAGGATGTCAACGGAAAGGTAACCCAATATTTATGGACCAGCACACAGAATGTCACCATGCTCTGTTGTTTAAAACTGTCTACATTTTTGTGCTATTGGTGTTGTAAAGTGTGACATTGGCTATGGTGACATTGTCTGTTATTTTGAAAGATTACTGTTCATCTTGCAATGTTACTATTTCTCATAATGTTTTCCTTGTTCAGTTGGTTCACAAAATCATAGACTTGGGCTATGCCAAAGACTTGGACCAGGGGAGTCTGTGTACCTCTTTTGTGGGAACACTGCAGTACCTGGTGAGCATATTATCTATCCCCTGCAAGCACTCCTAGATTCCTATTGATTCAACGCTACACCACTGTCTTTGTTTGTTAAAACCGGACTTACATATTGATACATTGCATATATTTTCCCCAGGCACCTGAGCTATTTGAGAATAAGCCTTACACTGTCACAGTGGACTACTGGAGTTTTGGCACAATGATATTTGAATGCAGCTGTGGATTCCGTCCGTTTCTGCACAATCTTCAGCCTGTCCAATGGTAGTTGTCCCTCTGCATTTGATTGTGTGTCCAACCCTAAAGGAGTAACATTAAAACAGTAACACAGTTTTCAGGTGCTAGTTTTAATTCGAAGTTATCCTCCAAGGGGCACTAGGTAACCATCCTAAATTCCATTTCAATGTTGTTATTTTTCAGGGCCAGCAAAGTGCGGAACAAAGGCCCCAAAGACATCATGGCTGTGGAGGAATTGAATGGGGAAGTCAGATTCTCCACACATCTACCATACCCCAACAATCTAAGCAGGTCCGACGCCATCACACACTTCATTCTGATGGCATTATTAACTACCTGTCGACTAACTTGTCTATGTGCAGTTGAAGTCTGAAGTTTACATACACTTAGGTTGGAGTCATTAAAACTTGTTTTTCAACCACTCCACAAATTTCTTGTTAACAAACTATAGTTTTGGCAAGTCGGTTAGGACATCTACTTTGTGCATGACACAAGTAATTTTTCCAACAATTGTTTACAGACAGATTATTTCACTTATAATTCACTGTATCGCAATTCCAGTGGGTCAGAAGTTTACATACACAAAGTTAACTGTGCCTTTAAAGAGCTTGGAAAATTCCAGAAAATGATGTCATGGCTTTAGAAGCTTTTGATAGGCTAATTGACATCATTTGAGTCAATTGGAGGTGTACCTGTGGATGTATTTCAAGGCCTACCTTCAAACTCAGTGCCTCTTTGCTTGACATCACGGGAAAATCTAAAGAAATCAGCCAAGACCTCAGAAAAAATTTGTAGACCTCCACAAGTCTGGTTCATCCTTGGGAGCAATTTCCAAACGCCTGAAGGTACCATGTTCATCTGTACAAACAATAGTACGCAAGTATAAACACCATGGAACCACGCAGCCGTCATACCACTCAGGAAGGAGACGCGTTCTGTCTCCTAGAGATTAACGTACTTTGGTGCGAAAAGTGCAAATCAATCCCAGAACAACAGCAAAGGACCTTGTGAAGATGCTGGAGGAAATGGGTACAAAAGTATCTATATCCACAGTAAAACGAGTCCTATATCAACATAACCTGAAAGGCCGCTCAGCAAGGAAGAAGCCACTGCTCCAAAACCGCCATAAAAAAGCCAGACTAAGGTTTGCAACTGCACATGGGGACAAATATCGTACTTTTTGGAGAAATATCCTCTGGTCTGATGAAACAAAAATAGAACTGTTTGGCCATTATGACCATCGTTATGTTTGGAAGAAAAAGGGGGTTGCTTGCAAGCCGAAGAACACCATCACAACCGTGAAGCACGGGGGTGGCAGCATCATGCTGTGGGGGTGCTTTGCTGCAGGAGGGACTGGTGCACTTCACAAAATAGATGGCATCATGAGGAAGGAAAATTATGTGGATATATTGAAGCAACATCTCAAGACATCAGTCAGGAAGTTAAAGCTTGGTCGCAGATGGGTCTTCCAAATGGACAATGACCCCAAGCATACTTCCAAAGTTGTGGCAAAATGGCTTAAGGACAACAAAGTCAAGGTATTTGAGTGGCCATCACAAAGCCCTGATCTCAATCCTATAGAAAATTTGTGGGCAGAACTAAAAAAGAGTGTGCGAGCAAGGAGGCCTACAAACCTGACTCAGTTACACCAGCTCTGTCAGGAGGAATGGGCCAAAATTCACCCAACTTATTGTGGGAAGCTTGTGGAAGGCTACCCGAAACGTTTGACCCAAGTTAAACAATTTAAAGGCAATGCTACCAAATACTAATTGAGTGTATGTAAACTTCTGACCCACTGGGAATGTGATGAAAGAAATAAAAGCTGAAATAAATCATTCTCTCTACTATTATTCTGATATTTCACATTCTTAAAATAGTGGTGATCCTAACTGACCTAAGACAGGGAATTTTTACTCTAATTAAATGTCAGGAATTGTGAAAACTGAGTTTAAATGTAGTTGGCTAAGGTGTATGTAAACTTCCGACTTCAACTGTATAGCAGGGGTGCACAGCTCTGGTCCTCGAAGGATGTGTATGCTGGTTTTCATCATAACCTTTAGCCACAGACTTTCTACCTGGGGAAACTAGGGGCCTGCTCAGTAGGGTGCCATGTAACAGAACATTGATATATATATATATATATATATATATATATATATATATATATATATATATATATATATATATATATATATATATATATATATAGTACATTTTTATTTTATTTTTCACAGATATGATTGTCTGTCATGTAGAACAGTGAATCGTGTCAGCTCAATTTATGACAACATTCTGAATGTTTCACCTCATTGCGTAGCATAACTTGAAAATCAAAAAGCAGGACTCTGTAACTGGAGAGAAACGACCCTTGACCTGTATAGAGTGGACCTATTTGTTTCCCCTCCACCAGGGGGGAAGTTCATTTATGTTGTGCTCATTCAGGACACTGCTGGAGCCCATGGAGATGCTGCTTCAACTGATGCTGAAATGGGATCCTGTCCAGAGGGGAGGCAAGACCAACGCTGACAGCAAGAAACCCCAGTGCTTTGAAGTGCTGGAACAAATATTATGCATGAAGGTTAGTTCTGTAATGTATCATACTGTATCTCTTGAGCTGACCTTAGTCTTTCAGATTCTCTGTCAAGGCTGGCCTCATTTATGTGGTTTGGTCTCATAGGCAAAATTGTTGGCCTGTTAGTGCTTGATATTTTGGATTGACTCAATCTGCTAGCCAATCGGCTTCCTTTATTTTACCCATATATTCTCTCCCATTTGCAGGTTGTCCACATCCTGAACATGACCACGGCCCAGGTCCACTCCTTCCAACTGGCCCCAGACGAGAGCCTCCATAGCCTGCAGCGCCGCATCGAGACAGAGACCAAGATTGAGCTGGTCAACCAGGAGCTTTTGCAGGAGACAGGGGTGTCGCTGGACCCCAGGAAGGCTGCAGCCCAGTGTGTCCTTGACGGGGTGGTAAGACTCCTTTTGGTTCCACTCTGCTACTTTGGTGGTGTAATGTTATTTGTTAGAATGTAGTTTTGATTGCCTGGATACCCAAACTCCTTGCTCTGGCCAAATGCTACGCCATGCCCATGGACGTTAGTTTCTTCTCCGCAGTGAGTCTGGATCTGAGTACCTCCCTGACAATTTCTAGAATGGAAATCCGTTCTGGACCATCTGATTGGTCCCAGAAACCGATAGGTTGGGCCAGAGCCAAAACACATGTGGGTAAAGCGACGTTTTGAAAATTCGTCATTGGCATTGATACTCTGATTGGTTAGAGATGATCCAATCACTGATAACTTTGTTTTGTACAACACCCCTTATTTTGACGTCACCACAAACGACTTCAATGACGGCAGTCTCAGACTGAAGTATGTAATGAACGATAGAGCAGCGGAATAATTCATTTTGAGTCGTCAGTCAAGTTTCGATACAACACATTGGAAATCTTAGTCACCTCTTTAGCATTAAAATGTTTAGCATTTGACCTCCATGTAAAGTGGTTGTGTGTGTGTTTTTGTGTGTTGTTCAGCGAGGCTGGGACAGTTACATCATCTATTTGTTTGACAAGAGCCTCACCAAGTACTCTGGTCCCTTCAGTGCTAGACAGCTGCCTGATAAAGTCAACACTATTGGTGAGTCCTGCCTTCTCTGCCCGCTGATAAATATTTTGAGACGTTAAGCCGATTGGATCAAAATACAAGCTCATGCAATTAGAGGTAGTGCTTTGTTTTAGTTTTTTGGGCAAAAACTGAATTGAGCATTCGGTTAAACTAGTGCTTCTTCCATCGTTTGGTTCAAAGATGTCTTCAGTTTGTTCTTCCGTCATATGTACCAAGACTTATGTAGAAGCTTGTCATCCTTTTTCCCAGTACGGGAGGCTAAGTCCCAGCTGCCCCTGGTGGTGCTGAAGAAAGTGTGGGGCGAGGCGGTGAGTTACATCTGTGGACTGAAGGACGACTACAGCAGATTGTTCCAGGGCCAGAGGGCTGCCATGTGAGTAAGCCAGCCTGCTGTACGAGAATAAAACAAATCTGAAAGGAAGTGAGGTTCTTTATGTTGAGACATTACCATATTCCCAAACCGAAATGGCTAAAAGAAGTTCCCAGACTTGCTTATGAAGAATCAGCCATTTGCTTTTTCATCTGTGGCGTGTGAGTCAATGTTCTGAGCTTTGCAGTCGCAGCCGTGCAGCTCCTTCACAGCTACCACACAGAAGCTTTCCAGCCCGCGCAGAGAAGCACGAGATTGAACTCCAAGGAACTTCACTAGAGTTGCCTCATTAGTTTACACTAGCTTTCAGATAAACTTTTCTTTCTGATGTGGGAATTGTGGTCGAATTAACATAATAGCACCCCCTTTAAATGCAGCAAACCTAACTTTGCAAGATTGAGTCAGTGATTTTGTTGTAGGCAAGAAGTTGGAGTAGAATTTGTGCATTTTGACAGGCACGAGTGAGTGGTCTTTCAATTACCCGCGGGCGCGAGTAGATGCTCTTAAAACTGGTACAGCCTCACTGTTCAAAGTAAAAGCGTTCCAGAAATCGCACAGAAGGCTCACAATGTTCACCTTTCCGCTCACGAGCCCTGAAATTTGTTCGACACTGACATTTTTTGGAGGGGAAATTGGTGTGATTCTGTGTTATCTTGATGTACATTACTGTCTTTGAACAGACAGTTATTCTATTCTGTGTGTTTGTCCAGGCTGAGCCTCCTGCGCTACAACACCAACCTGACCCGGTGCAAGAACGGCATGTTTGCCTTTTCCCAGCAGCTGAAGGCCAAGCTGGACTTCTTCAAGAGCAGCATTCAATACGACCTGGAGAAGTACAGCGACCAGATGCATTATGGGATCTGTGAGTGTCTGCTGGCTAATGATTGGTAGTGCCAAGAATAGTCACCCACATGGCCCTGTGTCTGAAATGGTACCATTTTCCTTATATAGTGCGCTGCTTTTGGATCAGGGCCCATAGTAGGGAATAGAGTGCCAGTTCAGAAGCAACAATGGTTTTGTATTGTGAAAAGATGGAGTTTTGTGTTTTTTTCTATCCTACAGCCTCAGAGAAGATGCTGAAAGCCTGGCAGGAGAATGAGGAGAAGGCTGCTGCATATGCACAGGTACCAGCAGGGATGGGGACAAACTTAGGAATCTTGTTGTATGCATTCCAGGTGTAAAATATATTCTCATGTACAATGGGTTTTATTCATTCCAAATTGATTTTTGGTATCGAACACAACTGCCCTTGTTTCGGTAAAAGGCTGAGGAATGGGACTGGAGAAATGTAACCACTCAAATTCATAGACCGAGCTATGGATGCAAGGACTGACCATCCATGATATCAAAATTTATAGTTTTGACCATGTTTTGAGGCTATAAACTGTTTGTTTAGAATTACTTTGTTTACAAATATTGGACTAAAACAAGCTTATATTTGGGGTTCTGATGGGGTATGACAGTTGAACTAAGCTCATGAGGCATTAATACGTTACAGTGCCTTCGGAAAGTACATTTTTATAAATCCTCAGCATTCTACACACAATACCCCAGAATGACAAAGCAAAAACAGTTTTTTAAAAATATTCATACCCTTCGCTATTAGACTCGAAATTGAGCTCAGGTGCATCCTGTTTCCATTGATCGTCCTTGAGATGTTTCTACAACTTGATTGGAGTCCACCTGTGGTAAATGCAATTAATTGGACATTATTTGGAAAGGCACACAAGTATTTGAAAGGAGAACAAGTATTTGATACACTGCCGATTTTGCAGGTTTTCCTACTTACAAAGCATGTAGAGGTCTGTAATTTTTTATCATAGGTACACTTCAACTGTGAGAGACGGAATCTAAAACAAAAATCCTGAAAATCACATTGTATGATTTTTAAGTAATTAATTTGCATTTTATTGCATGACATAAGTATTTGATACATCAGAAAAGCAGAACTTAATATTTGGTACAGAAACCTTTGTTTGTAATTACAGAGATAATATGTTTGTGGTAGGTATTGACCAGGTTTGCACACACTGCAGCAGGGATTTTGGCCCACTCCTCCATACAGACCTTCTCCAGATCCTTCATGTTTCGGGGCTGTTGCTGGGCAATACGGACTTTCAGCTCCCTCCAAAGATTTTCTATTGGGTTCAGGTCTGGAGACTGGCTAGGCCACTCCAGGACCTTGAGATGCTTCTTACGGAGCCACTCCTTAGTTGCCTTGGCTGTGTGTTTCGGGTCATTGTCATGCTGGAAGACCCAGCCACGACCCATCTTCAATGCTCTTACTGAGGGAAGGAGGTTGTTGGCCAAGATCTCGCGATACATGGCCCCATCCATCCTCCCCTCAATACGGTGCAGTCGTCCTGTCCCCTTTGCAGAAAAGCATCCCCAAAGAATGATGTTCCCACCTCCATGCTTCACGGTTGGGATGGTGTTCTTGGGGTTATACTCATCCTTCTTCTTCCTCCAAACACGGCGAGTGGAGTTTAGACCAAAAAGCTCTATTTTTGTCTCATCAGATCACATGACCTTCTCCCATTCCTCCTCTGGTCATTGGCAAACTTCAGACGGGCCTGGACATGCGCTGGCTTGAGCAGGGGGACCTTGCGTGCGCTGCAGGATTTTAATCCATGACGGCGTAGTGTGTTACTAATGGTTTTCTTTGAGACTGTGGTCCCAGCTCTCTTCAGGTCATTGACCAGGTCCTGCCGTGTAGTTCTGGGCTGATCCCTCACCTTCCTCATGATCATTGATGCCCCACGAGGTGAGATCTTGCATGGAGCCCCCAAGGGTGATTGACCGTCATCTTGAACTTCTTCCATTTTCTAATAATTGCGCCAACAGTTGTTGCCTTCTCACCAAGCTGCTTGCCTATTGTCCTGTAGCCCATCCCAGCCTTATGGAGGTCTACAATTTTATCCCTGATGTCCTTACACAGCTCTCTGGTCTTGGCCATTGTGGAGAGGTTGGAGTCTGTTTGTTTGAGTGTGTGGACAGGTGTCTTTTATACAGGTAACGAGTTCAAACAGGTGCAGTTAATACAGGTAATGAGTGGAGAACAGGAGGGCTTCTTAAAGAAAAACGAACAGGTCTGTGAGAGCCGGAATTCTTACTGGTTGGTAGGTGATCAAATACTTATGTCATGCAATAAAATGCAAATTAATTACTTAAAAATCATACAATGTGATTTTCTGGATTTTTTAGATTCCGTCTCTCACAGTTGAAGTGTACCTATGATAAAAATTACAGACCTCTACATGCCTTGTAAGTAGGAAAACCTGCTAAATTGGCAGTGTATCAAATACTTGTTCTCCCCACTGTAAGGTCCCACAGTTGACAGTGCATGTCAGAGCAAAAACCAAGCCATGAGGTAGAAGAAATTGTCCATAGAGCTCTGAGACAGGATTGTGTCAAGGCACAGATTTAGGGAAGGGTACCAAAAAATGTCTGCAGCATAGAAGGTCCCCAAGAACACAGTGGCCTCCATCATTCTTAAATGGAAGAAGTTTGGAACCACCAAGACTCTTCCTAGAGCTGGCCACCCGGCCAAACTGAGCAATCGGAGGAGAAGGGCCTTGGTCTGGGAGGTGACCAAGAACCCGATGTTCACTCTGACAGAGCTCTAGAGTTCTTCTGTGGAGATGGGAGCCTTCCAGATGGACAACCATCTCTGCCTCACTCCACCAATCAGGCCTTTATAGTAGAGTGGCCAGACAGAAGCCACTCCTCAGTGAAAGGCACATGATAACCCGCTTGGAGTTTGCCAAAAGGCACCTAAAGACTCTGACCATGAGAAACAAGATTCTCTGGTCTGATGAAATCAAGATTGAACTCTTTGGCCTGAATGTAAAGCGTCACGTCTGGAGGAAACCTGGCACCATCCCTACGGTGAACCATGGTGGTGGCAGAATCATGCTGTGGGGATGTTTTTCAGCGGCAGGGACTGGGAGACTAGTCAGGATCGAGGGAAAGATTAATGGAGCAAAGTGCAGAGAGATCCTTGATGAAAACCTGCTCCAGAGTGCTCAGGACCTCAGACTGGGGCGAAGGTTCACCTTCCAACAGGACAACGACCCTAAGGACACAGCCAAGACAACGCAGGAGTGACTTTGGGACAAGTCTCTGAATGTCCTTGAGTGGCCCAGCCAGAGCCCGGACTTGAACCTGATCGAACATCTCTGGAGAGACCTGAAAATAGCTGTGCAGCAACTCTCCCCATCCAACCTGACAGAACTTGAGAGGATCTGCAGAGAAGAATGTGAGAAACTCCCCAAATACAGGTGTGCCAAGCTTGTAGCGTCATACCCAAGAAGACTTGAGGCTGTAATCGCTGCCAAAGGTGCTTTAACAAAGTACTGAGTAAAGGGTCTGAATACTTATGTAAATGTGATATTTCAGTTTTTTATTCTTAATAAATTAGAAAACATTTCTAAACTGTTTTTGCTTTGTCATTATGGGCTATTGTGTGTAGATTGATGATGGGGGGGAGGGGGGGACGACTACTTAATCCAGTTTAGAATAAGGCTGTAACGCAACAAAATGTGGAAAAAAGTCAAGGGGTCTGAATACTTTCAGAATGCACAGTATATTCTTCAAGAATCAATGGGTACATATCATTAATTTATATGTCCAAAAAATTGATGTAGCAACTGAAGATTGCCCATTTAACCACAGATCTAGAATCAGATTACCCCACCAATCCTAACTGTAATCATCAGGTTAATAAAAGTATGACCCTCTATCAGTGCTTAGGGACAACCTCTACCTATTACCATTGAAAGACCATGTGTAATGTGTCTTGTCCACTAGGTGGCGGAGGTGAGCCACCTGGATGAGGAAATCATGTCTTTACACTCAGAGATTGTGGAGCTGCAGCGGAGTCCCTACGCCCGTCGCCAAGGAGACGTCATGGAGCAGCTGTGAGTGTTCTATGCTAGGCATGAATTACATGCTCTGTCTCTACTCAATGAAACGCATCAAGGGTCTGTCTAAGTGTCGGAGCGATGTTCTATCGATTCCTGGGGTCATTTCATGTTGTCATGTGTATCTGAACTATACGCCGTTCAAGCAGGCAGAAATATAGCCGGTATGACGCAAAACTTGTCATACCGGCTGTATTTCTGCCTGCTTGAACGCGAATCGATAGAACATCACTCAGAGATGCACAAATAAAATATAACATTAAAAACGGGTGACTCTTTCCTTTTAAGTAGAAGTGGATGGAGCCTTATTGAGATGTTTGGTTTCTGTGTCAGGCTAAAGCTAGTAGGTGACCTGACAGCTAACCCAATGTTTTTGTTTGTTTTTATTTGCATTGCCAGAGAAGTGTTTCCCAACCCTGGTCCTCCAGTACCCCCAACAGTACAGTTTCGTTATAGCCCTTGACAAACACACCTCATTCAACTCATTGATGGCTTGATGATTAGTTGACAAGTTGAGTCAGGTGTGCTTGTCCAGGGTTACAATAAAAATGGGTACTGTTGGGGGTACTCGAGGACCAGGGTTGGGAAACACTGATCTAGAGTACTCAAATGCAAACTTTTAAGAAGAAAAGGTCAACTCTGCTGTATAAAATTCATGTGATTTCAGAGAGAAGGCGGCGATTGAACTCTACAAACAACTGAAGATTAAATGCAGAAGTAAGCCACTTTTGTCCAATAAACAGTCACTGCATTGCAGCTGTCGTAAATTTCCATAAGACGGTAGTACTTTTGGATATTGAATAGAATCTGTAATCGTACGACTGTAGTTCTAAACAATACCACCTTCTGACACCAGTGTGCTGTTCTTCCCTCAGCGCCTGACCCTGATGTGAGCAGCGACAGCTCCGAGATGGTTAAAGCCATCATCCAGACTGTCCAGAACCAGGACAAGGTCCTCCGAGACCTCTACACACACCTCAGGTAGACAGGGTCTGGCACTGTTCAGTGGACTGTCATATCACCTGGGTCACCAACTGAACGTTGCAGATAGAAATATAATTCATAGAGCTGACATGATTCTATACTCTACATGTCAGAGAGGCATGTCTGTTCTATGCAATATATTTATCTCGAATTCTGAACGTTCCGCAACAATGTGGTGATATGGCTGCCTAGTTGGATTTTGTCCTCTTTGCTATTCCTGAGGTTTTACCGTCTGTCCCCCCATGCAGTAAGATCTTACTGAGCAAGCAGAAGATCATTGACCTGTTCCCGCGCATTGAGAAGACGCTGGAGAACATCAAGGATGCCGACAACACCGTGATGCAGATGCAGATCAAGAGACAGAGAGAGTTCTGGCACCTACTGAAGATTGCCTGTGTGAGTGATGGAGAGGTTTTATCTATAGAACCAGAGTTAAGTTAGTCATAAGATCATGAACTCATGTGATTTACTCTTAAGATGGCATTGGGTTATTTTAAGTTGTGCAATTTTCTATAGAACTCACTTAGCTAGCTAGGTCATAATATGTGAACATGTGTTCAATGTAAGTAATGGCATTTGTCTTCTCCCAGGCTCAGAACTCTGCAAGGAACTCGATAGCAGCCAGCCCAGAGTTGTCCAACCCCCTGCAGGTGTCCCAGTGGGCCCAGTCTGCCCAGCCCATCAGCAACCCTCACCCCCTCACCTCCCTACCTGGACCCAACGATAGGTACTGGGCTATACAGTAGACAGACAGGAGGGGTTGATGTGTTATGTAGCAGACTGAAAAGGAATGTCCTTAGTACAGTTGGTGACTTGTCTCTCTATCTTTCCCTCCAGTGATGCTGCCCCACGTCTGCTTCAGGAGAACCAGAAGTACCTCAGTCAGCTGACCAGCCTGATGCAGGAAGCTGCTGACGAGCAGTCCAAAAGCATAGTGGTGAGTTGGGCCATTTTCTCTCAGCTGGCAAGACTTGTAATGGAAGCCTGGTATTCTGTCAATGCAGTGGCTTATATTTCACTGTTGCACGTCACCACATTTTCTGCAGTGTGTTAAGTCACACACATCTATACTGAACAAAAATATAAACTCAACATGCAAAAATGTCAACAAATGTACGAAGTTACAGTTCATATAAGGAAATCAGTTAAATAAATTCCTTAGGCCTTAATCTATGGATTTCACATGACTGGGCAGGGGCGCAGCCATAGGGTGCCTGGGAGGGCACAGGCCCACCCACTTGGGAGCCAGGCTTAACCACGGGGCAGCCATGCCCAGCCAATCAGATTGAGTTTTCCCCACAAAAGGGCTTTATTACAGACAGAAATACTCCTCAGTTTCATCAGCTGAACGGGTGGCTGGTCTCAGATGATCCCGCCGGTGAAGAAGCCTGATGTGGAGGTCCCAGACTGGCGTGGTTACACGTGGTCTGCGGTTGTGAGGCCGGTTGGACGTACTGCCAAATTCTCTAAAATGACGTTGGAGGTGGCTTATGGTAGAGAAATGTACATTTAATTCTCTGGCAACAGTTCTGGTGGACATTCCTGCAGTCAGCATGCCAATTGCACGCTCCCTCAAAACTTGAGACATCTGTGGCATTGTGTTGTGTGACAAAACTGTACATTTTAGTGGCCTTTTATTGTCCTCAGCACAAGGTGCACCTGTGTAATGATCATGCTGTTTAATCAGCTTCTTGATATGCCACACCTGTCAGGTGGATGGATTATCTTGGCAATGGAGAAATGCTCACTAACTGGGATGCAAACCAAATTTGAGAGAAATAAGCTTTTTGTGCGTATGGAAATTTTCTGGGATCTTTTAGTTCAGCTGATGAAACATGGGACCAACACTTTTCATGTTGCGTTTATATTTTTGTTCAGTATATTTATAACATGTAATTGAAACCTGAAACATGTAGGTACTTGTTAAATTGGCACCACTGGTGTGCTTCATTTACCAGTCACACTCTTATGTAAGTCCACTCCCTATCAGGGTGGGATTCGGTGTCCCAGGTCAGGAGGGTGATGAGGTTCCCTCTCAATCTCTTTTATCCAACCTTGTGTTGTATTAAGTGTGCTTAAACATTTCCTTAAGGCTAACTGGCTAATCTCATCCATTCAAAACATGTCTGGGGAGGTTGGCTGCCTTTGCTGGAGGGCACTGAGCTTGATACTGTGTCTAAACCACAACCCAAACACCATGGTCGTCACTAGTTACCACAGCCACAAAGTCAAACCCCACCTATTTCTACAATTTGTCTTCTTCAAATGTGATTTTAAACCTTAACCACAACCACACTGCTAACCTTATGCCTAGGCTTAAATTAAAACCAAAAACCACATTTTTGTTTTCATAATTTTTTTACGATATAGCCAATTTTGACTTTGTGGCCACTCCACAGTTAACCCTTTGTTTGTTACAGCGACAGCCTTAAAGCTACATTGAGGTGAAGTGTTATGTCATAATCTCTTTGTAGGACCAAGATTGGAGCTGGACTAAATACGAAACGTTGTCTACGAAACTGCAAAAATGAAATGTGTGAATACATGTCAACAACAAACAAAGCACCGTCCAGCTCATCCCTGCCTGCCCTCCAACCAAGTAACACTAAGGACTGAATTTTGTTAACATAATGGAGTCACGGTGGTTTATGTAGCTGTACATTTTGATGTGTGGATTTGGTCATTCACTTTAACGGCTAACTTGAGCTTCTAAAAACAAAAAGGCAGATAACAAAATACACATGCTCAATGGTTTTCTCTTCTCCATTTTCTCATCTATTTGGTGGGACAGGTGGATGATGTATCATTGTTTTTATATGAACAAAAAAACTATCTGAACACAGAAGACAAATGTCACCTTTTGCCTCCCAGATCATTGTGAAAATCTAAGTACCACTATTCATCAAAGTCCATATTTTACTATAATTATCTTATTCAAGTATCAGAATAACTTAAATCAGGTGAACTGTAGCATCTGATTGTGAGTCAAAGTTTTGGAATTATGGAGTATAGCTAGAAAGTGTTTGGGCTAAGGAAATGGGACTGATAAGAAAGCTTTATATGCATGCACGTTTGTATTGAGCCCCATCATCATGTATCATGTGATGTGACACAGCACAAGGAAAAGAGAGAGGGGGAAGGAAATTACAATCAAGCAACAGCACTTTGACATTCCCAAGTATCCTCATTGAAGTAGTCAGACATCCTGGGTCCTAGATTCCCCCTAGAACCCTGTTGCTGAGTCTGTGCCCTTGTGACACACCTCTTGTTACAATCACCCAATGGGACAGGAAATGTATAAACTGTATTTAAAATCAAGTCCTGCATCGATCAAGGGGAAAGTGTTTTGACCGTATGTAAATCGTATTTTGATTTAATAAAAGTATTCTATCATGACTAAACACACTTTACATGGAAGGGGGAAAGATGGACATCCTATAGTTACTTTGTGACGTTTGTGACCAAGGATGCTGGTATGTTTTTCCTTTTGTTGATATGTTTAAACCTGAAAATAGAATACCACAAGTTCAATTCAATTTGTCAGGTGTGCTTTAGTGTGCTTTCTTTTCACTGGATGCTCAATGTATGGATAAATATTGCGGGCCATGATAAATGATTGAATGTACTGTAGTTACAAACCCCAGAGGTGTAACTTAAGTGTTGAGTGTAACCAAGATAAAGCGCACACTTTGCTCCAGAAAGAGATGTACGTTAAATCTATAAGTTGTATTTATGTAGTTTAAATGCAATGGATAACATTTATTTGTATTTAAGTGACATGCTATGTCAGTTTCCCGCTTCAAGGTTTGTCTCCGTCTGATGGTTTTAACATGTCTAAATGTTTACTTTTTAGCAATTGTATTGTATAGATATCAAACATTGACTTGGTATTACAATAAAAACGGACTTGGCATGAATTTGAATTGCTTATGTTAGTTCTAATAGTTCTAAGAAGCTAATGTTTGTGGTACACCCTGTTTCTGCCAGTGGTGACCACTGTCCATATTTTCTGCTCTACCAAATTCCAAAGGTGGATTTTAACTGAGGCTTGCTGAAGACTGCGGCATCTTTGTGAAAGAGAGAAAAGGTTTTATGAAGGAGTTGTTCAAAGAATGTTTTGATAATTCTAAACGATCAATCCATAAATAACGGTGTCTCTTGCGCTTTTGGCAATGATTTCACGAGGCCTATTTCACATGATATGCCTAAATACTTATAACCACAAGGCTTATAAATAAACACTTATTTTGATTATTTAATTACCTACATGTGATTTCAAGTTATCCATTTGGAGCGCAACATCACATTGTTAAAAAGGATGTCTAAATTGGGCATGCCAATAAATTGTGAAATTGAAGGCATCTAGGGCTTATGTTAACTTTGATTGTGTTTGATGAAAATGTTAGAACTTTCAAATGTACAGTGGGGAAAAAATGTATTTAGTCAGCCACCAATTGTGCACTTTCTCCCACTTAAAAAGATGAGAGAGGCCTGTCATTTTCATCATAGGTACACGTCAACTATGACAGACAAATTGAGAAAAGAAAATCCAGAAAATCACATTGTAGGATTTTTAATGAATTTATTTGCAAATTATGGTGGAAAATAAGTATTTGGTCACCTACAAACAAGCAAGATTTCTGGCTCTCACAGACCAGTAACTTCTTCTTTAAGAGGCTCCTCTGTCCTCCACTCATTACCTGTATTAATGGCACCTGTTTGAACTTGTTATCAGTATAAAAGACACCTGTCCACAACCTCAAACAGTCACACTCCAAACTCCACTATGGCCAAGACCAAAGAGCTGTCAAAGGACACCAGAAACAAAATTGTAGACCTGCACCAGGCTGGGAAGACTGAATCTGCAATAGGTAAGCAGCTTGGTTTGAAGAAATCAACTGTGGGAGCAATTATTAGGAAATGGAAGACATACAAGACCACTGATAATCTCCCTCGATCTGGGGCTCCACGCAAGATCTCACCCCGTGGGGTCAAAATGATCACAAGAACGGTGAGCAAAAATCCCAGAACCACACGGGGGGACCTAGTGAATGACCTGCAGAGAGCTGGGACCAAAGTAACAAAGCCTACCATCAGTAACACACTACGCCACCAGGGACTCAAATCCTGCAGTGCTAGACGTGTCCCCCTGCTTAAGCCAGTACATGTCCAGGCCCGTCTGAAGTTTGCTAGAGTGCATCCAGAAGAGGATTGGGAGAAAGTCATATGGTCAGATGAAACCAAAATATAACTTTTTGGCAAAAACTCAACTTGTCGTGTTTGGAGGACAAAGAATGCTGAGTTGCATCCAAAGAACACCATACCTACTGTGAAGCATGGGAGTGAAAACATCATCCTTTGGGGCTGTTTTTCTGCAAAGGGACCAGGACGACTGATCCGTGTAAAGGAAAAATGAATGGGGCCATGTATCGTGAGATTTTGAGTGAAAACCTCCTTCCATCAGCAAGGGCATTGAAGATGAAACGTGGCTGGGTCTTTCAGCATGACAATGATCCCAAACACACCGCCCGGGCAACGAAGGAGTGGCTTCGTAAGAAGCATTTCAAGGTCCTGGAGTCTCCAGATCTCAACCCCATAGAAAATCTTTGGAGGGAGTTGAAAGTCCGTGTTGCCCAGCGACAGCCCCAAAACATCACTGCTCTAGAGGAGATCTGCATGGAGGAATGGGCCAAAATACCAGCAACAGTGTGTGAAAACCTTGTGAAGACTTACAGAAAACGTTTGACCTGTGTCATTGCCAACAAAGGGTATATAAGAAAGTATTGAGAAACTTTTGTGATTGACCAAATACTTATTTTCCACCATAATTTGCAAATAAATTCATTAAAAATCCTACAATGTGATTTTCTGGATATTTTTTTCTCATTTTGTCTGTCATAGTTGACGTGTACCTATGATGAAAATTACAGGCCTCTCTCATCTTTTTAAGTGGGAGAACTTGCACAATTGGTGGCTGACTAAATACTTTTTTTCCCCACTGTATGCCTACTGTGCCAAAGTGATTTAGAGTTGTTAAACAGGAGTGAGGAGTGTGTTGAAATAATGGTAATTATTGTCAAAATTCCACTTTTAACAACCATCAGAATTGGTTGAAAAAAAGTTATCCGTGCCAACATACAGTGGGGAAAAAAGTATTTAGTCAGCCACCAATTGTGCAAGTTCTCCCACTTAAAAAGATGAGAGAGGCCTGTAATTTTCATCATAGGTACACGTCAACTATGATAGACAAAATGAGGAAAAGAAATCCAGAAAATCACATTGTAGGATTTTTTATGAATTTATTTGCAAATTATATGGTGGAAAATAAGTATTTGGTCAATAACAAAAGTTTCTCAATACTTTGTTATATACCCTTTGTTGGCAATGACACAGGTCAAATGTTTTCTGTAAGTCTTCACAAGGTTTTAACACACTGTTGCTGGTATTTTGGCCCATTCCTCCATGCAGATCTCCTCTAGAGCAGTGATGTTTTGGGGCTGTCGCTGGGCAACACGGACTTTCAACTCCCTCCAAAGATTTTCTATGGGGTTGAGATCTGGAGACTGGCTAGGCCACTCCAGGACCTTGAAATGCTTCTTACGAAGCCACTCCTTCGTTGCCTGGGCGGTGTGTTTGGGATCATTGCCATGCTGAAAGACCCAGCCACGTTTCATCTTCAATGCCCTTGCTGATGGAAGGAGGTTTTCACTCAAAATCTCACGATACATGGCCCCATTCATTCTTTCCTTTACACGGATCAGTCGTCCTGGTCCCTTTGCAGAAAAGCCCCAAAGCATGATGTTTCCACCCCCATGCTTCACAGTAGGTATGGTGTTCTTTGGATGCAACTCAGCATTCTTTGTCCTCCAAACACGACGAGTTGAGTTTTTACCAAAAAGTTCTATTTTGGTTTCATCTGACCATATGACATTCTCCCAATCCTCTTCTGGATCATCCAAATGCACTCTAGCAAACTTCAGACGGGCCTGGACATGTACTGGCTTAAGCAGGGGGACACGTCTGGCACTGCAGGATTTGAGTCCCTGGCGGCGTAGTGTGTTACTGATGGTAGGCTTTGTTACTTTGGTCCCAGCTCTCTGCAGGTCATTCACTAGGTCCCCCCGTGTGGTTCTGGGTTTTTTGCTCACCGTTCTTGTGATCATTTTGACCCCACGGGGTGAGATCTTGCGTGGAGCCCCAGATCAAGGGAGATTATCAGTGGTCTTGTATGTCTTCCATTTCCTAATAATTGCTCCCACAGTTGATTTCTTCAAACCAAGCTGCTTACCTATTGCAGATTCAGTCTTCCCAGCCTGGTGCAGGTCTACAATTTTGTTTCTGGTGTCCTTTGAAAGCTCTTTGGTCTTGGCCATAGTGGAGTTTGGAGTGTGACTGTTTTAGGTTGTGGACAGGTGTCTTTTATACTGATAACGAGTGGAGGACAGAGGAGCCTCTTAAAGAAGAAGTTACAGGTCTGTGAGAGCCAGAAATCTTGCTTGTTTGTAGGTGACCAAATACTTATTTTCCACCATAATTAGCAAATAAATTCATTAAAAATCCTACAATGTGATTTTCGGGATTTTTTTCCCTGAATTTGTCTGTCATAGTTGACGTGTACCTATGATGAAAATTACAGGCCTCTCATCTTTTTAAGTGGGAGAACTTGCACAATTGGTGGCTGACTAAATACTTTTTCCCCCCACTGTATTAGGCCATAATTAAGAGTAGGTAAACTGATTGTGTCAGGCGAAAATTATACCAAACATTTTACCATTGCAACATTTGATGCGTTCACATTCACCGTGGTTGTCTGAAGCGACGTGTGCTATAGAGTTCACAGCTGGCGATGCCTCATCGGAATTGGTTATTCCCAATTTGCAACAACGTCAATGAGCGTCATCACTATCTTTCCTTTGCGGTACCTCAAACTGTCTTGATTACCAGCTGAGATAAACTTGAATGAGTTCATTTTACTCCTGGCTCACAGTTTGTCTGGGTAGTGTCTTAACATCATCCTAAAACCTACTCTGAGCTGGATGTTTTTTGTTGTCTTAAAACAGGTTTTAACAGGATCCCTAAGCCCTTTTCTGAGATGCTTTGTAGATATGGGCCCAGTTCTGTTCCTGCACACTAAAGCTGCGTTTACACAGGCAGCCCAATTCTGATCTTTTTTTAAACTGATGTATCTTTTGATCAATGACATCAGCTCTGAAAAAGATCTGATGTGATTGGTCAAAAGACCAATTAGTGTAAAAAATATCCGAATTGGGCTGCCTGTGTAAATGCAGCCTAAGAGTCAGTCACTGATTCAATACATGAGTCACTGACCACTGAAGCATGTGCAGGATATACTGGTCTCCTTGCACTTTCCCCACCCTGTCATTATTACCCATATTCCTTTGTTTCCGTCCAAAAGAGTCACTCTCAGCTGGCCATTTGACATTAGTTTTACTGCAGATGTCAGGAAATGATTTAGGAGCCGTGAGGGTGATTGCCTGTGGAGCTGGACAGGTCGTGTCCGGCAGGGAAATGTAGCCGCCTCCCCTTAGATAATTGTATTAAATGGAATAGTAGGTGTTTTTGTCCTCTCTCCAGACGTGATCGTAGTGTTTGTCAAATGATAATGTTTGCATTCCCTTCTTCAAGAGGCAGTTGGTCCTCTCTTCACCTAGTATTTGAGCTTTAGTTGCTTGTTGTTTGTGCTTATTTTGTGCTCCAAAAAGAGGAAGAAGATGATATCGTCATCATCATCTATGGTTCTGTGGAATATTTCTTTGCTCACACGGCATCATTTAAATATAGGCCATTAGTCAGTCATGCTCTGTGAGTGTCATCACGCCTTAAGAATCTGAGCTAAGTAGTTTCTACTTTGCAGTGATGGATGAGGAAAATGAATAAAGCTATTCAGCATTTGCTGTGGCCTGGCAAACTGCACTAAAATAGCAACTGCTTGTAAGTAACAATTGCCACTGTAGAAGTGTATAAAAATAAACTTGTGGTCTGGTTGCCTTAAAGCCGAGTCTAGGACTCTAGGTTTCACGAGGCAAAGTGGTTTTGTCTGGTGGTTTTCATTTAGCATTTTACAATACGAACATTCCTTAATACAAGACCACAATAACTGCTGTAAGCTTTGATCCATGTTGTTAATGTACTATCTTCTAATAATACAACTTATTCTTTGTCATCCTTCCAACCCAGTAACCACTGTTGAAATCTTGAGTGAACAACAAGCGCATGCACACAAATGTCATTGTTTCGTTGTTAGTTAACTCCTAAATAGAAAACAAGACACAGCTCCTTGTTTCAATGTTAGTGAACCAAGTACTAAACAATTAAAACAAGCACAGACACAGTCATCCCAACCCCCATTCTAATAAAAACCAGCAGTCATTTAATACATTGATACTCAGTGAATCAGACTGAATCATCGGAGGCCTCAGCATGCCGGAGACCAACCCCTACTTAATGCTACATTCCTGAGCCCATATTCATAAAGCATCTGAGTGCTGATCTAGGATCAGGTCAACCCTGTCCATGTTATTGTGTTCATTGGGGTCTAAAAGGCCAAACTGATCCTAGATCAGGATTCCTGCTCTGCTCCTCAGTCCGAGCTGACACAGATCAGGGGAGTCACTCCATGCTTCCCAAGCCATTGCCTTAGTCACCCACGAAACTGCCCAGGAGGCTACCCATAAATCTGGGAGCTGTTCTGAGTCAGTCTGTAAGCAATAGGCTATGTGGTCTATAGGCCTATGGCTCCTGGCTGGCAACACCATCATCTCTTGTGGAAAGATTCTGCATGTAAACTTAGAGAATCGGTCGGGACTGAAAGGGATCCCTAGGATAAGAGTAGCAGTAGTTCCTGTGTTTGGGTTTTTCGTCTCTGGTTATTTGGACAAATCAAGATTTCACAGGGGTTAGCATCTTTCGAATTTCGGAAGGGGAGGGGACATTCGGCCCGTAACTTGCAAAGAGAGAGGGTGGAGCTCATCTTTTTTGTTTCGCTCCTCATTCTAGCATTTCTTGATCTCGTCATGTATGGACCCAGAACCTAATCGAGCAGCTGACCAATTACGTGAGACTTTAGTTGTGGGTTAACCCGAGATTAGCAACACCACGATTGTGAGTTTGAATCCCTCATGGGACATATACAGACTATAACATTTGCTAATTTTGGATAGTAACCCATGAAACTGCACAGGAAGACCATAAATCTGGGAACTATTCTCTAAGTCAGTCTGTATCAACACTTGACAATATACAGTACACAGTGTGGTCTCCTGTATATGGCTCAGCTGGTTAGGGCATGGTCCTGGCAAGTTTGAATCCATAGGCTACACAGATATAACTTTGGGTGGCTTTGGATGAAAGCGTCTGGGAAAGTACATTATCATATGATATATTACACTTGAAATGATGGTCCATCAATGCCTTCGATTGTTCTTTCATTGGATGAGTGTTCCCATCATGACCCTAACCCCCCCCCCCCCCCCCCACACACACACACACACTACCAGGATGAATGGGGGATATTTTAGGAGTGGTTTCAGGCTATTAACACCAGAGATATCGAGGGAGATAAAATGAGTAATTGAAGACTGACATTGTATAAAGGAAGGGACCAGGAAATCTGGTAACAATGCAGACACAGTGGACAGATATGTATTTGTGGACACCATGTGTAGACACATATCAGAATGTGGACAAGATCAGGAGCAAGGATGCATGTTAGCGCCAGGTATAAATGGGGCTTAAGTCCAGAAATCTTACTGATTGTGGCTTTAATGCAGCATTTCCCTTTGGTACTTTTGCCATCGAATTAGACATTGACAGAATCAAAACTGAATTTGTCACTGAGCTGTTTTTGTTCTCCTAGATGTAGCGATTGTGCAATCGATCATGCAATATATAGATTTCATCATACTCAGGTCTAGCTTCTTCCTGGAGCAACTGAGGGCATTTCATGTGCTGTTGGTTGCAACAAACACAACCTGTTAGTGAATACAGTATTGTTCTAGTGAGATACATACTATATTGTCAACCTCCAGGCCACTGACTGTGATGACTGATTCACTATTCATTAAGCATGTATGAAATCCTGTGTGCTCCTCAGCTTGTTTCCCACAGACGCGTGCACCCCATGACTGCTGTGCTTGACACAGAGCGGTGCTGCAGCATGTTAACAAAAACAAGGGCCTAACGGCAAGCGATATTATGAAACCATGAAGTACTGTGGAACTAATGCTCTTAGCTATTGAGACTTTTCTGCTTTTGGCTTATCGTGCAATTAACTAGATGACTCCTTGGTGAATTCTGTCTGAGTAAAACTATTCAGTTCCAGTCCAGCATTAGCTTATCACAAAAAATGAATGATGTTACTGTCAGATGAAGGAATGCAATGAATGAATATGTAAACATTTCTGTTTGCTTTTATTTAATATAAACAGTAGCCTCCCGTTTTTCTCTGGCCTACTACTGGGCTGAGATGAATGGTGTCTGATAAAACTAAGACAAACAACTATGGATTTGTTTAGGCACATTTTTATTTGTATTACAATCAACAGTTTCCTAGGCCATTTAAAGAGCAAGGATGCATTGCACTGGATTATTGCACATATCACAATAAGCAGGTATAATACAGTACAGTATTTCATTTCAGTAAGCCTGTCTCTCACTTGTACCATTCATTAGTAATATCTTTAAAAAAGAAGTAATTTCAATGTAATAAATACATTTTCGTTTTTTTTTAAAAGGCACACAACGGCTTGAGCACATGACAAACTTAAAATTAACATTCATATGTACAATTCCATGAAGGCAGCATTAGGCTCTCCCCCTCATAAAAATGTTTGAGGCAACCTATAAAAACAACTGCAACTGCTAGGTTTATTTATTTATTTAAAAGGGAATGGTCTACCGTATATACAATAATTGTCCCCCAAAAAAATTATCTGTTCCTGCATTTTCCAAACCACTTTTCCACAGTGGTTGAGGAGGACATTTTGAGAGACCACCATGTTGATGTTGAGTCTTCAAAGACATTCTCCACAGTTGACTTTAGGCTCGGTCATCCAGGACCTCCTAGAGCCTGAAACAAGGACTAGGCTCCTCCTCAAAGTCTTCCTATGAGTCACCATACAGCTCCATGCAGCAGTCATCATCGACGTGGCATGGGGGGAGGCTTCAATGCAATCTTGTGGCTTGCTCCTCCTGAGGTCTGTTGAACACACAGGGATCGATTAGACGGCCATCTTGAAACGTGCCCTTCAATTCTGGTTTCGTAAAGAATTACCAACACAAAATTGCACATTTTCTTTTTTTTTTACTTTCCTGCTATGCAATGGTTTCAGGAGATACTTTTTAAAATCTAACTGCTATGAAGAATTTGCAAGACATGACTACGATAAGTGTGTTAGACAAACAATTACTTGTGGGTATTTGCTGGGTACCTTTGGTGCTGTGGGCTTGACTGGAGGCACTGGGTAAGGACTGGGCTTGACTGGTGGCACTGGGACGACAGGCTTGATTTTCTAATAGAACAATATAAAACAATTGATAATGAGTTCATGATTAGACTGTGTGTGGAGACCATGTAGTTACTTGTTATAACAGTTGTTCTACCATGTTGTCAACATGTTATTCATTGTAATGGCTGGAATGACTCACCGGTTTGCTACTCAGAGTAGGCAAAGGCTTTGATGGAGGTAGAGGTTTAGTCTGATGATCAAATAAAGATGTTTGTATGAGTTTGGTACTTCAGTATACATTTCTAAGATTCCAGAGTTTATTAATATGATATGTTTAGGTATTTCCATTGGCATAGCTCACCGGTTCAATGAAAGACTGTGGCTGCACTGCAGGCAACCTCTTTGGTGGCTGCAAGACAACATTTTCTCATAAATATTTATCTCCATTTAGTTGGCATTTATTTTTCTTTACAAATATCCTTAGTCTATACAAAACATACCCACTTTACTTTAGGCAGGCTATCTTTACAAGTTCAGCAGCTGTTTCACTTCTTGTTGCTATCAATATATTTTACATAGGAACTACATACAACATGTAGATAATACTAGTAACTCCACATAATAGGCCTTCATCAATCAGCCTGGAGTAGTGATACTTTTGAGATAATGTTAACTTGTGGTATTGTAGCTCACCTGTGGAGGGGGCCTGGAAGGGACCACAGTGACAAACAGAGGGGTGCAGGCTTGTGTTGCAGATGACTCCATGAAGGTGGGTTGGCTAATTTGGGGGGGCTTGCTCAGAGGCTTGCCCTTCGCACCCCCCTCCTGGAACATTGGGTTCAACTGGCCAGGGGTAGAGTGGACTTTCCTGCACATCACACATCAATATGTTGATTGTGTACCAAATCATTTGATATGACAACTGTAAAGTGGCATTAACAATTCATTTAAAAAAAAATTGTACGTTGGTGAAGAAACTCACCTTTTGGAGGTATAGTTTTCTCTCTTGTTCTTCTTGCAACACATCAGTCCTGCAACCAGGAAAGTAAGCAGCAACAACCCAGCTATCACTGCTGAGACGCCAGCTACCACACCAAACTGGTCTGCAAAGCAAAACATAACCAATCATTAAGATGTTCATTTTCATCCACTGTTCAGGTTTACCTTTACAAAATGTAACACATATAAAAATACCTGAACAACAATGCATGTCACAACAGAGTGAATGAGGCATACCTTGAGGCAAGTCTGAATACTTGACATCACAGTAGGGTGGAGCCCAGTCTGGGTTACAGTGGCACTGTCCCTTGTTGTTGCACACCTAACAAAAGAGTGTACAGAGTGTGATGATTGGGTCCATACAATTCTAGCTAAGTTTTACTAACGACTCAAAATCGACAGTCAATGCACTCACCCCATTGTTGTGACATTTGGATGAACAGTCCTCCGTTTGACCATAGACTTTGACATCTTGGCATTTGTGATCATAGCAAACCTGTGGAAACAAAGAAGAATTGTTCACTTCATTTGCCCTCTCATATGAACCCCATGAATTTGTGTCCATGAATTCCTATAGGCCCTCCCGAGGGGTGATTTGGAATTCATACACAGTCTTACCTTATTCATGCCACATTTGGTTCCTGTTGGAACCATGTCCAGAGATCTTATTTTATCCTGGTCCACTGCTATGTTGCATGTCCCCCCTCCCTGCATCTTGTAGAAGGCCTTCTGCCCAGTGATGGGATACTCATCTCCTCCAAAGCAAAATAGTGTTCCACATTTCATATTCCTAGGAGAAGAAAACAAATTGACTTAGTATTTTACGTCAAAATATGGCAACACGTTTCTTAACAGCACAAGCTTATGGAAGTCTTGTAATATCTGTTTTCTACTATTTGTAAATTGCATCGGAGAGTGACATTGTGTGGTTACATTCGATGGGAAACAGGAAATGTCAGAACACAGGAAGTCAGATGGGAGGGGACATACTGTGGTGTGCAGCGCACAAAGCCATTTTTGGTCCTTCCGCAGTGGGCTCCTTCATTGCCACCCAGATTTAGATTAAAGCAGGAATCTGTGCCTACTTGCGCCGCTAGAAAATAAGAGAGAGATATTACACTTTTGACCTTTGGGTTCCACAGGATATGACAGGAATCCTTACTGTAGATTATCATCATTGAACAATTCACAATATGACGTTCAACCTGCACTGACCGAATGAGATTATATCTAGGCCTAGTTTTTTTCTGGAAGGGTTCTGCTTTGTGTTAATGAAATAACGTCATACGGTTTTGGATGGTTACACTGTGTCATAACAAGTGTAGTGTAAATTATTGGCTATGTACTTAAAACAGTAAAGACAGAAGTACCTGGTCCCCACAGTCTATTGCAGTGTTGCTGAAGTGTTGGGCATCGGCCATTGTAGCAGTAGCCCTGACCATAGCTACAAGGTTTCCCATTCATCTGAAAGGTATCTTCTGGGCAATGCTCTGAAGTTCCAGTGCAGTACTCTGCCAAGTCACAATCACTGGAAGCTCTTCTACACAAACTGGCCGCCTGTTTGAGCTGAAGATTGAGAACAAATAGTTTAGTGGTTGAGTAACTTCATAACTAATAAATCTGTGTGATTACTTTATTTGTACAGTGCTTTTCAAACATTATGCTCAAAGTGCTAACTTTAAAAACAAATCTGATACTACTACTACAGCAAAGTGTATGATTCTTGGTTAGATGCCAAGTTTGGATCATACAATACATATTTTATTTGATGACTGACTACGCCTGCCGAAACGTCTGTGTACGCTATCCCTGATGCACTGAAAAGAATACAACAAATCGAATAATAAAGTCAGCTTTATGCTAAATCTTTTTGAGTGCGGATACATTACACCTTTTTATTTGTCTCGCTCTTACAGTCCCCTGACTGTCATATTGAGGAAGGATGTGGGCAGTTCAGTACAAGGAAACACATGTGCATCATTCTGTTTCCTGGTATTACTGCTGCCATTTCAACCCTGGGGTCTCCGAACCCTACTTCTCTTGTGGCTATGTTCTTTTTTTTATTATTGCTGGTGATTTATTAGTTGTAGTTGGTTGGGTGTGTCTGTCTGAGTGGTGATGAGCAGAGAGAGATCAGAGAAAGATGTTACCAGCTGGTCTGACTCATTCAATCATACGTTTAATAAAGCACCCAGATTTCCCAGGATTTTACATATGACCAAAAATGCACAAAATGCACGTACCTGGCAGTTTTCACAGCATGCTCCATGAGCACAGCTGGATCCCTCAGTGAGGCGACAGGTAGTGGGGTCACAGCAGGGATTCTTACACTCCTGGGAGGGACAAAAATCACACCAATCAGGAACAAAAGACAAAATAACTATTTAATCTAACCAAATGTATCGTTTAGTCAGTCATCCAGAAAGTATAATTTACAGTGCAAACAAAGCAGTCATGCGTGTATTTTTATCTCTCCCTTTTATAAGCTTTTGAAAAGTTTTGTCATCCTTACAACAAAGCTAAACCTTGGATTGAGTCAGTGGAATAGTGTAAGACGATATAATCAATGCCAGTGCACCTTGTGAGCCTGACTTACCTCCACAGTTCCACAGTCACACTCCTCTCCAGGGTCCAGGAAGGCATTGCCACAGGCAGGCCCCACATACAGCCTATCAGAGCCAGGCGTGTCCAACAGACATCTGGGATTGGCTCTCTCCAGGAAGTCACTCAACTGCTCCTGACTGCAGCCACTAAACAGCTCTGGGTACTCTGATCTAAAGGTGTGGGAATGATGGCTCACTTTAGAATGGCTAACATAATAACAAACATAGGAAATTCCTCACTGTGTCAATGTGTGAGTGAGTGTGTAATGTGTTAGTGTTTTTGTATTTACCTGACCCGATCTGCCATGACACAGTTGTCTTTGTACAGCGATGTCCCACATGTGCAGCCTAAGGTATCATGAGACATGCCCAGGTTGTGGCCCATCTCATGAGCGATGGTCGAGGCAACGCCAATAGGGTTTTTGTTGTGGTCCTGGTTGACTGCACCTGAACTTCCAGTGCACATGGCAAGTTTATTTGCCAGTCCTACAGTATCGCCCAAGAAATCTTTACCACTGTTGAAAACCAAATGTTGTGGAAAAGCTTTAGAACTGTCATTAGCTTTGCAAACCACACGAAAGAAGACATTTGGCCATCGTTTCAATACTATTCATTAAAAAAAGCATTTTATATTGATATTTTTTACAGGATATAATATCAAACAATAGAATAATGGAAAAAGTATTGTGATTAATTGCGATCCATTTCCTTTCACAAAACATAAAGAAGATAAGGCTAATTACTCACGTGACAAACTGGGCATTGTCATGCTGTGCCCTCTTCAGAAGGTCGTCTTGGCGCCACTGGAGAAACCTATTCAGGGTGTTCTCAGGACTGGGCGTGACGTCAATGTGATCCCTAGTAGTCCATATCTCCAACCCCACCAGCATGACCCGGATGTTCAATGGCCGATACAACTAGGAAGCAAAGACAGAGGTCTTTTCAATAACTCCTAAGGCCCTCATTATAACAGTAGGCTATTCAATATAGCATCCTAAGTACCTATAACGAGAGCCTGGAACAGTTCAGGAAAAACTCCTCGCCCTAACAATGCTCATGCAGCCATTCACATACAAACACACAAAATGACTTCCTTGAAATGGTACCTTATCAACATGATTGGCAATTTGCAGCATTCGACCTTGGGTTTTGCTTCCAAACAATTTGTACTGAAAAAACAACAAACATAGGTTAGCCTCCAACAAAGGCTGTCAGGAAACAAGAAAGAAACCATACATCTATATTGATACATAGCATAACATACCTCTGTATAGTCAGCCACCAGATACATCTCCACAAATCTTTGAGGCCCAGCGATGGGTTTACTTTTCTAAAATAATTTTAAAAAAAGAGAGAGATAAGAAAACATTGGACTCTACTTACAAGATAAATACAACTGGTAGAAAACATACATAACCTCTGAACACTATATATTTGGATGTGTATTGTGTAAGTAACCAAAAGGAAGCAGTAGCAAGTAACTGCTTACCCAGCCTTTGGACTTGAAGAGGCCTAAGAGTCTGGGGGCCGGTCCCTGGTCATGGTCATAGACCGTGCTGTCGTTGGAGTGACCACAGCTGGTCTTGTTGGCTCTGAGGTGCTCCTGTCTGTACAGAGCATGCTCCCCATCGGTAGAGTCTCCTAAAGGCTCAATCAGGTAGACTTTTTGCTCAGCCCTCACAAAGCCACTGGAAAGACACATCAGAGAGCGGTTTTCTAAGTGTTGCATTGAAAAGCACGGACAATCAGTTTCTCCCCAATTAATATAGCATTGTTCCTCCAAACTATATAGTATGAATAATCAACATCAAAAGGCAGTAAGCTATTTAGTATAGCATTGTCTTGGAGGTGAAATGGCACTAGAGCCAACGTCATAAAAGACAGGTACATTTCTAAATGTGTAAGACCGCTTTCAAAATGATTTCAACCCCAAATGTTTCTGTCATTTGTATTACACATCTGTGGAAATGTAGCAATGTTGAATTTCTCAAACGAGAAGTTTGATTTCCAGAGAAATGTATTGATTGCAAACTAGTTGCCAAGTAATTCAGAAAGGTCAGAAACTGCTCATAGAAAACAGGAAATTACATTACATTTACATTTTAGTCATTTAGCAGACGCTCTTATCCAGAGCGACTTACAGTTAGTGAGTGCATACATAAAAAAAATTCATACTGGCCCCCCGTGGGAATCGAACCCACAACCCTGGCGTTGCAAACGCCATGCTCCAACTGAGCTACATCCCTGCCGGCCATTCCCTCCCCTACCCTACCCTGGACGACGCTGGGCCAATTGTGCGCCGCCCCATGGGTCTCCCGGTCGCGGCCGGCTACGACAGAGCCTGGATTCGAACCAGGATCTCTAGTGGCACAGCTAGCACTGCGATGCAGTGCCTTAGACCACTGCGCCACATGCAGAATTCTCACTTACCTAATGCCAGAACAGATTCCAACACTAACGGATGAATCCTCAATGCCTTGAATATGACCATGATAATAGCAGTGGTCCTAAAAGTTGAAATTAGTACAAGTATTGGTTGAGAGCTTATCTTGAAATACTGTACACATTAAATCTGCACAGCATGCAATGAATCAAAACAAAAAGTGACACAAAATGTCGGCTATTATATTAAATGGCTTAAATACCTCATAATTTGGAAATGTTGTCACCCGCCTTCCATTTTCTGAATAGTGTGTTTCAGCGTAATGCCTCCCAATAAGTTGCCTATGAAAAGAGCAAATAATAGAACAATTCATATAACTGCTACCAAACCTGACTACCAAAACTCGTCTAGTAATTGGTGGATAGTTAAAAATAATTTACCTATTTTTAGCCAGATGAATAGTGTGGTTCTCTCCATCAAGGGTTAATGCATATTGGATCTCATCAGGATAAACCTAAGGAAGATTTTGTTTAGTTGTCAACAATTAAAAGCTATCGTATTCTTTATAACATCCCTCATCATTGGGATTAGAAATATTTCCCTAATTTGCAGGGAACCACTATTACCTAATTATAGAGAAAAGATAACGGGATGTAAGCACCTGGTTTGAGAAAATGTTTCTTTTGACCCGACCAGTCAGTCTCTGGGGTCGGACTACATCGTAGCGTTCCACATGATCCAATTTCCCTGCGCCCTTGACCAGTACAACTGAAAGAACAGACATCCATACCTACTTTAACACTCATCTTTTTCTTATAGTAATTGTCATTGATTTAAAGTCAAGATTGTAGACATTGATCATACTACGAGCATCATACAAGTTATCAACATTGCAATGTTATAAATAAGAACTAAATGCGCTAATAACATCTGGGCTAATTAGGTCGCTTTCCTTATAAATACTGTACTGTAAAATACACCTTATTTTTGTAGTTGTTCATTATAAGTATATATTATCATATTTAATATAAAGACCTTCAGATAGCAAATATTAAACTTTGAAACCATAATTATATATTTTCAATTTACCCCAATACGTGATGCATAACAGGAAAGTATATAGAGTGTATCGCATGGCTGGAGCATAATATCCCAGAGTTTCTCTAATGTGCTGTACGCACCGATACTAATTCGATAGTGAACAAAGAAATTAAGCAGCTCTGTACCAGTCCCGCCTCTCCATTACTTACGTTATCAGCAAGGGGCAGCCGTTCCGCGTAGTAATCATGACATCACATTTTACCGGAAAACCGGTAGAGATTATTAATAGGAAAAGGCTATAAGGCCACGCCTGATGCCCAACCCGATATTTCAGAATTTATTAAAATTAGGTTAAGGTTAGGGTTAGTGTTAAGGGTTTGGTGCTAAGGTTAGGGTTAAGGTTAAGGTAAGGATCAGTTTTAGTTTTTTTCTAGTCGGTTTAAGCGTCAGCTGTGTCCTCAAGGGGGACTAGACCCCTGCTTGTTTTACGTTTGTATACATGGGGCATGATGATGTTACCTTTTTCAATCTTAGGGGTGAGTGGGGTAAAATTAGCATTTTTTTACATTCAGCATCACTAGGTCAAGGGAAATATAGTATTATTTCTAACAAAGATATCTACATAGATTCCAGGATGTGGAGTATCCCTGTAAATAATCAGAATTAATGTAAACATAACAGTTTTGAAAACATAGCTTGTCCAAAGAAAGTGGCCTCTTGGCACAACTTACCGGGTATGGGGTAAATTGAGCATAGGGACAGGGTATATTGAGCCGCCTTCACATTCATGTACAAGTTCTCTGCATTTGAGGCTACTAAACCCATGAAACTGGTCTTGATATGTTTAGCAAGCTCAGACTCCATGTCATCAGGCAAGACCTTCTGTGCCTCTGCTACTCTATCATAGCTTCTCTTTCTCACAGGTACATGTTTATTTTATTTTTTGTCAATGTACCTCTTCAGTGTCATTCAGTCAATTTTTTTGTATCCCTTGCTGCTGCTCAAATGGTCTTCTCTCCTTCTCTCACTTCCTTGGCTGCCCTTTCAAGAACCTCAGGGGGGCTAGACCCCTGCTTGTTTTACGTTTGTATACATGGGGCATGATGATGTTACTTTTTTCCATCTTAACTAACGACATGCCGTCTCTGTCTGCGGATGACTCAACACTATACACGTCAGCAACTACAGCGACTGAAATGACTGCAACACTTAACAAAGAGCTGCAGTTAGTTTCAGAATGGGTGGCAAGGAATAAGTTAGTCCTAAATATTTCAAAAACTAAAAGCATTGTATTTGGGACAAATCATTCACTAAACCTTAAACCTCAACTCAATCTTGTAATGAATAATGTGGACATTGAGCAAGTTGAGGTGACTAAACTGCTTGGGGTAACCATGGATTGTAAACTGTCATGGTCAAACATATTGATACAACATTAGCTAAGATGGGGAGAAGTCTGTCCATAATAAAGCGCTGCTCTGCTTTCTTAACAACGCTATCAACAAGGCATGTCCTACAGGCCCTAGTTTTGTCGCACCTGGACTGCTGTTCAGTCGTGTAGTCAGGTGCCACAAACAGGGACTTAGGAAAATTGCAATTGGCTCAGAACAGGGCAGCACGGCTGGCCCTTAAAAGTACACGGGGAGCTAACATGAATGTAAATCTCTCATGGCTCAAAGTGGAAGAGAGATTGACTTCATCACTACTTGTTTTTGTAAGAAGTGTTGACAAGCTGAATGTACCGAGCTTTCTGTTTAAACTACTAGCACACAGCTCGGACACCCATGCATACCCCACAAGACATGCCACCAGAGGTTTCTTCACAATCCCCAAGTCCATAACAGACTTTGGAGGCGCACAGTACTACATAGAGCCATGACTACATGGAACTCTATTCCACATCAGGTAACTGATGCAAGCAGTACAATCAGATTTTAAGAAACAGGTAAAAATAAACCTTATGGAACAGCGGGGACTGTGAAGAGACACACACAAAGCATAAGCACACAAGCGCTAGCAAACGCACTCTACACACACGTACATTGTAGTATCGTTGTATGGTGGTATTATACATTTTGTATTGTAGATATGTAGCTGTGTAATAATGTTATGTGATGTACTGTTTTATCTTTTGTTTTATAAACTATGTAATGTAAGTGCCTTAATGTGTTTGGACCCCAGGAAGAGTAGCTGCTGTCTTGGCAGCGGCTAAAGGGATCCCTAATAAATACAAATACAAGTGTCTGCTCTGTAATAATACAAATGCATTATCTTGAGTTCATATGCATGACAAATTGCAAACATACTATGCATATTATGCATAAAATGGACTAAATGTAATCATAATTTGTATGAGGCATTGGCTCAACTTGCCCCTGGCCAAATGGCACAATTTACCCCAAAGCAACCATTTTGACTACAAGCTACAAGGATGCACTTTCATGCTATGTTTATGACCTCATATTGTAGCTTATAGAGACCCCAACTGATATATAAAACAGTCTTAAAACGATCTACTTTGGTTTAGATACAAGCATCATGAAACCTATAACACAATAAATTAACTTTGTGAAAATCAATTTTTTGTACCTAACTTCCTTACCACTTTTTCCAAGTGGTTTCTTCCTTCACAGACTCCATGAAATGTTGACCTCTTCCTAAATATTTGGTCATATTATACATTTTGTGTATGGTATCCTAGAAACAAGGGGTGGCTCAACTAACCCTTTGGCAGCACTCCCCCTACTGTTTACTGTCATAGGAGTGATTTAATTCTGTAAGCAAAGATGACAGAGAATGCTTGGGGACATTTAATATTTTTTATTGTACAAGAAAACACACCAAAAAAAACACGAGGTAAAAAATAAGTTACCCCTATAGAGGTCCAGGTTTTCTTTTACATCTTCCGAGCGAAATGCATACAGTTCATGGTTATTTAATCCTATGCCCCTCTTAAGGTAAAGGACGAAACACCTTAGATGTTTTCAAAACACATTAATATCTATGGTTTTATGTTTGATGACAGCTTTATGTTTGATACGGGGAGAAATGTCGTCTTTGAAGGTGGTTTTTATATGGGCATGAGTAGGAGAAATAAATACTTATTGCGTGGGTTACCATCATGCACACTTTGACAGTGCTATGCAGCAGCCTTCTGACTTCTCTCTATAGCCATCCTCTCAAGGCGCTCTGTGTAGAACCCGTTGAAATCCAACCTATGGAATCAAATTCAAAGCAGTTTTTAACTAGTATTGTAACTGTATCTTAGCATATCCATTCAAGCAACTATCTATAGACCAGGAGTTTCCAACTCCGGTCCTGGAGAGCTACGGGGTATGCAGGTTTTTGTTCCAGCCCGGCACTAACACACCCATCTCCAATAACCAACTTATCAAGGTGTTCAGTCTGGACCTTGCTCAGTTGAATCAGGTGTGTGGGTGCTGGGCAGCAACAAAAGCCTGCGTAGCCAGTATCTCTCCAGTACCAGAGTTGGAGATAGAGTAGTAGACCCACCGGTAGATTATGTTAATCATGCTGTGCTCACAGTCATTGGTGCTATAGACGCTGAGCTTGTCCAGCAGGTCCAGGAGCAGTGTGCTGAAGTTGCTGTCAAACTTGCTGATGGTGGCTTCGAAGCCTGAGTCTGACTGCAGGGCCTCCACGTGCTCTGCTAGGAACTGACAACGGGGAACAACGACATAGGTAAAGGCATTTGCTGATTGGGGAATAGTAATGTTATATTTGATAGATAGTACTTGAGACAGAACACAAACGTTAATTGCCACCATTACAATACTATTGTATTTGGTTGTTCTATGTAACATACCCAGGTAAACACATTTGTCATACTTTGATGTTTTATCTTTGAAAGCAATGCTTCAAGTTGTTTATAGTAGTGAGTATCTGCTGTATATGAGTGAGTATGTGTGTTGTTACCTTCGAGGTAAGCCTCTTCCTCTCTTGCTCCACGGTGCGTTCGCTCTGGGTGGGAGGACCCTTCATGGTGCCATGCTCCAGAGACAGACGGTTCATCTCCTGGTCCAGCTTCATGCTCTGGGTGAAGCGCTACACCAGGAAATATACAGACATTTAATAAGGATCAGCAGTGAGAGAGAGACACTGTATAGTCACACTGGGGGGAAAATATATTAGGCTACATATCACAATACTTCTAATGTGCATGAGTTGCATGTATTTTATTTATTTAACTAAAATACCATTACATGTAAGCTACAACAAGCTGCCTTGGAATTCACGGTTTTGTAGTTTGCGTTCCACATCCACTAACCTGCATGCAGTTGGTGAACATGACACACACAGACATAAGCTTGGAGAAGATCTTGAGTAGCTCTGGGTTGGTCAGCATGCAGTCCTTCAGGCAGTTGTCCAGGAAGCTGGTGTGATGACACAGCACGTCGTCTATGTTGGAAGCCTGAGGGAGACAAGATGGACTATATTATGACATTCCTGGTCAATGCAGGGTAGACACTGTCTGGAATGCGGTTTTAACCAATCACCATTCAGGATTAGACCCACCTGTTGTATAAACCGCAGCATGTAGTTATTAGGAGCAATTTAAATGAATGCAATTGAATTGGGACTGGAAAAAACGATTGACCATAACAATCTTGGGTCAAAGCAAGTAAAGGCTTGTGGCTGACATTTGTAATGGACGCCAGTCTTCTACACTATGCACAGAACAATTATGTTAGAAGTAGCTATAGGCTAATACATGATAGCACTGAATGCTATCAAGGTGAGAAGCAGCCTTGGTTCCTTTCCACTCACAGATTTCAAGTTGTTCTCCATGATGTGCCAGGTGGGCTCCATAACTTCAAACATCATGTAGTACTGGATGTTCTGGACAAAGTTCAGCATGCGCTGTCTCAGGGCAAACGCTGCTGCAAACCTTCAGGGAGGAGGAAACCAGATAGCTCATATAAGAACTTGCTATTCGGAAGTTGGCACTAGAGAAACAAACAAGGAAATTAAGTGAAGGAGTTTTGTCAACTCACCACTTGGCCCTGTGCAAGGCGTACTGCTTGGCTGTTTTGTTGCTGATCCACACGTTGCACAACAGCCTCTCGACATGTTTGCAGTAAAAAATGTGTCGGAACAGCATCTGGTATCTCGTCAGCGCTTTCCTAGAAAAATACATATTCCGAATCAGAACACATGGTTATAGTATTGGCATTTAGCACGCCCTGGGTTGGGGTCCATGGGGGGTTCTCAATAGATTGAGAAAAGTTACATTAGGGTTGAAAAGTATATTTTTTATCCCATCTTCAAGTGAGCCTTTTTTAGCCTTCATTTAACCAGGAAGTCATACTGAGGTCAGAAGATCTCTTTACCAAGGAAGACCTGGCCTTGGATATAGCCCCAGTGTACCTACCTGTTGATGATGAGTGACAGCGGCCACTTGACAATGTAGTCAAAGGAGAAGGCCTCCAGGCCACTGAGGGCCACCTCGGTGGGGTCGGCATTGATGATGGCCTTCTCCTGCTTGGTCTCGATGGCCAGCACCCGCAGCAGTTGGGTGATCACATCATGTGGCATCAGGTCAATCTGGGAAACAGGAACAGAGGGTGGATGGATGAGTTCAGTGTGACGCCCCTCCCAAAACAGTCACATTACATACCAGTTGTTTAACTTAGTCGTTTATATGTATATCCTATAGATAGCAACCCCCCCCCCCCCAAAAGATATATATAATATTATGTATTTTTTTTAGTTAGAATAGTAATTGTATTTATTATGGATCCCCATTAGCCGCTGCTCTTCCTGGGGTCCAGCAAAATTAAGGCTGTTATACCATTTAAAAAACATTCACAACAGATTTCACAACACATTAAGTGTGTGCCCTCAGGCCCCTCCTCTACTACTACAAATCTACAACACAAAATCCATGTGTATGTGTGTATAGTGCGTATGTTATCGTGTGTCTGTATGCATGTGTCTGTGCCTATGTGTGTGTCGCTTCACAGTCCCCGCTGTTCCATAAGGTGTATTTCTATCTGTTTTTAAAATCTGATTCTACTGCTTGCATGAGTTTCTTGATGTGGAATAGAGTTCCATGTAGCCATGGCTCTATGTAGTACTGTGAGCCTCCCATAGTCTGTTCTGGACTTGGGGACTGTGAAGAGACCTCTGGTGGCATGTCTTGTGGGGTGTGCATGGGTGTCCGAGCTGTGTGCCAGTAGTTCAAATAGACAGCTCGGTGCATTCAACATGTCAATACCTCTCACAAATACAAGTAGTGATGAAGTCAATCTCCTCCACTTTGAGCCAGGAGAGATTGACATGCATATTTTTAATGTTAGCTCTCTGTGTACATCCAAGGGCCAGCCATGCTACCCTGTTCTGAACCAATTGCAATTTTCCTAAGTCCCTCTTTGTGGCACCTGACCCATCTTAGCTACTGTTGTATCAATATGTTTTGACCATGACAGTTTACAATCCAGGGTTACTCCAAGCAGTTTAGTCACCTCAACTTGCTCAATTTCCACATAATTCATTACAAGATTGAGTTGAGGTTTAGGGTTTAGTGAATGTATTTGGGACAAATCAATGCTTTTAGTTTTTGAAATATTTAGGACTAACTTATTCCTTGTCACCCATTCTGAAACTAACTACAGCTCTTTGTTAAGTGTTGCAGTCATTTCAGTCGCTGTAGTAGCTGACGTGTATAGTGTTGAGTCATCCGCATACATAGACACACTGGCTTTACTCAAAACAAGTGGCATGTCGTTAGTAAAGATTTAAATAAGTAAGTGCCTAGACAGCTGCCCTGGGGAATTCCTGATTCTACCTGGATTATGTTGGAGAGGCTTCCATTAAAGAACACCCTCTGTGTTCTGTTAGACAATATACACCCCCTGCTATATTATCCACAATCTAGCAGGGGGTGTAAAGCCATAACACATATGTTTTTCCAGCAGCAGACTATGATCGATAATGTCAAAAGCCGCACAGCCCCCACAATCTTATCATCAATTTCTATCAGCCAATCATCAGTCATTTGTGTAAGTGCTGTGCTTGTTGAATGTCCTTCCCTATAAGCGTGCTGAAAGTCTGTTGTCAATTTGTTTACTGTAAAATAGCATTGTATCTGGTCAAACACAATTTTTTCCAAAAGTTTACCAAGTGTTGATAATAGGCTGATTGGTTGGCTATTTCAGCCAGTAAAGGGGGCTATACTATTCTTTGGTAGCGGAATGACTTTTGCTTCCCTCCAGGCCTGAGAGCACACACTTTCTAGTAGGCTTAAATTGAAGATATGGCAAATAGTAGAATACACAAGGTGCATAATTTTTTTGTTTCTCTCGTTATTTCAGTCACTGACAGTCACTCAGCCCATGTCAGCTAGCATTTTTTTGATTGGTAAATTAGTCTAGCCAGCTAGCTAAACTTGAAGTAATCATGGTCAAATTACCAACCGGGGGCACCCATTGATTTTGTTAGTCACTCTCACTCACATCAAAGTTTATTGGTCGCATACACAGATTTGCTAATGTTATCACAAGTGCAGTGAAATGCTTATATTTCTAGCTCCAACAGTGCAGTAATACCTAGCAATACATTTTTTTTAACAATAAAAAAAGTTATATAGGATGAGCCATGACTAGAAAACAGTATATACATAAAAGTGGATGAAACAGTATGGGAACATCATTAAAGTGACCAGTGTTCAATGACTAAGTACATAGGGCAGCAGTCTCTTAAGGTGCAGGGTAGAGTACTGGGTGGTAGCCGGCTAGAACAGTGACTAAGGTTCAGGGCAGGGCACTAGGCGGAGGCTGGCAAGTGGTGACTGTTTAACAGACTGATGACCTGGAGATAGAAGCTGTTTCTCATTCTCGGTTCCAGCTTTGATGCACCTGTACTGTCTCCACCTTTTAAATGGTAGCGGGTTGAACAGGCAGTGGCTCGGGTGGCTCGGGTGGCTGAGGTCCTTGATGATCTTCTTGGCCTTCCTGTGACATTGGGTGCTGTAGATGTCCTGGAGGGCAGGCATTGTGCCCCCGGTGATGCGTTGGGCTGACGGCACCACCCTCTGGAGAGCACTGCGGTTGCGGACGGTGCAATTGCGGAACCAGGCGGTGATACAGCCCGACAGGATGCTCTCAATGGTGCATCTGTAGAAGTTTGTGGGGGTCTTCTGGGTCACAACAAATTTCTTCAGCTTCCTGAGGTTAAAGAGGCGCTGTTGCGTCTTCTTCACCACGCTGTCTGTGTGAAGGGACCATTTCAGGTTGTCAGTGATGTGCACGCTGAGGAACTTGAAGCTTATGACCCTCGTCAATGTGGATGGGGGCGTGCTCTCTCTGCTGTCTCCTGTAACCCACGATCAACTCCTTCGTTTTGTTGAAGTCGAGGGAGAGGTTATTTTCCTAGCACCACTCCGCACGGCCTCTCCTCCCTGTAGGCTGTCTCATCGTTGTTGGTAATCAGGCTTACCACTGTTGTGTCATCAGCAAACTTGATGATTGATTTGGAGACGTGCGTGGCCGCGTAGTCATGGGTGAACAGGGAGTACAGGAGGGGGCTGAGCACGCACCCCTGTGGTGCCCCGTGTTGAAGATCAGCGTGGCGGAGGGGTTGTTGCCTACCTTCACCACTTGGGGTCGGCCCGCCAGGAAGTCCAGGACCCAGTTGTTCAGATATAATATTAAAAACATTTATCTCCACTCAATGGCAAAATGTGTAGAATTGCAGAAAATTAACTTTCAAGCTGCTTACGGCCCCCAAAAGGCTAAGGCTGGCTCTGACTGCATGTGTGGGTGTGGGTATGGGTACGCAGACCCGCGAGCCACTGCGGCCCCTCATGATGAGTTCAGATTTTTTGTGGCCCCCATCTCCATCAAAGTTGCCCATCCCTGCTATACAATTGTGATTCTACCCCATGGCAATGTTCTATTACTGTGCTAAAGTGCAGCTATAAGAAATGGTCTAATGCAGTAAACAGCAATGATGCACCATTTGAATAACAAGATCATAAATGACTTAAGATTCACCTCAAAGTAGTCAACAGTGCCCCCAGCTGCTGTAAGCTAACGTTAATATGCTCAGACTAATTTTGGAAAGGTACATGAGCCTATTCATTCATCATAATGCATGCATGAAAGGATATTTCAAATCATACTGTGTACAGTATGTATTTAGGTAATGAACTAAACCCATTTATAAAACGGAACCTGAATGAATAAGGTAACCACTAGATGGTGCTGCTGTTATCAAGATAGCATAAATTCCAGACTGGTACTCATCTAGGATATTTAATCAATAAGAAGGCCAGAGTGGGTGTGGTATATGGCCAACATATCCAGGCTAAGAGCTGCTGTTAGTCACGACGCAACGCAGAGTGCCTGGATACAACCCTTAGCCGTGGTATATTGGCCATATACCACAAACCCCTGAGGTGCCTTATTGCTATTATAAACTGGTTACCAATGTAATTAGAAGAGTAAAAATAAATGTTTTGTCATACCCGTGGTATACCACGGCTTTCAGCCAATCAGCATTCAGGGCTCGAACCACCCAGTTTATAATGTCTCATATACCACGGCTTTTAGCCAATCAGCATCCAGGGCTCAAACAACCCACTTTATAATTACCTTCAGGTCATCTTTGAATGGGTCTGTGTTAGCAGTACTCATCCTCAGAGCCAGCTCTAGCAAGGCCTCCAGTCTGGGAGGGACGATGTCATCCACTGGCTTTTTCAGCTCCTCTTCCGTCAGATCCATGAAATGGACAAAGAAATCTCCCTTGTCCATTAAGAAGTAGTGCTTGATTGACCTAGGAAGAATACATCTCTTAGCATACAACTGAACATACCAAATGAGAAATACCCTATCAAACTATTTATAGTTTATTGTTGTTGTTTACCTAAGTCGTGCGACCAGCTCCTTCTCCTCCATCAGAAAGTCTAGAAGGACCTTACTGGCATAGTAGTAGGATTTTTCTATCTGCTCCACGTAGGCTCTCTCCTTGAGAGTGTAGAGGATCTCCTTAGCATCGGGACAAGTCACATCCCGGCCACACTCTCTCACCACGTTGAGGTATTTCCCTATAGAACAGGATGAGAAAAAACACTAACTCAGACACAGAAAACTCCACAGCAAATGATCAGAACCTTGATACTACTCGTTTTCTACACTATAAAACAACACAGTGAATTGCACTAGCCATTGTCAGGAAGCACTAAAAAGTGATCTGAACAAATCTGATGCAAACAGTATGATGTGTCTTACCTGTACTTAAAATTTTGTCTGCCATTTTCTGAAGAAAGGATGGAATTCTGTGCTGTACGATTGTGTACCGCTGATCCCAATATTTGTCGTTGTAGTCCTCCTGGATCTTCTCTTTCTGTAGCTCATGCTCTTCAACCATGAATTCACTATGAAGCAAATAAAATCACAAAAACATGAACAAAATGAACTAATTGTGTGAAAATCTAAATTGTGTCATAACTCATGTCCAAGTCTGTGACACTATAGAAAAGTACTGATGTGATTAAATGTAAGAAATGTGGAAAATGAGTTGCGCGACAAAAGACTGTACCTGTAAGGGTCCTTGATGATGCCTCTATAGATCCATTTCTCCAGTATCTCAAAGTAAGGGACACTAGCTGCTTTCGTGAGGTAGAGGCACAGTTCCTGGGCCTGACTGTCTCCAGTGTAGTTGAAGGTACGATCGTGAAGGAGGCTCAACGTCGACCCACCCATGCAGTCTCCTTTGTCCACCGAGGAGGCTTTGAGAAACAGTACATGCAACCCACTGATTAAATAGACATCAATAACCTTTGGAGAATTTATTTTAATTCTTTACTATGAGCACTTTTTACTTTGGGAAGTCTGCTACAACATACCACAACCATATCACAATAACCATACCACACACGACCATCACATCCTCATTGCCCACAGGACAAGACAATACCGGCATAATACCTCTGAAAGGTCTATCTAAAAAGCCATAATACAATTTAATGTCCAAAAGTACAATGCAGCTATATCTACCAACCAACCACAATATATATTGTGTGTGTGTGTGTGTGTGTAGGTAATGAACTAAACCCATTTATAAAACAGAACCTGAATGAATAAGGTAACCACTAGATGGGAACACTTAAACAACACAATGTAACTCCAAGTCAATCACACTTCTGTGAAATCAAACTGTCCACTTAGGAAGCAACACTGATTGACAATACATTTCACATGCTGTTGTGCAAATGGAATAGACAACAGGTGGAAATTATAGGCAATTAGCAAGACACCCCCAATAAAGGACTGGTTTTGCATGTGGTGACCACAGACCACTTCTCAGTTCCAATGCTTCCTGGCTGATGTTTTGGTCACTTTTGAATGCTGGCGGTGCTTTCACTCTAGTGCAGGGGTGTCAAACGTACGGCCCGCGGGCCGGATCAGGCCCGCAAACGGGTTTAATCCGGCCCGCGAGATGATTTTGAAAAAAAAAAAAACGAAAAAAATGTTTTCTTTTCTTTTTTTGTAAAGTATAAAAATGCGCTGCAATTTTTCAATAAAATAAACTGCTGTTCCCAATTGTGTCCACTGGATGGCGCAATAGCAATTGTGTTAAGCAAGCAAACTGTTTATACCGGGGCAGAGCAAGTAGGTCAAGCACGTGCAGCCAATGAGCTACTTTGTTTTGCCCGCGATATTTATTACGGCTTCTACTTTTAACATTATGTGCTTTGGCACCCTCATTGCCCCAATATGTCTCTGTCAAAAAAGAGAAAAGTGGACGCAGAGTGCAGAGTGTTCCAAGAAAAATGGTCATCCTATTTATTCACGGAATTGAATGGGAAAGCTGTATGTTTGGTGTGTTCAGAGCATGTTGCAGTGCTGAAAGAATATAACCTTCGTCACCACTATGTGAGTATTCATGCCGACAAATATGACAACTTTCAAGGACAGCGGAGATGAGAGAAGGTGAATGAACTGTTGGCGGGTCTGAAGAAACAGCAGTCTGTGTTTACTCACAGCCGAGACATCAGTGACGCTGCAGTGAAAGCTAGCTACCTCATTGCTAATGAAATCGCAGTGGCTTCAAAACCATTTAGTGAGGGTGAATTTGTAAAAACATGCATGATGAAGGCAGCGGAGATAGTGTGCCCTGAAAAGCGGCAGGCTTTTGCAAATATCAGCCTGACAAGAAACACAGTTGCAGACAGGATTTCCGATCTTTCAGTGGATTTGGACAGCCAGTTGAAGCAAAAAGTAAAGTCATTTATTGCGTTTTCGGTTGCAATTGATGAAAGCACGGACATTACAGATGTTGCACAACAGGCCATTTTCATCCGCGGAGTTGATGACACATTGACCGTCACCGAGGAGTTCGTGGAGTTGGTGCCGATGACAGATACAACGACAGCAGCTGATATTTTTACCACACTCGTCGGCGCGCTGGTCAGGGTCGGAGTGGACTGGTCCCGCGCTGTCAGCCTGGCTACAGATGGTGCGCCCTCAATGATCGGGAAAAAAGCAGGCGTTGTGACAAAGTTCAGAGAGAAAGTGCAATCTGCAAATGGAGGACGTGATTTTTTGACTTTTCACTGTATTTTGCACCAGGAGGCTTTGTGTTGCAAGTCATTAAAGATGGATAACGTCATGAAGGTGGTCATCCAAACTGTTAATTTCATCCGATCCAGAAGCCTGAATCACCGTCAGTTTGACAGCCTTCTCAGAGAGAAAGACCACATCTATGGCCTGCCATACCACACTGAGGTAAGATGGTTAAGCCGAGGTGCTGTGCTGAGGCGTTTCTTTGATTTACGAGAAGAAATTGAACAGTTCATGGAAGAAAAGGGCAAACCAGTGTTAGAATTTCATTCCGCAGAATGGATGCAGGACCTTGCATTTATGGTGGATGTTACAGAGCACCTGAATAACTTGAACAAACAGCTGCAAGGGCGCAACAAAGTTGTCACGCAGTATTATGACAGCATACGTTCTTTCAAGTTGAAGCTGTCATTGTGGGAGACGCAACTTGCCGGTGGTGATGCAGCTCACTTCCCCTGTCTGAAAAATGTGTGCGCGACCCAACATGTGGCAGACATGAAGCGGTTCAAAGATAAAATAACGGGACTGTTACGGGAGTTTGAGCAACGCTTTCAGATTTATGTTGATGTTTTTATGTTGATGTGCTATTGTTTTTAATTGATTTTATTTGTATATTTAACCTATTCTTGACTCTGTGGTTCTTGCACTTGTTTGGGGAACAGGATTTCATTATTTTTATCTACATTTCTGCCTGAGAAATGACACCCTGATATAGTTCTGTGATCTGTGATATACTTCTGTGAATCACTGAGGCATTGTGTGTTCTTTGTCCTCAGAATTTTAAATTTAACTTGAGGTGTTTTATGATTAATAGTGATGTTGTGCTTTTGGACACTGTCCTCAGGCTCCAGCTTTATGTTTATATGTTTTTATGTTGATGTGCTATTGTTTTTAATTGATTTTATTTTATTTGTATATTTAACCTATTCTTGACTCTGTGGTTCTTGCACTTGTTTGGGGAACAGGATTTCATTATTTTTATCTACATTTCTGCCTGAGAAATGACATCCTGATATAGTTCTGTGATCTGTGAAACAGTTCTGTTAATCACTGAGGCATTGTGTGTTTGTGTGTTCTTTTTCTTTAGAATTTTCAAATAAACTTGACGTGTTTTATGATTAATAGTGATGTTGTGCTTGTACTATTTTGGACACACTGTCCTCAGGCTCCAGCTTTATGTTGTATGTTGATCGTATTAAAACAAAGAAAACAATCTGAAGTTGTTGTTTTTAAGTTATATATACCATGATTTTTCCGGTCCGGCCCACTTGGGAATAGATTTTCCTCCATGTGGCCCCTGAGCTAAAATGAGTTTGACACCCCTGCTCTAGTGGTAGCATGAGACGGAGTCTACAACCCACACAAGTGGCTCAGGTAGTGCAGCTCATCCAGGATGGCACATCAATGCGAGCTGTGGCAAGAAGGTTTGCTGTGTCTGTCAGCGTAGTGTCCAGAGCATGGAGGCGCTACCAGGAGACAGGCCAGTACATCAGGAGACGTGGAGGAGGCCGTAGGAGGGCAACAACCCAGCAGCAGGACTGCTACCTCCGCCTTTGTGCAAGGAGAAGCAGGAGGAGCACTGCCAGAGCCCTGCAAAATGACCTCCAGCAGGCCACAAATGTGCATGTGTCTGCTCAAACGGTCAGAAACAGACTCCATGAGGGTGGTATGAGGGCCCGACGTCCACAGGTGGGGATTGTGCTTACAGCCCAACACCGTGCAGGACGTTTGGCATTTGCCAGAGAACACCAAGATTGGCAAATTCGCCACTGGCGCCCTGTGCACTTCACAGATGAAAGCAGGTTCACACTGAGCACGTGACAGACGTGACAGAGTCTGGAGACGCCGTGGAGAACGTTCTGCTGCCTGCAACATCCTCCAGCATGACCGGTTTGGTGGTGGGTCAGTCATGGTGTGGGGTGGCATTTCTTTGGGGGGCCGCACAGCCCTCCATGTGCTCGCCAGAGGTAGTCTGACTGCCATTAGGTACCGAGATGAGATCCTCAGACCCCTTGTGAGACCATATGCTGGTGCGGTTGGCCCTGGGTTCCTCCTAATGCAAGACAATGCTAGACATCATGTGGCTGGAGTGTGTCAGCAGTTCCTGCAAGAGGAAGGCATTGAGGCTATGGACTGGCCCGCCCGTTCCCCAGACCTGAATCCAATTGAGCACATCTGGGACATCATGTCTCGCTCCATCCACCAACGCCACGTTGCACCACAGACTGTCCAGGAGTTGGCAGATGCTTTAGTCCAGGTCTGGGAGGAGATCCCTCAGGAGACCATCTGCCACCTCATCAGGAGCATGCCCAGGCGTTGTAGGGAGGTCATACAGGCACGTGGAGACCACACACACTACTGAGCCTCATTTTGACTTGTTTTAAGGACATTACATCAAAGTTGGATCAGTCTATAATTTTAATGGTAGGTTTATTTGAACAGAGAGAAAGAATAACAACAAAATTCAGAAAAATGCATGTCAAAAATGTTATGTGATTTGCATTTTAATGAGGGAAATAAGTATTTGACCCCCTCTCAATCAGAAATATTTCTGGCTCCCAGCTGTCTTTTATACAGGTAACGAGCTGAGATTAGGAGCACACTCTTAAAGGGAGTGCTCCTAATCTCAACTTGTTACCTGTATAAAAAGACACCTGTCCACAGAAGCAATCAATCAATCAGATTCCAAACTCTCCACCATGGCCAAGACCAAAGAGCTCTCCAAGGATGTCAGGGACAGGATTGTAGACCTACACAAGGCTGGAATGGGCTACAAAACCAACGCCAAGCAGCTTGGTGAGAAGGTGACAACAGTTGGTCTGGGGCTCCATGCAAGATCTCACCTCGTGGAGTTGCAATGATCATGAGAACAGTGAGGAATTGTCCCAGAACTACACGGGAGGATCTTGTCAATGATCTCAAGGCAGCTGGGACCATAGTCACCAAGAAAACAATTGGTAACACACTACGCCGTGAAGGACTGAAATCCTGCAGCGCCCGCAAGGTCCCCCTGCTCAAGAAAGCACATATACAGGCCCGTCTGAAGTTTGCCAATGAACATCTGAATGATTCAGAGGAGAACTGGGTGAAAGTGTTGTGGTCAGATGAGACCAAAATCGAGCTCTTTGGCATCAACTCATGACCCCAAGAATACCATCCCCACCGTCAAACATGGAGGTGGAAACATTATGCTTTGGGGGTGTTTTTCTGCTAAGGGGACAGGACAACTTCACCGCATCAAAGGGACGATGGACGGGGCCATGTACCATCAAATCTTGGGTGAGAACCTCCTTCCCTCAGCCAGGGCATTGAAAATGGGTCGTGGATGGGTATTCCAGCATGACAATGACCCAAAACACACGGCCAAGGCAACAAAGGAGTGGCTCAAGAAGAAGCACATTAAGGTCCTGGAGTGGCCTAGCCAGTCTACAGGCCTTAATCCCATAGAAAATCTGTGGAGGGAGCTGAAGGTTCGAGTTGCCAAACTTCAGCCTCGAAACCTTAATGACTTGGAGAAGATCTGCAAAGAGGAGTGGAACAAAATCCCTCCTGAGATGTGTGCAAACCTGGTGGCCAACTACAAGAAACGTCTGACCTCTGTGATTGCCAACAAGGGTTTTGCCACCAAGTACAAAGTCATGTTTTGCAGAGGGGTCAAATACTTATTTCCCTCATTAAAATGCAAATCAATTTATAACATTTTTTACATGCGTTTTTCTGGATTATTTTGTTGTTATTCTGTCTCTCACTGTTCAAATAAACCTACCATTAAAATTATAGACTGATCATGTCTTTGTCAGTGGGCAAACGTACAAAATCAGCATCGGGATCAAATACTTTTTTCCCCTCACTGTAGTTTTGATGTCTTCACTATTATTCTACAATGTAAAAAATAGTAAAAATAAAGAAAAACCCTTGAATGAGTAGGTGTGTCCAAACTTTTGACTGGTACTGTATATATGATGCATAAGGATCATACACTGAGTGTATAAAGCATTATGAACACCTGCTCTTTCCATGACAGACTGATCAGGTGAATCCAGGTGAAAGCTATGATCCCTCATTGAGGTCACCTATAAATCCACTTCTAATCAGTGTAGATCAGGGGTGTCAAACGTACGGCCCGCGGGCCGGATCAGGCCCGCAAACGGGTTTAATCCGGCCCGCGAGATGATTTAAAAAAAAAAAAAAAAAACTTTTTTTTTTGTAAAGTATAAAAATGCGCTGCAATTTTTCAATAAAATAAACTGCTGTTCCAATTGCGTCCACTGGATGGCGCAATAGCAATTGTGTTAAGCAAGCAAACTGTTTATACCGGGGCAGAGCAAGTAGGTCAAGCACGTGCAGCCAATGAGCTACTTTGTTTTGCCCGCGATATTTATTACGGCTTCTACTTTTAACATTATGTGCTTTGGCACCCTCATTGCCCCAATATGTCTCTGTCAAAAAAGAGAAAAGTGGACGCAGAGTGCAGAGTGTTCCAAGAAAAATGGTCATCCTATTTATTCACGGAATTGAATGGGAAAGCTGTATGTTTGGTGTGTTCAGAGCATGTTGCAGTGCTGAAAGAATATAACCTTCGTCACCACTATGTGAGTATTCATGCCGACAAATATGACAACTTTCAAGGACAGCGGAGATGAGAGAAGGTGAATGAACTGTTGGCGGGTCTGAAGAAACAGCAGTCTGTGTTTACTCACAGCCGAGACATCAGTGACGCTGCAGTGAAAGCTAGCTACCTCATTGCTAATGAAATCGCAGTGGCTTCAAAACCATTTAGTGAGGGTGAATTTGTAAAAACATGCATGATGAAGGCAGCGGAGATTGTGTGCCCTGAAAAGCAGCAGGCTTTTGCAAATATCAGCCTGACAAGAAACACAGTTGCAGACAGGATTTCCGATCTTTCAGTGGATTTGGACAGCCAGTTGAAGCAAAAAGTAAAGTCATTTATTGCGTTTTCGGTTGCAATTGATGAAAGCACGGACATGACAGATGTTGCACAACTGGCCATTTTCATCCGCGGAGTTGATGACACATTGACCGTCACCGAGGAGTTCGTGGAGTTGGTGCCGATGACAGATACAACGACAGCAGCTGATATTTTTACCGCACTCGTCGGCGCGCTGGACAGGGTCGGAGTGGACTGGCCCCGCGCTGTCAGCCTGGCTACAGATGGTGCGCCCTCAATGATCGGGAAAAAAGCAGGCGTTGTGACAAAGTTCAGAGAGAAAGTGCAATCTGCAAATGGAGGACGTGATTTTTTGACTTTTCACTGTATTTTGCACCAGGAGGCTTTGTGTTGCAAATCATTAAAGATGGATAACGTCATGAAGGTGGTCATCCAAACTGTTAATTTCATCCAATCCAGAAGCCTGAATCACCGTCAGTTTGACAGCCTTCTCAGAGAGAAAGACCACATCTATGGCCTGCCATACCACACTGAGGTAAGATGGTTAAGCCGAGGTGCTGTGCTGAGGCGTTTCTTTGATTTACGAGAAGAAATTGAACAGTTCATGGAAGAAAAGGGCAAACCAGTGTTAGAATTTCATTCCGCAGAATGGATGCAGGACCTTGCATTTATGGTGGATGTTACAGAGCACCTGAATAACTTGAACAAACAGCTGCAAGGGCGCAACAAAGTTGTCACGCAGTATTATGACAGCATACGTTCTTTCAAGTTGAAGCTGTCATTGTGGGAGACGCAACTTGCCGGTGGTGATGCAGCTCACTTCCCCTGTCTGAAAAATGTGTGCGCGACCCAACATGTGGCAGACATGAAGCGGTTCAAAGATAAAATAACGGGACTGTTACGGGAGTTTGAGCAACGCTTTCAGATTTATGTTGATGTTTTTATGTTGATGTGCTATTGTTTTTAATTGATTTTATTTGTATATTTAACCTATTCTTGACTCTGTGGTTCTTGCACTTGTTTGGGGAACAGTATTTCATTATTTTTATCTACATTTCTGCCTGAGAAATGACACCCTGATATAGTTCTGTGATCTGTGATATACTTCTGTGAATCACTGAGGCATTGTGTGTTTGTGTGTTCTTTGTCCTCAGAACTTTCAAATAACTTGAGGTGTTTTATGATTAATAGTGATGTTGTGCTTTTGGACACTGTCCTCAGGCTCCAGCTTTATGTTTATATGTTTTTATGTTGATGTCCTATTGTTTTTAATAGATTTTATTTTATTTGTATATTTAACCTATTCTTGACTCTGTGGTTCTTGCACTTGTTTGGGGAACAGGATTTCATTATTTTTATCTACATTTCTGCCTGAGAAATGACACCCTGATATAGTTCTGTGATCTGTGAAACAGTTCTGTTAATCACTGAGGCATTGTGTGTTTGTGTGTTCTTTTTCTTTAGAATTTTCGAATAAACTTGACGTGTTTTATGATTAATAGTGATGTTGTGCTTGTACTATTTTGGACACACTGTCCTCAGGCTCCAGCTTTATGTTGTATGTTGATCGTATTAAAACAAAGAAAACAATCTGAAGTTGTTGTTTTTAAGTTATATATACCATGATTTTTCCGGTCCGGCCCACTTGGGAATAGATTTTCCTCCATGTGGCCCCTGAGCTAAAATGAGTTTGACACCCCTGGTGTAGATGAAGGGGAGGAGACAGGTGAAATAATGATTTTAAGTCTTGAGACAACTGAGACATTGATTGTGTATGTGTGCCATTCAGAGGGTGAATGGGCAAAACAAAAAATTGAAGTGCCTTTGAATGGGGTATGGTTGTAGGTGCCAGGCGCACCGGTTTGTGTCAAGACTGCAATGCTGCTGGGTTTTTCACGCTTAACAGTTTCCTGTGTGTATCAAGAATGGTCCACCACCCAAAGGACGTCCAGCCAACTTGACAAAACTGTAGGGAGCATTGGAGTCAACATGGGCCAGCATCCCTGTGTAATGCTTTCGACACCTTGTAGAGTCCATGCCCCAACGAATTGAGGCTGTTCTGAGGGCAAAAGGGGCGGGTGTAACTCAATATTAGGAAGGTGTTCCTAATGTTTGGTATACTCAGTTTATATATATATATATATATATATATATATATATATATATATATATATATATATATATATATATATATATATATATATATATATATATATATATATGTTTTGTATGATCATGACAGCTTTACCAATGGAGGCTAAGATCTCCATGGTCCTCATGGTGGGCTGGATGTAGAACCAGAGCTTCTGCAGGGAGAGCATGTCCTGCCTGTGGAGGTGCTCCAGCTGGGTCACCAGGATCAGGTACTCCTTCATCAGGGTCCTCATGGCCGCCGTCAGGGCGTGGTTCACCTGGCCATACTCAAAGGACGACTTCTCCTCAGTGAAGCTGCCAGACAAAATACAAATAAATTGTTTGACAACCCAATGCACATGACACATCTCCAGATGGTGTAAGGATTACAACGTGAGTCCCGCAGAGACAAAGCAAGGTTAAGTTGCTAGACTGAGTGTACAAATCATTAGGAACACCGGCTCTTGCCATGACATAGACTGACCAGGTGAATCCAGGTGAAAGCTATGATCCCTTATTGATGTCACTTGTTAAATCCACTTTAATCAATGTAGATGAAGGGGAGGAAACAGGTTAAAGAAGGATTAAGCCTTGAAACAATTGAGACATGGATTGTGTATGTGTTCCATTCAGAGGGTGAATGGGCAAGACAAAATATTTAAGTGTCTTTGAAAAGGGTATGGTAGTAGGTGCCAGGCGCACCGGTTTGTGTCAAGAACTGCAACGCTGCTGGGTTTTTCACACAACAGTTTCCCATGTGTATCAAGAATGGTCCACCACCCAAAGGTCATCCAGCCAACTTGACACAACTGTGAGAAGCATTGGAGTCAACATGGGCCCGCATCCCTGTGGAACACTTTGGACACCTTGTAGTCCGTGCCCAGACGAATTGAGGCTGTTCTGAGGGCAAAAGGGGGTGTAATTCAATATTAGGAAGGTGTTTTTAATGTTTTGTACACTCAGTGTATATTTCCTTGTTAAAGTTCACTCACCGTGTTATAGTAGAGTAGTATGAGGAGACTGGTAATATCCTATTGACCAGCTCCTTGATGGACATGTCAAGGGTGGGGTCAACGATGAAGGAGCGGTTCTGCCTCCCGAGGACAGGCTGGGCTGTGATGTCTCTGCCGTCCACACCGATCAGCACAAACAACAGATCTTCAACCAGCGCATGCTCCTGAGCTGGCAGGGGCATTGTACCTGATCATAAAACACCAAAGAGATTATTTGAGGGATGCTCATCCTCATAACCACTTAACGTACCAGGTACATTTTCACACATTTTGTTATTGCATACTGTACATAAAAATGAGCAGTCACTCAGTCAGTGAAACTACAGTGCCTTCAGAAAGTATTCACACCCTTTAACTTTTTCCACATTTTGTTGTCTTGCAGCCTGAATTTAAAATAGATTAAATTGATATTTTGTGGCACTGGCCTACACACAATACCCCATAATGTCAAAGTGGAATCAAAGGGTCAAAGGGCCCCGTGTGGCTCAGTTGGTAGAGCATGGGGCTTGCAACGCCAGGGTTGTGGGTTCGTTTCCCACGGGGGGCCTGTATGAAAAATGTATGCACTCACTAACTGTATGTCGCTCTGGATAAGAGCGTCTGCTAAATGACTAAAATGTCAAATGTAAATGGAATGTTGTTTTTAGAAATTGTCACAAATTCAATAAAAAACAAAAAGCTGAAAAGCCTTGAATCAATATGTATTCAACCCCTTTGTTATGGCAAGCCTAAATAAGTTTAGGAGTAAAAATTTGCTTAAAACAAGTCACATAATAAGTTGCATTGACTCACTCTGTGTGCAATAATAGTGTTTAACATGATTTTTGAATGACTACGTCATCTCTGTACCCTACACATACAAGTATCTGTAAAGTCCCTCAGTCGAGTGAATTTCCAACACAGATTCAACCACAAAAACTAGGGAGGTTTTCCAATGCCTCGCAAAGAAGGGTGCCTATTGGTAGATGGGTACAAACATTCAATGTCTGCTTTTTTATCACTTTGAGCATGGTGAAGTTATGAATTACACTTTGGATGGCATATCAATACACGCAGTCACTACAAAGATACAGGCGTCCTTCCTAACTCAGTTTGCCAGAGAGGAAGGAAACCGCTCAGGGATTTCACCATGAGACCAATGGTGACTTTGAAACACATACAGTGGGGGAAAAAAGTATTTAGTCAGCCACCAATTGTGCAAGTTCTCCCACTTAAAAATATGAGAGAGGCCTGTAATTTTCATCATAGGTACAGGTCAACTATGACAGACAAAATGAGGGAAAAAAATCCATTAAATCACATTGTAGGATTTTTAATGAATTTATTTGCAAATTATGGTGGAAAATAAGTATTTGGTCAATAACAAAAGTGTCTCAATACTTTGTTATATACCCTTTGATGGCAATGACACAGGTCAAACGTTTTCTGTAAGTCTTCACAAGGTTTTCACACACTGTTGCTGGTATTTTGGCCCATTCCTCCATGCAGATCTCCTCTAGAGCAGTGATGTTTTGGGGCTGTCGCTGGGCAACACAGACTTTCAACTCCCTCCAAAGATTTTCTATGGGGTTGAGATCTGGAGACTGGCTAGGCCACTCCAGGACCTTGAAATGCTTCTTACGAAGCCACTCCTTCGTTGCCCGGGCAGTGTATTTGGGATCATTGTCATGCTGAAAGACCCAGCCACGATTCATCTTCAATGCCCTTGCTGATGGAAGGAGGTTTTCACTCAAAATCTCACGATACATGGCCCCATTCATTCTTTCTTTTACACGGATCAGTCGTCCTGGTCCCTTTGCAGAAAAACAGCCCCAAAGCATGATGTTTCCACCCCCATGCTTCACAGTAGGTATGGTGTTCTTTGGATGCAACTCAGCATTCTTTGTCCGCCAAACACGACGAGTTGAGTTTTTACCAAAAAGTTATATTTTGGTTTCATCTGACCATATGACATTCTCCCAATCCTCTTCTGGATCATCCAAATGCACTCTAGCAAACTTCAGACGGGCCTGGACATGTACTGGCTTAAGCAGGGGGACACGTCTGGCACTGCAGGATTTGAGTCCCTGGCGGCGTAGTGTGTTACTGATGGTAGGTTTTGTTACTTTGGTCCCAGCTCTCTGCAGGTCATTCACTAGGTCCCCCCGTGTGGTTCTGGGATTTTTGCTCACCGTTCTTGTGATCATTTTGACCCCACGGGGTGAGATCTTGCGTGGAGCCCCAGATCGAGGGAGATTATCAGTGGTCTTGTATGTCTTCCATATCCTAATAATTGCTCCCACAGTTGATTTCTTCAAACCAAGCTGCTTACCTATTGCAGATTCAGTCTTCCCAGCCTGGTGCAGGTCTACAATTTTGTTTCTGGTGTCCTTTGACAGCTCTTTGGTCTTGGTCATAGTGGAGTTTGGAGTGTGACTGTTTGAGGTTGTGGATAGGTGTCTTTTATACTGATAACAAGTTCAAACAGGTGCCATTAATACAGGTAACGAGTGGAGGACAGAGGAGCCTCTTAAAGAAGAAGTTACAGGTCTGTGAGAGCCAGAAATCTTGCTTGTTTGTAGGTGACCAAATACTTATTTTCCACCATAATTTGCAAATAAATTCATTAAAAATCCTACAATGTGATTTTCTGGAATTTTCTTTCTCAATTTGTCTGTCACAGTTGACGTGTACCTATGATGAAAATTACAGGCCTCTCTCATCTTTTTAAGTGGGAGAACTTGCACAATTGGTGGCTGACTAAATACTTTTTTCCCCCACCGTACATAAGAGAAAAGTAAAAGAGTTGAAGTCTCAACTAGCTGCCCAACAATCGATCTTTACAAGGCCCGGCTCAAAATCAAAGGCAGCCACGATTGCATCATTCCGGGCGAGTCGCATACTAGCAAAGCACAAGAAACAGTTCCATGATGGAGAAATTGTAAAAGAGGCCTTTTTAGACGCAGCAGAATCATTGTTTGATGATTTCAAAAATAATTTCCGCTATTAAGGATGTTTAGCGATCCAGAAAAACTTGTACACGGCGCTGTGAAATGATGGATGAGGATTTGAGGGAGCATCTTAAAAATGACTTTGCGATCCTGGAACCTGTGGCAACATTTATGTGCTTTCCGGTTGGTATGGAAGTTAATGTTGACGAAATTGCAACAAAAATTGCATCATTGTTTCACAAGGAGACATCAGCCTTTGAGAGTGAAATTTTGACTCTGCAAAGCGACCTCCAAATCAAATCGAGGGAACACTTTTGGAACCTTATCGTGGAGGAAAAATATCCAAACATGACAAAAGTTGCCATGTACTTGACAGCATTATTTGGATATACCTACCTTTCGAGTCAGCATTTTCAGACATGAAGATCATCTAGTCAAAATACCGGTCCACTCTAACAGATGATCACCTGGACACCTGCTTGAGGCTAGCAATCAGTAGCTACAACCCAGACTATGCAAAGCATGCAGTGCAAGTCATCCAATCAATAAGGTGAAAAGCATTAGGAAGAGGGTGGAAAAAGTAGATCCTATTCAACTTAAGTCTGGGCACCCCTGCTGTACAGAATACAAATATTCCAAAACATGCATCCTGTTTGCAACAAAGCACTAAAGTAATACTGCAAAACATGTGGCAAAGCAATTCACTTTATGTCCTGAATACAAAGTGTTATGTTTGGGGAAAATCCAATACAACACATTACTGAGTACCACTCGATATTTTCAAGCATAGTGGTGGCTGCATTATGTTATGGGTATGCTTGTAATCATTAAGGACTGGGGAGTTTTTGAGGATAAAAACGAAACGGAATGGAGTTAAACCCAGGCAAAATCCTAGAGGAAAACCTTGTTCTGTCTGCTTTCCACTAGACACTGGGAGATGAATTCACCTTTCAGCAGGACAATAACCTACAACACAAGGCCAAATTTACACTGGAGTTGCTTACCAAGAAGACAGTGAATGTTCCTAAGTGGCCGAGTTACAGTTTTGACTTAAATCTGCTTGAAAATCTATGGCAAGACTTAAATGGTTGTCTAGCAATGATCAACAACCAACTCCCGAGTGGCGCAGTGGTCTAAGGCACTGCATCGCAGTGCTAGCTGTGCCACTAGAGATCCTGGTTCGAATCCAGGCTCTGTCGTATCCGGCCGTGACCGGGAGACCCATGGGGTGGCGCACAATTGGCACAGCGTCGTCCAGGGTAAGGGAGGGGATGGCCGGCAGGGATGTAGCTCAGTTGGTAGAGCATGGCGTTTGCAACGCCAGGATTGTGGGTTTGATTCCCAGGGGGGGCCAGTATAAAAAAATAAAAAATAATGTATGCACTCAATAATGTAAGTCGCTCTGGATAAGAGCGTCTGCTAAATGACGCAAATGTAATGTAAATGTAATTTGGCAGAGCTTGAAGAATTTATAAAATATTAATGTGCAATCCAGGTGTGCAAAACTCTTAGAGACTTACCCAGAAAGACTCACAGCTGTAATCGCTGCCAAAGGTGATTCTAACATGCATTGACTCAGGGGTGTGAATACTTATGTAAATTAGATATTTCTGTATTAATATTTTAAATAAATTAGCAAACATTTCTAAAAACATGTTTTCACTTTGTCATTATGGGGTATTGTCTGTAGATAGGTGAGACAAATAATCAATTTTGAATTCAGGCTGTAACTACAAAATGTGGAATAAGTCGAGGGGTATGAATACTTTCTGAAGGCACTGTATGCATGAACTTCATGAAATATATCAAAATGTGTCAAAGTGAGACATATGAGTAACATTTATACCAATGGCCACTGCTGGGTCTCCTGCTGGTGTGGTACCGGTGATGAAGTCCCCAATCAGAGCAGGCCGGTCATACACCCAGTTTGGAAACACCGGGTTGGGCTGAGTGGGGTTCTTTTTGTTGTGTCTGTCCCTTAGCATCTTTCGTGTGACTTCAGCCGACTGCAAAGATGGAGGAAAAGTAGTAGAACTTAGATGTATTCAACTCTAGCCTTTTCAAAACGATTTGGTCCAGCCCTCTTGAAGTAGTCATACGAGGCGGGCCAGGAGCTTTTCCTGAATACATGACTTCACCAGGAAAAACTCCAGACCCTAGTTTACAACTATGTAACAGACTATAAATAGGGCATCAGGGTTTTTTTCCTGGTCAGGAAGAAAATATCCTGGCCCTAATAAGTAACCTTTAAATTACATGAGTACATACCTGGGGCACGTTGGAGCTGGCAGTGACGTTCCCCAGCTTCTTGCGCAGCTCTTCCAGTTCCTGCATTGACATCTTGGTGCTAGTTGGAGGGATAGCAAAGGTTGTGCTTGTACTTGATGTCGCATTACCAGATGCTTCAGACCTTTCTTTGGCATTCTGTTGCAGACATTGGAGTGTCTGAAAAATATCAACACACAACACATTGTTATTGGGACAAATACACAATACTGTACTGTACTTTAAATTAAACAGCGTAGGAATTGTCAGCATCTGAATAACATTAGATGTGAAATGATTACCTCTTTGTCCTCGCTAAGCTTTGATAGGAGGTAGACCAGTGGGTCTAGGTTGCGGACATTTTTTGACTTGAGCTCCTCGTATTTCCTTAGGAAGTCCTCTGGCGTCTTTGAATACTCTACTATTTTGACCTGTGAATGAAAGTTTAATTACCGGTAGTCAAGGATATTGGTAGGAAGCGCATAGGAAAAGCATAAACCTTTACAATATTTGCCAATAATTTCCCCATCAATCACCTTTGCACTGTGTGCAGAGACTGTTGTGGTGACATATGGTGTCCTGTTCTTCTGCAGTAGATCAATATACACTTCTGCTCCATCACCTCCTCGCACATGAAGTAGACTGAGCAGCTCGTTGACGTCATGATGTATACGAAACTCACTCATGGCTCAGGCTGCTGAAATGAGAAAGGTAAATAATCAATCCTCTGTCAAGTTCAACTCTCTAATAGTTAGCTTATCAGTTTAATAATGACAATGGCAGTTAAAAGTTAAAGCATGCAAACGTATAAATGAATGTGGCTAATTGCTATCTATCAAAACTGATGATGCTTCAGATTCTAGTGGCTGCCCTTTATGGCTTTAGTATAACGAATTGAGCTGGCTAGACCACATAGCTAGTTAGCTAGTTTAATAATGCTCTCGGAAAAAAAGTATATTTCCTTAACTAGCTAGTTATGAAGCTAGCTTGGTGGTCTTCAAATTGACCCAATAGATAGATAGCTAACTAACTAGCCAGCCACTTTTAGCAAGCAAGCTAGCTAGCTAAACTAGAGTAGGGTCTGAAAATAGAGATGATAGCAAACAATTTAGCTACCTGGCTAGCTATATAAACGGAATCTTGAAATGTATTCTCTGGAAACACTTAGTAAGTAAAGCATGATTAAAAACATTCAAAATTGATAGCACATTACCTGAAGCCTCTGTTGACTAACAAGCAGTTACCGCCAACTGTCTGGCAACACAAGTTACACAACATGTACTGTGTTTCATATTTTTCATAGTAAAGGTTTTTAGATGAACAATAATTTAAGAAAGTACTTCATATAAGGAGATTTACAACATGACCAACAGAGAACACATTTTTCATTTTAAATACTAACTATAGTATGACTGAAGGCAAGGAAAATAACATTTATATTTAGTCATTGAACTCTTATTTTGGAGGGGGAAAACGACATAGCGGAAGTATACAGTAATGACGTTACAACCCGGAAGAATTGCCCTCTTCTGATTAACGTTTGAATAAACAAGAATGGCCAATTTGTTTTAGGAAAACATTGCAAGCGATGTGGCTAAAAAATATAGTATATTTAAACTAAGAAATATATGTCTTGTTTAGAGGGGTAAGGCGTGGAAATGATCGAACGTGTGTAGCAACGCCCTAATGTCAGCCACCTTGTTGGAGAAAAAGAGCCCCGTTGTGTTTACAAATCGGTAAGAATTATTGTTACCCTGCAGTGTGGTTTTTTTGGACAAAGAAAATATGGCGGAATTGTACGTTGTGGAGCAGATTGGTACTAGCACTATAGAACAAACCGAGCACCGTGATGTCCGAGGCTCTGTTCGGCTGGCTTCGCCCACTCTCATGGTTCCGCCGCGGAGTAGCTTGCCCATCAGTCCCGGGGTATCGAGTACTAGTAGAGTAGTGTTTGGGTTCCCAATGAAGAACAACCCCAGTTCCCCGTCAGAGCCAGCAGAGAAACCAGGATCCCGCTGGGTTCGCCTCAATGTTGGTGGAACCTACTTTGTCACAACCAAACAGACATTGTGCAGGGACCCCAAATCGTTCCTGTACCGATTGTGTCAAGAAGATCCGGATTTGGACTCTGATAAGGTAACATAATCTACCATAATTGGTGGCATAACGTTCTATCATTAATCAAGGTGCATCAATGTAGCATTCATAATGCACTGCCACTGTGATGATCATGCATAAGATTACACCCAAACACTTTCAAATGCCTAGCTAAAATTGTATAACATTTTAACACTCAAAGTCTACTGCTCAGCCAGTTGACAGTAATGCATGATTTTATCTGCATGTGAAGAAGCACCAGAGAAACATTTCTGACACTAAAATGGCAGACATGCGATTAGCCTTTTTTTTTCACACTTTAAAAAATCTCTTAGGATGAGATAGGAGCTTACCTGATTGACAGGGATCCCACATACTTTGGCCCCATTCTGAATTACCTGCGGCATGGGAAACTGATCATGGACAAGAACCTAGCAGAAGAAGGTAAGACTGTCCAAATAATAGTTCCCGAAATTGTAAAATACAATCCCTATCACACACCATGCTTTTATTTAGAAGCAATGGGATTCTGCAGATGTGTGATACAGGCCCTTTCCTTATTAGTATCATGTGACTAAACTATTGGTTGGCTCTCTCAGGTGTCCTTGAGGAGGCGGAGTTCTACAATATTGCGTCACTGGTGAGGCTGGTAAAGGAGAGGATACGGGACAACGAGAACAGGACATCTCAGGTATGCCAGGGAAATGCAGACAGGATGAATGGAAAAGGCCTTAGACTGGGATGGATGATGGCATTGATGCTGTGAAATAACACATGCTAAACCAAACACTAACATTTCAGAGGATGAATGTGTTTACAAGTCTGTGTTTGTGTGTATACTGGCACACACACCACTCACTGTTCAAAAGCAAAACACCTATCCGCTAATTAACCCTAATGTTCTCTGGTAAACACACGTCACTGTGTGTGTGGGTATATGTGGAAACTGGCTTTTATTGTAGTATCTGTTTTTCTCTCAGGGCCCAGTGAAGCATGTGTACCGGGTGCTGCAGTGCCAGGAGGAGGAGCTCACCCAGATGGTGTCCACCATGTCAGACGGCTGGAAGTTTGAACAGGTGGGCCTAGTAGTCCTCATGTCACACTTGTCTTTAAATCCATAGGTCATTGGTGGTAAACCTGGTAATGTCCCTACCTTTTTCCAGTGCCTTAAAATGTTCTTGTGAAATCTCAAAATATGCCTCAAATTTCATGTGAAGTTGACTTTTAAGCTAATTTACAATCCCGCTCACCCTTTCCCATCTCCCCTCACAGCTCATAAGCATTGGCTCGTCCTATAACTATGGCAACGAGGACCAGGCTGAATTCCTGTGTGTGGTTTCCCGGGAGCTCAACAACTCCACTAACGGCATTGTCATCGAGCCCACTGAGAAGGCCAAGGTGAGATCAGCTTCTGAGAGTGTCTGTGAGTCATGTGTTAGGCATGAAGTCAGAAGATTCTCACGTATAGGGATTGATCCCTGCAACATCAAAGTTTGTCAGGCATTTTCAGACTTCAAAAATGTTGTAATGTATAGATGAGGCCTCGTCCCACGTCATCGGTTGTGTAGATTGAGCTTCACTTTTTTCAACCCTAAATGAATGGGAATGATAGGCACTGAATAAGATCATGAAATTAGCCGGTGCTTAATCTCGGAAACCCAGAACTAAAATCTTGCGTAATTACGTCAGAAGCGTGATCGAGTTAGACAAATATACTAGAACGAGGAGCAGAAGCAAATCAGTAGCTCCGTCCCCCTCTCTCTGCAAGTTGTGGGCAAGTTTATGGGCCAAATGTCCCCTCCCCTTCCTAAATTCGAAAGATGCAAACACCAGTGAAATCGTGATTTGTCCAAATGATCAGTGACGAACAAATCTGTGCAGGGTCGTTCGATGTCATTTCAGCAAGCCACGAGACCCATCATCTCAGATTGTTCAGAAATCGTTTCTGTAATTAGAAACAGATAAGATAAGCATTGCGGAAACATTATTTTGTTGAAATATAATTTCATATCAGAGGAATTGCACCCAAATTGGCCATTTTTAAATGTATAAGATTTATATAATATTCAATGAATGATAGTACCTAACATCTGATTTGGACCCAAAAAAAATCTAACAATGAGTAAGACAGGAGGAATCCAAGAAGTTCTCAAAAGCCATCCACAGACCACCAACACACTTCATGCCAATCCCACCCCAACAACAAGTATATACTACAGTATCAGTTCTCTATGTTTGACAAGTAGGATGGAGCTGCGGCTCTGAGTATTGTTTCTTCATCCTATATAATGTATTCTCAGTGAATTTGTTGATGTTTCTTTCCCCTGTTCAGAGCAATGTGTAATTTAAGTTGTTGGGTTTATGTCCGAGCTGACAAGGCAGAGGGGTTGGGTTAAATGCGGAAGACACATTACAGTTGAATGCATTCAGTTGTACAACTGACTAGGTATCCCCCTTTCCCTTCCCATTGTCCCATCCTACATCATGATATTAGCAGTTTCTGAACACTAGATAGTGCTGTTCTCCTGCTATTAGGTAATTATTTTTTTAAAGAATTCCCCACACCCCATTGTTAAAGGGATAGTTCACCCAAATTACAAAATTACAAATTGGTTTTCTTACCCTGTAAGCAGTCTATGGATCAGGTATGACAGCAACCCATGCTTTGGTTTGCAGGTGATGCACACTCACTCACACAATACGCACACATAGGCTATCACACACACACTTCATACTCACAAACACATGCACATACACACTCACACACACAGACACACAGAGAGCCAACGCTGCTGTCACATGTTACAGAGACATTGAACCACTGGAAGTGTTCCCGTTTCACACTGTGTATTTAAATACTGTATCCCCAACATAGCTCATTCTAATATTTATACTAATGTAAATTGTATTTTATTTAAACTGTTTATACACACCGCATGTTTATATACTGGATTATTGACATAGCTCACTCTAATATATCTACTGTGCATATCATTCTTAGTATATCTTGTGTAAATTCTCCAGGTGTACATATGTATAGATTGCATCTCATTCCAAGCTCATGGGCATTAATATGGAGTTGGTCCCCCCTTTGCTGCTATGACAGCCTCCACTCTTCTGGGAAGGCTTTCCACTAGATGTTGGAACATTGCTGTAGGGATTTGCTTCCATTCAGCCACGAGCATTAGTGAGGTCGGGCACTGATGTTGGGCAATTAGGCCTGGCACGCAATCAGCGTTCAAATTCATCCCAAAGGTGTTCGATGGGGTTGAAGTCAGGGCTCTGTGCATGCCAGTCAATTTCTTCCACACCGATCTCGACAATCCATTTCTGTATGGACCTCGCTTTGTTCACGGGGGCATTGTCATGCTGAAACAGGAAAGGGCCTTCCCCCAAACTGTTGCCACAAAGTTGGAAGCACTGAATCATCTAGAATGTAATTGTATGCTTTAGCGTTAACATTTCCCTTCACTGGAACTAAGGGGCCTAGCCTGAACCATGAAAAACAGCCCCAGACCATTATTCCTCCTTCACCAAACTTTACAGTTGGCACTATGCATTCAGGCAAGTAGCTTTCTCCTGGCATCCGCTAAACCCAGATTCGTCTGTCGGACTGCCAGATGATGAAGCGTGATTCATCACTCCTAAGAACACATTTCCACTGCTCCAGAGTCCAATGGCGGCGAACTTTACCCCACTCCAGCCGTCGCTTGGCATTGCGCATGATGATCTTAGGCTTGTGTGCGGCTGCTCGGCCATGGAAACCGACCAACAGTACTTGTGCTGACGTTGCTTCAAGAGGCAGTTTGGAACTCGGTAGTGAGTGTTGCAACCGAGGACAGATGTTTTTACGCGCTTCAGCACTCGGCAGTCACGTTCTTTGAGCTTGTGTGGCCTACCACTTCGCGGCTGAGCCGTTGTTGCTCCTAGACGTTTCCACTTCACAATAACAGCACTTACAGTTGACCAGGGCAGCTCTAGCAGGGCAGACATTTCATGAATTGACTTATTGGAAAGGTGGCATCCTATGACGGTGCCACGTTGAAAGTCACTGAGCTCTTCAGTAAGGCCATTCTACTGCCAATGTTTGTCTATGGAGATTGCATGGCTGTGTGCTCGGTTTTCTACACTTGTCAGCAACTGGTGTGGCTGAAATAGGCGAATCCACTAATTTGAAGGGATGGCCACACACTTTTGTGTATATACAGTATCAGTCAAAAGTTTGGACACACCTACTCATTCCAGGGTTTTTCTTTATTTTTACTATTTTCTACATTGTAGAATAATAGTGAAGACATCAAAACTATGAAATAACACATATGGAATCATGTAGTAACCAAAAAAAGTGTTAAACAAATCGAAATATATTTTATATTTGAGATTCTTCAAAGTAGCCACCCTTTTCCTTGATGACAGCTTTGCACACGCTTGGCATTCTCTCAACCAGCTTCATGAGGTAGTCACCTGGAATGCATTTCAATTAAACAGGTGTCCCTTGTTAAAAGTTAATTTGTGGAATTTCTTTCCTTCTTAATGCGTTTCAGCCAATCAGTTGTGTTGTGACAAGGTAGGGTTGGTATACAGAAGATAGCCCTATTTGGTAAAAGACCAAGTCTATATTATGGCAAGAACAGCTCAAATAAGCAAAGAGAAATGACAGTCCATCATTACTTTTAAGACATGAAGGTCAGTCAATCTGGAAAATGTCAAGAACTTTGAAAGTTTCTTCAAATGTAGTCGCAAAAACCATCAAGCGCTATGATGAAACTGGCTCTCATGAGGACCGCCACAGGAAAAGGAAGACCCAGAGTTACCTCTGCTGCAGAGGATAAGTTCATTAGAGTTACCAGCCTCAGAAATTGCAGCCCAAATACAGTTGAAGTCGGAAGTTTACATACACCTTAGCAAAATACATTTAAACTCAGTTTTTCACAATTCCTGACATTTAATCCTAGTAGAAATTCCCTGTCTTAGGTCAGTTAGGATCACCACTTTATTTTGAGAACGTGAAATGTCAGAATAATAGTAGAGAGATTGATTTATTTCAGCTTTTATTTATTTCATCACATTCCCAGTGGGTCAGAAGTTTACATACACTCAATTAGTATTTGGTAGCATTGCCTTTAAATTGTTTAACTTGGGTCAAACATGTCGGGTAGCCTTCCACAAGCTTCCCACAATAAGTTGGGTGAATTTTGGCCCATTCCTCCTGACAGAGCTGGTGTAACTGAGTCAGGTTTGTAGGCCTCCTTGCTCGTACATGCTTTTTCAGTTCTGCCCACACATTTTCTATAGGATTGAGGTCAAGGCTTTGTGATGGCCACTCCAGTACCTTGACTTTGTTGTCCTTAAGCCATTTTGCCACAACTTTGTCCATTTGGAAGACCCATTTGCGATCAAGCTTTAACTTCCTGACTGATGTCTTGAGATGTTGCTTCAATATATCTACATAATTTTCCTTCCTCATGTTGCCATCTATTTTGTGTAGTGCACCAGCCACTCCTGCAGCAAAGCACCAGCATGATGCTGCCACCCATGTGCTTCACGGTTTGGATGGTGTTCTTCGGCTTGCAAGGACCCCCTTTTTTCTCCAAACATAACGATGGTCATTATGGTCAAACAGTTCTATTTTTGTTTCATCAGACCGGAGGACATTTCTCCAAAAAGTATGATCTTTGTCCCCATGTGCAGTTGCAAACCGTAGTCTGTCTTTTTTATGGCAGTTTTGGAGCAGTGGCTTCTTCCTTTCTGAGCGGCCTTTCAGGTTATGTCGATATATGACTCATTTTACTGTGGATATAGATACTTTTGTACCTGTTTCCTCCAGCATCTTCACAGGGTCCTTTGCTGTTGTTCTGGGATTGATTTGCACTTTTCGCACCAAAGTACGTTCATCTCTAGGAGACAGAATGCGTCTCCTTCCTGAGTGGTATGACGGCTGTGTGGTCCCATGGTGTTTATACTTGCGTACTATTGTTTGTACAGATGAACGTGGTACCTTCAGGCGTTTGGAAATTGCTCCCAAGGATGAACCAGACTTGTGGAGGTCTACAAAATAATGTCTGAGGTCTTGGCGGATTTATTTTGATTTTCCCAGGATGTCAAGCAAAGAGGTACTGAGTTTGAAGGTAGGCCTTGAAATACATCCAGAGGTACACCTCCAATTGACTCAAATTTTCTGGAATTTTCCAAGCTGTTTAAAGGCACCGTCAACTTAGTGTTTGTAAACTTCTTACCCACTGGAATTGTGATACAGTGAATTATAAGTGAAATAATCTGTCTGTAAACAATTGTTGGAGAAATTACTTGTGTCATGCACAAAGTAGATGTCCTAACCGACTTGCCAAAACTAGTTTGTTAACAAGAAATGTGTGGAGTGGTTGAAAAACAAGTTTTAA